TCGTACTCATACTCACACTAGTGATTGACGTTTGAAAACTTAAATTTTCAAAGTATTTAGTTCACAAAGAGGATATTGATCTGGATGTGTTGTAAACACTTAAACTGCCAATAGATGAAGAGCACAAATCTGGACGAAACAAACAAATCGTTGATTATAAAAACAACCAAACTGAATGAGGAAATTGTTCCTTGTGGTAAAGCGTTGAGGAAATTTCAACATTCAGTTTTCTTCATCATTAGTTTGCATGAGGTATCTGTTTTACTTTATGCACGTCTCGGTTTGTGTTCGTCATTTGAATAAATGTACAGTGTAAATATGAAGTTACAACTAGTTAAAACTAGTCAAGGTACCTTAGTATAATGTTGAAACATTCTGTATTGCGTTAGGATATGTTATCTAAAAGAAAGTAAGGGTTATTTTTGTTATGATATTGTTCAAGAAAATGCTATTGGTTTGCGATTAGATACTGCTACATGATATCAATAAGAACTGGATCACTGGATACCTTTTTGGCATTGAGGTGTATCAATTATCAACCGATACAGATATCGCCATTTAATGATATTTTAGTGCAAAATGCCTTGTAATATGGTTTTCAGAAATAATGTTGTACATAAGATAAAGAAGGCCTTATGAAAAGACATGCACACTTTATGACTTATAGTTCACCAAATAGGTTAAGTTGTATTGTAACAAAAATGTCATCACCTTCATGAATAGCATTTCTATAAATTATGTCTGAAACAGCACAAATGTTTTATTTACTAACGAGTGTTTTATCAAAATCTGAAAATAATTTGGCTCATTGTAAAAGAATCCATGAAGGTCATGATTTTTTTTGTTCGAGTTGATGTACTTAAAATGTAAATGTTTAGATAAGTTGTTGATAAGATGTAAATAGTTCATATTTATGAGTCTTGAAATATATAGTTTAACAATAATTAAGTTCACTTTATAGCAATATTATTTATGTTTAAGTTGCAATATTGTAGTAGCACACTTTAGTTTCCAGCCATTTATAGTGAATTGTACTATAATTTTGATTTTATTTCAATTATTTTTTGTCTGTGTATTTTTGAGTTTAAATTTAAATGTATCAATTCGCACGTTCATTTTCAAATTGTAAGCTAGATTGTACGCTTTCAAAATATTTATTTTTAATTTGAACATTGCAAATATGAATGAATCTTAACGCCTTTTTGAATAGATGGTTTGTAAAACAAGTTATTCAGTAAGATTTCTGAACTTTGTAAATATAAGAACTGAACCTGTACTTAAAAATGTCCATACACCCCAATCGTAGGTTATACCTCTTGAAGACCTATTGAAAAATTTCAACATTTCTACATGTCATTTCAATAACTCGTCTGTAATTTCTTGAAATGGTTTTTTGTGGCAATATTCTTGAAATAGTTTGAACAAAGATATGAGAATTGTTTTTGTAGTCTGTTGATTTTGGAAACTTAAGATGTCATTTGATAAAGATACTGGGAAATTGTTTATGGTACAAGGGAATCTTTGCTTGCTTTAATACTTATGTTGAAATAGTGGTTTTGTGGTCAGGGGTCCACAGGAATTGATGTTTTCACAATTTAAAATTATCTGATGGCTCTTAAAACTGTGTATGACTTCTGAGACAATGCCAAAAATAGCATGTGCCACCATTTATAGATATGTCTGGATCTTCTCGAAACTTGTGGGCTGATATTATTTTGAATAGCACAATTTCAATTTTCTTGTTGATTTTTGTAGATTATCTTATGACATATGCTTAGCAAATAGATGTTTAATGTAATTTATTTCTGAATACTGAGTGGTATCATAAAATAGCATTTAGTATTCTGGATGCCGAGTGATATCATAAAATATCACCCAGTATCCAGTTATGAAGGCCATAAAATATCAATTTTGTCAAACTGTAAATGTCTGTAGAAGAACTAATTCAATTGAATATTAAAAATTAATAATTTGTAATTACATATTGTCAAATTATACACACGCAAAGTATAAATAGGCAACATTCAAATGAACATGATTATAAAAATCAGAAAAAAATCCCAATTGAATATTTTAATTTATCGATCATGTTTGATGTTGTAAAATGTTAGGTTATAATAATTATTTTCTATTTAATTGTCAGTTTTATATTTCTATAAAATAAATTTTGGTTAAAAAACAAAATATATTTTTGTTTGTTTTTATCTTCATTTGAATTTAGAAAACAAATTTTAGATTTTAGAAGGTTCCCCCTTCCCCCTAAAAAGAGATAATATCATTTAATCATTTATATGATTATATTTATTGCCCGCAGCTAGAGATTGCATAACTGACTGACCAGTGACCACTAAACCTTTGGATTCTTAGCAACATGTCCAAGCTTGTAAGTGGTGAGACAATCTGTGTTTTGTTTGAGTTTGGCAAAGATTACATCACGCAACTACATACCGTGATTGCACTTTTAGGAATGGAAAACCCCATGGCGAGTGTAGGTGATGTGCAAACATTGTATAACACACTTGAACAACATAGCTTGTTTTCTTTCTCTAATCATTGGTGCGTTTATAGTGGCTTTTATGGTAATATAGTATTATTGTGCTGCCATCTTTATATCAAAAATGTTGGTATGTCTTACAAGGCTGATGTGTAAATGACCATGGTGATGATTATCTATTGTCTTATCCTCTCCATTATATATTTCCCTTAATCTGTGTAGGTGTGGATGTAAGGGGAAAATAAACCCCAGACACTACCCCACATATGCTTGTTGCAAGACTAACAGTAACTGGAGTTTACTTCCTTCTATAATAAAAACTGACCTATTAAATTGCCCAAGTTAGGAAGATTTTAAGGAAATCAAAAACAAAATCCTTGAGACCCAGGAGAGCTTTTTGTGTTTTAGATAGGGACATTTGATGTGCGTTTTTACTAAATCATATCTGTGTCCTCATTTTATATTTTAAGCTTGATTAGTGGTGTTGACATATACATGTTTTTCCAAATGATAATTTTACAATTTAGAAGAATCTGTTGTTCGTTGCATTTGTAAAGCACACTTAATGTGTGTTCAAAATTGCAAGAACTTTTGAAAAAAATATTTAATTTCCCTTGAACAGTGTCTTTTCCACGTTGTGAGATTGGAATCCCAGGGATATGAATAAAGCATCTGCAGAGCTAGGCCTGCAGATATGCATTTGAACAAGGTGCTACAAGGAAAGAAAAGATATGAAGTTTAGCGTACTGTTATGGCTTTATTCTTACCCATGTGGATCAAACTATTTATATATTTATTATACTATCTGGTTACCAAGACATTTTGTGATATAATTCGTCTCCAGACATTAGATTTAGAATATTCTTTTAACAAGATCCAAGAGCTAAGTCAATGAACAAAACCATTTGTTTGTTTTAGTTTTTAATGGGGCAATATTTGACTGACATAGCAGATGAAGCGGATCATATTCCCAGAATTGATTATCAAGATTGATATATGGCATCATGATTCCAGGTAGCCTACCTCGCCATTTTAAAACATGTAATTTGGCCTCATAGCATGCAAAATGTCACCACCTACCATTTGTTACAGACACCATGTAACATATGCCGAACAGCATCCACAAAAAGTTGGAGACTATAACAATATGCCACCACTTCTTGTGGTGAAATAAAAATTTAATATATAGAGTATCTAACACAACACCTAATTGTATGAGAGCACCTTTTTTATTAGATGCAATGTGTACATAGTCATATACAGTACATATGCAATTGTACATAGTCATACACATATCAAACCATATATAGTCATACATATCAACTGTACATACACACATAAAACTGTATGCTACAATTATTGGCAAATATTGTTATCATTCTACTAGGTGTTCAAAAGTTATGGATTACGCTTGCAATTTCTGTTCTGCAATATTTTTGGAACACTCTGTACTATATGATAAGTACAATCTAGAAATTATTCTTCATTTCTTACAGTAAAACCTATTAAAGCGCTTAAACGATTGGAAATTGTTTTAGCTCTCAGATTTGGTTCAGCGCGGAGTGAATTTACATGGAAACGGTTCAATAAAGTGTTCGACTTTAATAACATAACTTTCCTAAGTATAGATAAAGAATTTTTCCTGAGATTTCATAAAGCACAAAATGTGACTAGCTTTAAATATCAGGATCTATATTGGCTTTACATTATACTGAACATACCCCTTTTCTTTCATAGTCATAAACTGGGTAATAGTAGGTATATTTTCAAAGTATCCCATTTCTATTACAAAAGCTTATAAAAATCAACCCAATTAAAGGCAGAAACCATGATTTCACTAAATAATACAATGGTATACAGATATATGCATACCATAAGAAATAAACTTATAATAGATTAACTAGGGCAAAATAACTGATATTTTACTACATGCAACTATACATATGGTTTTTGGGGGTTGGTTTTCAGTTTTTCAGTCATACAGGCTCAACACACACATCACATTCATGAGTTTCACACTCATACATTGAAGTTCCATTTAACCCCATCTAAATATTTTTATATAAAAAAAGATATAAAACCACATGCTTTAAACAAACTGTACATAATACAATGACCATAGAAAATATTTTAAAAATTGGGTTACAATAATTTGGATTTTCTTCAGGTCGATAAAACTCATTTCAATAATACACATATAAAATATGATTAACTATCAAATGGTATATCACGCAACAAAAGGCAAATAAATGAGACTTTACCTATTCCACATTGAAATGTGAAATGATAAATTGCATCTTAACATTTAGTTGAATTGCTCCAACTGCGATTATCTGAATCACAAAGATGCCAACATTCAAATCTTTAAATTTGGCTTCATTTTGGCAAAGTTCAGCAAAAGGCGCAACTGAGAAAATATTTCTAAAGCACTTTGGCAACATAAACTGAATGTTCTTGGGATTTTGATTAATCTATCATTATAGATTTAAGTGTAGCTATCAACACATGTAAGTAACATTAATTTGTCAACGTGTTTACTTGTGTAGCTGTCAACAGACTTGTTTTTTAGCTTTAAAAATGATTTTTTGTTAATTTTTCAATGACAAGAATTTGGTTTAAATAAAGGTTAGTCTTGTTGTATCTAGCCAACCTCCAATTTAAATATTTGGTAAGAGGTGTATTTAACTGGCCACTGGTGTATTAAGTCAGCTAGTTCTATCAGCCACCAAGGTATTTGAATGACCAGATATGTATTTATGGCTGCCTGTGTGTTTAACCCATTTACCATCAACTGGTAAATCGTTAAGTTTCAGTCATTAAGTCAACTAATGTAAATAGAAAGTCCCCGTTTTCTCCTATCAACCACTTCAGTTGATAGTCGTGGAGTCTTTAGATGACTATGTACTTCAATATCTGGAAAGTCTTTAGTGCCTTTAATGTGGCACTTTTTTCTTGATTCGTTCTAGTCTCTTCCTCAGATCATCAACGTTGGCGGGGGCGGAGGACGGAGCTTGATTTGGCTCTGCTTTTACTGAGGAACCAAGCTGGGGCTGGAAAAAGTAAAATCATAAATATCATGAATGAATATGTTGAGGCCTATTTTTGTCATGATCTTAAAATAACAAATCTCGAAATCAGGAAAAAATTTTGAGGGGTAGGCAATAGTTTCAGAGGCATGTAGTTATCGGTTAAGTGTGGTAAAACTATTAAAACTTCTTTTGTTCACAAATGTGGTCAACTTTTTCTTTTTTATTTATCTTATATTATTTATTCTGAAATATGGCTTATATAGTTCACATACTATTTCGAATTGCTAAGTATGCTTACCATAGCAGTGAAATTGCTTATGCTACCCATATATTGATATTGCTTACCACAGTGTTGACACTGCTTATCATAGTATTGACTTTGCTTACCATAGTATTGGCATTGCTTGACACTGAAGACAACATTGGCTCTACTTTAGCAGGTAGAGAGGGGACATCTGGAACTGCCTACAAGTTACATCACAATGTATAGTGTGACATCACAATATACAACATGCATCACAATTACAACATACAACAAGGCATTAACATGCAAAATGTCACCACCTGCCATTTGTTACAGACGCCAACCGCTGAACAATAACTGGTGAACACTGTCCACAAAAAGAAATAACAATATGTCACCACTTGTGGTGGTGACATAATAAAACTATGCAGGGCTCTAGCAAAGGGCTGACCAAGGGTGCATTTCCATAAAAATCTTCACTGCTAAGCAATGTTCTCAAAAGGATTTTTTCTCAAGTGGGTGCAAAATTCTCATTTTCACCTTTCGGATCAACATTGGTCAAAATATTCCATTTTTCATGATTTTTCTCATTTTCAAGTTGGTGCAAATGAATTCTCAGGTGGGTGCAAGCCTTTTTTAAAATCTCACGTGGGTGCTGCGCCCACTTGCTTTAATGTTCTGGAGATCACTGCTAAGTATCTTTAAAAATAAAAATGGCTTAAGACATACTGTAGATTGGGTTAATTTGGCGCTACTTAATTTGGCGATTTTGCCATTTTTGGCATATTGGCGGCTATTTAATTTGGCGGATATGCAAAATTTTTTTTAATTAACTTACGCGTTGTTTGCGAATTTTATGTTCATTTTTTCTTTTGAGGACAACTGGCAATATTCACCACGTTTGTACATTTTTGTGAGATCATCCTTTACATTTTGCACCTCAATTGATGCTGCTACTATACTGCACTTTTCCTTTCTAGTTTTTCCCTGAGTATTAATAAGTGACTGACCAGTTCTGAGCCAATTTATGAGAGACATTTTTTCATATTTTTGGAAAAAACTAAACCGGAAGTGACCTAAATACACTCGACGAAATACCCTAGATAATCCCCGGGGATTCATTCTAAATTTTGGCGAAGATTTATATTGGCGAATTTTTCAATTTCGCCAAATTCGCCAAATTAAAGCGGGCGCCAAATTAACCCAATCTACAGTAGTAGGAAAATAGTATAGTAAATCTGCATAGCTGTTTGATTTACTGGTCACAAGTCCTCTGCTGGAGCTCTGCATATAACATTCTATCAAATATACTAGACTATTATAGGACTATAATACTACATTGTACAATAACTACATAATCACATGATATGCAGGGCAGTTGTGAAAATTACCAAGACAAATGGTGCACATGTAACACTGCACTTGTAACACTGCACTTGTAACAGTGCATTTGTCACAGTGCACTTGTAAAAGTGCACTTGTAACTATAACAGGCTATATGGAGAGCATCTTTGAGCAACAAATGTCTAATTTTAGAGAATACTGATAAAGAATCTGTATAAATGAAAATTTTAACTACAAAGATATGCTACTCTATATTGGATTCCTGCGATGCCTAGAAATCGCAGAAAATCCCAGGATGTAGGTAGTAAAAATTTTAATCTTCTAAATAGTTCAATGACTTTTGATCATTAAATGCTAGCATCAAAGCTAAAACCCTCAAAGTACTAACTCTCCAATATACAGAATAGTCTCTTCTCATCATTGTTTCGCCAAATATTCCAAAATATCATCTCATTCCTGTGGAATACCCAGAAAATCAAATTCTTCATTCCAAGGAAAACAAAATAGGAGCTAGCTTGGTGCAAATATAGATAATATGTGAAATATTCCAAAATTAACATCAGACTTCTATGCAAGTGTTTGTAAGGCCATTCAAAGGTAAATATTTGACTTTGAATGGTCCGTGCAAGAATTTTGCTCAAATTTTTCAATCTTCCAAGATTTATTGAATTCATGTGTATTCAGGCTGTTTCTTGTTAATTGATACAATATATGTAAAAGCAGTCTAAACATCAAACATTTACTAAAACACAACTGTAACACACTCTAGTTGAAGGAACCTAAAATATATAAATAAAAGATTTGGAGGAGAAAAGTTGAGATGTATTCTGCTCCAAAAACGCAATTCCTCATCATAGGAGGCTATTCTTGCAAAAATCATGAGCAGTCAATACATTGCAGTTGCAGCAATCAATGCACTAGAACAATGCACCAGAGCAATCAATGCATCAGAGCAATGCACCAGAGCAACCAATGCACATTGCACTGTATATCATGTACAGAACATGCTTAACTTACTATTTCTGGATCTTCCTCTTCAAACTGTCAATAGAAATTCAAATATACAAATAATCATCCTTGAAATTTTGAAATCGAAACATCTTTTAAGACAGGATTTTATGACGAAAAATCCAAAATGGCCACTTGAATATGAAGAATCACCCCTGAAAATTTAAAATCAATCCTTCAAATGATTCTCCTGAAAGGAAGGTATCCCAATGCCCATTTCCTTTTTCCCAAGCCAACAGAAGTATGAAAGTGTTATGCAAGTTAGCATTTTAGCACCAAATAACATGTTAGTTTCATGGCCTTGGGGTTAAATCCTGATCATTTTAATGTCTGGTCGCTAATAAATACAGTCAAGTACAACTAGAGCCCTGGAGTAGACACAAGTCAATTAATCAAGGTCAATGCTAAAGTATATACTCATTTTTTATCTTAAGAACGGCCACTGATCAAGATGACCTAAGCAGTGATAACTATAACTAATAATAAATCATAGCCTTTTAATGGCCATTATGAAAGCAGCTCATTAATTATATAATTTCATACACTCACAACTGAAAAAGTTGCGCCTACATTTACATATTACATACACTTTACAATACTGGACTATATGATTTATTATAAAATAGAATTGATTTGGTAAAGCAAGAGGAACATCATAATAAAGCACCCAAAAAAATTCCTAACATATTTATTAATCACTGAAGATTACAGAAAATCGTAAAATTTTAGATTTATTAAAGCTAAGACCAGAGACAGGATTGGTAATCGGAGTTTAACATAACCTTCAACACATTAAGAAATCAGCAAGCCTATAAAATGCATGGTTTAAACTGTTTTCACATGTTATGCAATAGAAGATGTATTTTTACGATTTGTATCATTCATCCAAGGAAGTTACCAAAGTTGATTTTTATTCTTACGTTTATATTATTTATCTATTTCTCTCTGTATTTAAAAGGACAACAAGGGGCAATTTCATCAAATAGTTATGAGTTGACTGCAAAGAATGCAAACAATCTGGGTTACACCACCTTACAGACAGGACAGAAGCAAAATGAGTTAAACATTTTAAATGCATCTTTGAAAGAAACTGAATATGTAAAAAAGAAACGCGATATGAACATGAAAATGCCATATATTAGTGGTGCCATAACTTTACCAATTAATCTCATATCTATGGATGTTATCGATAATGGCCAGGTTGGCCTGCAAATGGGTTGGTGGATACTTCAACCAGAATCATGGTCTCTACACATCGACTGTAACAGTGATGCAACTTGTCAAAAGTCTGTAGACTTGGAGGCAACAACAGGATTCATATATACAGTATTTCAGTTCATTGCTTTCCGACAAAATGCACCAATAAAAGGAGTTTATTTTTCGGCTAAAGCAACCAGTGATGCCATACCATGGGCTGAACATGTTGTACATTATTATGGTGCATCGGCAATGCTAAGATTCACAGATGCATCAAGCCAAGAGCTTCATCTGGATTTTCAGCCAACAGCCAGTCAGTTCGATCAGTCAAAAGTATCATATATATTTCCAATAGGTGGTGCTGCAGTTTCAAGTGTAACTGTAATGCTAGCTGTCAAAGGATTAATCGGGAAGGTCAGATTCAGAGATATCGAAATCAAACCAATAATTCAGCCTCGGCAAGAACATATTCATGATCTGACGCAGTTTCATTTTATGACTGCATGTCCAGATAGTCTATCGCCTCTAAGTAAAGCCCCCACCTTCATCGAGAAGCATTTCATGCTAAATGACGATAGTTTTGAAACAATGGAATCAGTTACTATGGTAACACAATTGACACTTGACAGATGGAAAAGTTGGACAACAAGGATTCTACCGGAATGGAAGGGTCCAGTTTCAGTAGCTCTCTATGTACCAAATGAAGAAGAGAACCAAGACATAAAGCCAGCAAATATAGCTGAAACACTGGAGAATTTTAAATATTGTTGTGCTGTAACAGTGGTTTATGGAGCTTATCAACATGAGAAATACCCAATTAATCATCTGAGAAATCTTGCAATGGAGCAGGTTAAAACCGAATACATGTTATTGGTTGACGCTGACTTTTATATTTCCCCTAACTTCATTGAGAGCTTCCAATTGAGCATCATTCAAGAAAGTAGTCCTACAAATGCATACGTCATTCCGGCATTTGAATACCATAAAGGACAGAACATGGAACCTTTGGCAAAATCAAAAAAGGAACTTGTGAAATCATTGCACCGACCCGGAACTAGTATACAACCATTTAGACTTGAATCCGAGCAAGGTCACAACTCGACAGATTACCAAAGATGGTACACAAGCAGTGTTCTCTATCCCATAAAAGATTACCAAATTTCCTATGAACCATATTTGGTTCTTAAGACTTCAGTCAAGAAAGTACTGAAGTATGATGAACGTTTTGAGGGGTATGGAATGAATAAAATCAGTTTTATAATGGAGCTTATTGCGGCAGGGTATAACTTCAAAGTTCTGCCATACTGTTGGGCAACTCATCTCCCACATCATTCGAGCAGCCATAGCTTGACATTTGAGTTGGACTTGCAGGAGCAACTAAGAAATAGAGTTAAACGATTTGAGTTCATTTCAGATCTGACAAAAAGGTATAAAATGGGTGGATGTGAATCGTGAAGCATCTTAAACAATATGAGTTAACCCTTTGGATGCAACAATTATCAGAAACATAAACAATTCATTTCTTGGTGGACCTGGTGGTGTGATAATGATAGAAAAATAACTTCAGAAGTGATTACTGTTCTTAAGAACAACCTGTATCTCTAATTTAGTAAATGTAAGTTAGTGATAAGTTTACAGGTACAAATATAGCCAGACTGTGAAGCAGGTTGAGTGCTTATTAGGAGGTGGGTGCTAAATATGGCGACTACAGTAAGTTTACAGATACAAATATAGCCAGACTTTGTGAAGCAGGTTGGGTGCTTATTAGGGGGTGGGTGCTAAATATGGCGACTACAGTAAGTTTACAGGTACAAATATAGCCAGACTTTGTGAAGCAGGTTGGGTGCTTATTAGGGGGTGGTTGCTAAATATGGCGATTACAGTAAGTTTACAGATACAAATATAGCCAGACTTTGTGAAGCAGGTTGGGTGCTTATTAGGGGGTGGGTGCTAAATATGGCGATTACAGTAAGTTTACAGGTACAAATATAGCCAGAATTTGTGAAGCAGGTTGGGTGCTTATTAGGGGGTGGGTGCTAAATATGGCGATTACAGTAAGTTTACAGCTACAAATATAGCTAGACTTTGTGAAGCAGGTTGGGTGCTTATTAGGGGGTGGGTGCTAAATATGGCAATAACAGTAAGTTTACAGCTACAAATATAGCCAGACTTTGTGGAGCAGGTTGGGTGCTTATTAGGGGGTGGGTGCTAAATATGGCGATTACAGTAAGTTTACAGCTACAAATATAGCCAGACTTTGTGGAGCAGGTTGGGTGCTTATTAGGGAGTGGGTGCTAAATATGGCGATTACAGTAAGTTTACAGCTACAAATATAGCTAGACTTTGTGAAGCACGTTGGGTGCTTATTAGGGGGTGGGTGCTAAATATGGCGATTACTGTAAGTTTACAGGTACAAATATAGCCAGACTTTGTGAAGCAGGTTGGGTGCTTATTAGGGGGTGGGTGCTAAATATGGCGATTACAGTAAGTTTACAGCTACAAATATACCCAGATTTTGAAATGAGAATCTCCTCTAAGAAATGCTAGTTTTTTCGGCATGCATTTGAAAATAATATTGTAACTGGTCTGTAATTGTAACTGACCAGTAAGTCGAAAATCCTTAAGGTGGGCCCAGGATATTACACATGTAAAATGGCTCTTTATGACAGATTTGTAGCTGGTTATATGTATTTTTGCTCATTTAGCCAATATGCTGTATAGGCTCAACGCAACTTCAAATGAAAGCATCCTGTTATAGGAACCCATATGAATAAAAAAAAACTACATTATGAACTGTATTTGTTTTTCAATGTGCTCATGATGTCATGTTTTTGTTGTACAATGTATTTACCTGTGCATTATCCAAGCCACACCTGGCCCGCAGCACCTTTAACCTCTCCATATAGGTCTGTGGGTTGATATCAGAATCTGTACTGCTGGCTGTGGGGCCACCTATTGAACCATTGCTGCTACTGGTGCTCACTGGAATAATAAACAAGGAATTCACATGTAAAACATCTTCATATTAGGTAAATAAATTATTGCAAATGGCTGCAAAAGTGCAAATGGTTACAGAAGTAGCTATAGAAATATGGTGCCAGTGCCACCTATTGAAATCAGCTATTTAATCTTAAATGAAAGTCTAATTATATGTTGGCAAGAAATTTTGAAAAATGATACCTATACCAAAAAGGCTAAATTAGGATTAAGCACTTAGACGAAACAATCCTGGAGAGATGGATAAGTTGAATAAATCAATCCGGACTTACTTTCTGACCCTGTTTTACTCTGTCTCTCCATATCAATATTCTTCAACCCTCGCTCAATGTAACTTTGGAAAAACTGTGACGATTTTTTTAAGAATGGGTCGAGATCTGCATCTGGGTATTTCAGCTTGAAGTCAAACAAGTCATTCAAACCCTGAAAGTATGATTAGGTGATGAGAGAGGTGAAAAAGAGAAAAGAGAAGTGAAAAAGTAAGAATATTAGAAACAGTCAAACAGGTCATTCAAACCCTGAAAGTATGATTAGGTGATAAGAGAGGTGAAAAATAAGAATGACGAAAACAGCCGTAACATGACAGTCTCTATAATTTGTATCGACATCGAGGAAGTTAGTAACAAATCTGAAAAAGTGTATTCAATCAAATGCATGGCAAAAGATGAAAATGAGTGATATTTTTGTTATAATTGAGAAACTACCTCTAGCTTTAAAATTATAAATTATAGGTGCATCTTCATCAGTTTAAATAGATAGATTCATAAAAAATACAGTAAGAATAAAATATAAACTATGAGGAAGATACTTAATTTTAACCTTTACTAATTTATGTTACCTCTCTAGTGTTTTCTTTTGATCCTATCTTCTTAAAGATTTCAGCCAACATGTCATGTGTTGTTTTAGTCAACTTCTTGTTGCCATTTGTCTTACCATTCTGGAAAAATTATATTTATCAATTTCATTTTATTTCATATATTATACATACCCTAATGCATGCATTTTTCAATCATCCACTTTTTAACTACAGTACATACAAGGTATTAACATGCAAAATGTCACTACCTGCCATTTGTTACAGACGCTGAATGCCAACTGATGTTTGCAAAACACCAAACACTGCCACAAAATCAATATGTCACCAAAGAAGTAGGGAGAATTTTGAACAACAGTAAATCAATAATTCTAATTCCAATTCTACCTACTTCTTACAGTGGTCCATTGTAAGAGTTTATATGTAACATATACTATTTATGGAAATAAAGTATTATAATGTATTTAGAAAACAAGGCATTAATACACAAAATGCCACCACCTGCCATTTGTTACAGACATTGATGAGTTATTATTAAATGCCTAACACAGTCCACAAAAAATTGGAGACTATTAACAATATGTCACAACTTCTGGTGGTGACATAAAAGCGAAAGAACTTACATCTTTTCTAGGGGTTGTAATACGTTCATCTCCATTCCTTTCGGAGTTCAAAGTGTTAGTATCGCTGACAGTGCTGCCACCTACAGTTTTTAGAACTTTACGAAGATATGTCTCGACTTCTCCATTTGGAGTGGGAATCTGGGAAAGGTGATTGAGTATCTGAAATAAGAGGAGTCTTTATCATAACGTGAACAATCCATCAAACATTAAACAAATAGTTCTTTCTATTGAGGTGAATAGAATACCTCTGCATCTGAGGCTCATTTTTGTTATGATCTCATTTTACGATTCAGAGAAAACTATTGTTTACTTTTTGATCAACAATAACTTGCAACTAAATCAATAAGTTATGATGGTTCCAAAAACTGAAAAAACCCAAAGCCCAAAGGTCTAATAAGTCTTTTTAACTTAAAGTACTTATACGATGAATTGAGATTTGTGAAATTCAATCTTCTATCAATGTTAAATCCTCATAGTTACATCATGATAAACAACTAAATGATAATAACAACACGACTGAGAAATGAACTGATGTAATGCTTCAGTCATATTTGATCTACCGCAACCGTACCGCGACTGTAACTTCCCAAAATCAAGAGAAATATGCAGCATGAAATGTAGGGATTAACAGTACGATGTAGATTTTCAATATCGATTTTGTGAAACTTCGGCCATGGTAGAACAAATGTGAATGAGGCTTTATGCTAACACTTACTTTTGGGCCAGTGGCTTTAGCCAGGGAATGTAATATAGTCTTTATCGTCCTCAGGGGTGTATCGCTGGGCATGTCTTTCCAAGTGTGGGAGGGATACGCTTTAAGGAAGTTATGTAATTCCAACAATACTGAGTCTAAGTCTAATTCATTGACCATATTTGGTAACATGCGTGCAGTTTTCCATAAGCATTTTAGGATCAGTTCCATAAATTTAGGTGAGCAAGTTTCACTGGCGATGCATTCGTGAAGGAGGCGAATTAAAGCACTGAAATAAAAATAAATCCTGATATCAAATCTTTGATGAAAATGGGTACACTTATCTTTTAAACTACAGTAGTAACGTTAAAAATTAAAGATACATGTATCTAACATGATTCATATTTTTAAATATATGTTCCTTTTCCATCAGACTGCACCTCAATTTTGGCAGAACACTAAATATTGAAATACCTTAACTTTTCCCATTTGTGAGGTGAACCACGATACTTGGCAAATCAATGTAACTTTGGAGATTTACAGTCAATATGGTACAACGAAAATGGGACTTCTGCGCATGTTAAAATTTTTCGTCAAAACTCAACTTTTGTTCAAGTTGATACGATTGTCTTTCGAACTAGAGACTTACCTCATTCGAAAGATCATAAAAGACTTTATCTATACTGAAAATCTTAGATCCAAACATAGTAGAATACGCCGTCAGTCCGCATTTGATTTTTTGAAGTGAGTTTCGTAGATCGTCAGATTTCTCCGACTGATATCGGGTTATCTCAAACTGGTTCGTTTATAAATACGAATTTCTTTACCGTTGTAAGGCGCATGCGCAAAATTGATTTATAAACGTTATTGGTTGATGGTTTTTCTCCTGCGCATGCGTGAAGTCTGATGAACACTTATGACGAAGACCGGAGCAAACATTACTAGCTCTTGAACGAAATTCCAAGATTGAGGTCATTTCGCCGTGTTTGCTAAGCGTGTACACGTGAATGACAAGCTGTTTTGAGTAGATCAGGTACCTGTTTTAGACACAACATTGATTTAGCTTGACATTGATGTGCACATTGGCACTTTTGAGCATGTTAATACAAGTTTTTACACTCTTAGCACGAGACGGGTTTTCGAAAAATCTGTTATCTGATTCACTCGATTATCGTATGGATATGTATTTCTGCTGACATTTCAACACCACATCACATAGAATTACGATGCAGAATGATAATAAAACACAAAACAACTACTAAATTCCACTTGTTATTTCACAGGAGGTAAAAATGCAAACTGCCTAGATTCTTTGTAAGGGCCGTCAGACATCAGATTGGCCGCCATATTTGAAATGAAAATATCACTAAATAGAGGTCTGCGCATGTATCAACATTTCGACTGTTTAAAGTGATACATGATACATACATACTGTAGAGACACTTGTATATGTCTGCCTAGGTGGGTCCCATGCTTTCGGAAAACCCTGTACACTGAAGAAATAGTGATACAACAACTACCACAAGCAAAACCTTTCTACTTACGTCATAATTTCTGTCGGGTTTGACCTCTCCACTATCTTAACCACCATAACGTTAACAGATCTCACAACCTGTGGCCCATCATCGAGACTTGTGAGCCGTGTGTCCAATAGGATTGTAATTAAATGATAGACAAGATCCTTTAACACTCCACTGGTAGCCTCCTTTGCCAGACTGTTATGTTTAAATAACTAAAAATAAGATTTTTTATTCATCAGGATTTTTTACACATCTTCCCAGGATTTTTTTTGAGTGTGCTCAATCCTTGTTATATTCTTTCAGTCAAGCTGGTATTTGACCAAAACACACAGATTCATACTGCATATCTTGGGGTACCCTAGAAGGATCTGAAATCAATTCTAATCTAGGTGTTTTGATCAGATACCAGCTTTGCTGAAGGAGTATTACCCCTTTTGGTCAAATATCTCAAAACTTCACCCTTTCGGCATGATGCAAAATGACTTTCAAAAAGGTGGAATGTGATTTTCAGATTTTTTACAATACAGTATGCTTCATCTGGTTGCTCTTATTATTAAGTGTTTTATTCGTCTATGTTTTCATTACATTATCTTACAGTATAATGATTTATAGTGGTTTTAACATAACAAATATGTAAAATAAGAAAAACCAACGGACGGACGGATGCCTGGTCAATCCCATAGGCTCACTGTGTGAGCTAAAAAGCAAATATATTCACCCTACCTCTAACATAGTGGCTAGCAGACATCTATACAAGCTCAACATGTCCTCTTTGGATGTCTGCTCCTCTCCCATATGCTTCGTGTAGATCATTTTCAGCTTGATGGAGCACATCAATAACAGTTGGTCCATGTGGCTCACTAGCAACTCTGACTTCACGTCATCCTTCAGCACTTCATCAATCTAGATATGAGAAAAGAAAATCTTGTTTAGTATTCTCACAATGAATGCACAATGAAGTATAATGTAAATACATAAAATACAATACTGGAAGTGACATCATGGCTTTCCTGTACAAGAACTTGAATACTAGAATTGATGTCATGGCTTTCCTATGCAAGGGCTTAAATACTGGAAGTGATGTCATGGTTTACCTGTGCGAGGGCTTGAATACTGGAAGTGATGTCATGGCTTACCTGTGTGAGGACTTGAATACTGGAAGTGATGTCATGGTTTACCTGTGCGAGGGCTTGAATACTGGAAGTGATGTCATGGTTTACCTGTGCGAGGGCTTGAATACTGGAAGTGATGTCATGGCTTACCTGTGTGAGGGCTTGAATACTAGAAGTAATGTCATGGCTTAACTGTGCGAGGGCTTGAATACTAAAAGTGATGTCATGGCTTACCTGTGTGAGGGCTTGAATACTGGAAGTGATGTCATGGCTTACCTGTGCTAGGGCTTGAATATTAAAAGTGATGTCATGGCTTTCCTGTGTGATGGCTTGAATACTAGAAGTGATGTCATGGCTTACCTGTGCGAGGGCTTGAATACTGGAAGTGATGTCATGGCTTACCTGTGCTAGGGCTTGAATATTAAAAGTGATGTCATGGCTTACCTGTGCGAGGGCTTGAATACTGGAAGTGATGTCATGGCTTGCTACCTGGGAGACAACCAGGTTGATGGCAGATGCTGCATCCACATTGTTACCACTGGGCCTGCCTAGTAGCTTAGAACTGGGGGAGGGGGGTCGAGATCTGTAGCAAAGAGTTATATAATATTATATTAAAGGCCCCAAGCAAAGTAAAAAAAATTAAAGTAGTATTTCTATCCATCTTAGTAAAACCTTTTTGATATTAAAATGACATCATAATCATCATTTATTTATGGCTTTCTTTTTCCTTAACAAAAGTGGAGTTTATTTACTCCCATATGTAAATGTAATAATCAACAGTCAACATACTTTCGTTCAGGTAAATGTACAGTATCGTTGAGGATTTCATCAATATCATGCTCGACTAGTTCAGGCATCTGGATCTGGGAGCGGTCAGGTTCATCCAGCTCTAACTGGAATTCACCAGTTCGCTTTTTAGGTTGTGGAATACCTCCACCGCGATTTCTGCAAAAACAACATGAAGAGTGTCACTAAGAGACATATGTAAGGTCTAATATGCATTCTCCAAGCAGAGATCTTATTCAAATGTTTGAAACTTGCATTTGGAGGATGATCTCAAAAAGCAAGAAAATGTGCAAGAAGCCATTTTTCAAAAACACCAGAGTTCATAATTCCATTTCAACAGTCTTTATGATCTATATAAGTAATATCATGAAGGACTATTAAATTTCAGAAATCATACTTCATAACGTTTTTGAGAAATGGGCCTCAGGCTAATTTCACATGTGTATCAACAAAAGTATGATATTTATCCTCTATCATAAATACGCAAAACAAAAATCCTCAAATTGAATCCTAAAAACGAGAGGATAAAAATGTCCACAGGCCTAAAACCCTAGCTTATAACATGTATTAGAAATACAAGGATAAATATCATATCTGGCTCCATACTGTAAACACTTTCAGGTTACACATTGGAAAATCTGCAACTTCATCTGTCAACATACATTATCATCTGAGTACCATAACTAGGATTTGTCAAACATGTGAAAGTCTAAATTCTACATTGATAAAAGTTACTATGCATGACTATTATGGCTATATGATTCACTCTAAAATATGAATTATTCTGATTCAATCGTTTAACACATATTTTAAAATACGAGACATTTACGAACAATTGAGGATGCACAATTAGAGGTCACACACATGAACACACGATTTTGTAAAAATTTGTTATAAAATCAAAAACATAACTTGAATCAAACAAAAATAATGAATTATTAAAAATAGAAATGTCACATCAGGGAAGCATTTCATAATTTGGGCGAAGCACCACTGTAACTGGAGAAACACCATCATAATTAGGGTGAAGAACATTCATAATTAGGGTGAAGCACTATCAAAATTGGAGAGAAGCACATACATATTATAATATTAGCAAGTGACATTATCTTATCTTATTTGAGAGAAGCACTATCATATGTAGGGTAAGCACTGTCATATTACAGAGCACATTCATAATCAGAGATTTACAAGCTCATTTGCAGCATTGAATTTGCAGTCAAAGTGAAGCTGCAAGTATGTTTAACCAGAGTGTATAAAAATCAAATATGGAAAACAGAACAAAAAATATTTCATATTAGAGCCTATATATTGCACATGCATACCTATGCACAGGCACCATGCTTCATAACAATCTCCACTATGGGGCGAATATGGAATAGTCTCAATCCAATGTGGTATCTATTTACCAGAAGCCTCATAATCATAAAGTAGCATCCGCAGGACTATGCAACACAAATATTTACAGCAATAAGGAACCAACTCAATATTTCAATGTCCTTAAGAGGAATTGAATCCCACTTTCCCTTAAAAATGAACTTCAATAGTATTATTGCCCTACCAACACCTGTGCTGCCATCTTTTTGTCCATATCTATACAGTAAAATAATGCCATGCGAGTTCATTGATGTAATGAACCTGTCTCTTACTAGTGCATATATTTGTGTAGCGTACCTTTGCATTACGATGCAATATATAACAACGAAACCTCTTGTTCTACAAACTAATGGCGGAACTCATGGCAAAACAAGGGCAACACACGCCTTTCTATCTATCATTACATACCCTCGTACTACAGATTGGTCTAACTTAAATAGCTCTATTTGCTCAAAATCATTCTGGTTTGAGACTATATTGCAGCCGTTTTGGTCTATGTTTGGGACGGGGAAATTGTGTTTTGATTTAGGTTTGGTGTATGTCAAAAACTTGTCACTGCAATCCAGAAAATAACATAGCAGTGAGTGAATTGTGTAAATAGCAAATAACTTGAATGATGTGTAATGACTTGAATGATGTGTCATGACTTGAATGATGTGTCATGATAACACAGCAAAGAATGGAGCATCAAATATCACACAATTAAATGAGTATGAGTGAGTGTCAAATACAATATAGAAACGATATATGAAATATAAAGAAACTTTCCTACAAACATAAATACAAATAAATACACCAAGTACATATTTTCACTTAAACAATTACAACATTTAAGAAATTTAAAAACAAATCTTAGGAAAAATGACAAAACTGAAACTAAATCAGCAGAGTAAAGACTACACAGTACACATACACACAGCATAGAACAATAAGTTTTCAATCTTTTATTTGGGGAGAATATTATATTTTGCTCGCCATTTGAACATGTGCCTCTTCGTTCAAATGGCAGAGATCTGCTCAGTGCAATATTTCCCTGGTGTTAATTCTCAGATCTCGAGAGAAAGTTTCATTACCAAGGAGAGCAGATTATATAAAACTCTTATGATGATAGCTCAGAGTTTGTTCAAAAGCTAAGGGAAAATGCCTCAGCCATGACACGCCACAAATATGATTAAAATGTCCATCTGTTCATCTTTACTTCTCTCATTTTTTCGGTAAAATCTGAATAAAGAGTTTGATATTTTGTCCTTTCTATATAATTGAGTGAGTGGACTACATGCCTACTGCATTATTCCTTGCTGATTCCACTCTATTTTGCATATTGAAAACAGCTCTCATTTTACCTATTGCAGAGTTATCTCATGAGCTGGGAGAAGAGGGTAAGCAGTCTTAAGAACAGACCCCAAATTATGTCAATTTCCACCTTGCAAATTAATTGATCATTGTGAAATTGTGCATTGGACTGTAATAATTGGACTGTAGTAATAATTACAACACATATGACTTATCTATATGGGATTATACCTGTATCTATTGTACCTGGATGCAGAATAGAAAATACAATAATATGAAACAGGCACTGAAAAATGTGATGTTATATGGAGAATACTGTTTTTTGTTTTTTGCCTTAAACTGTAGAAGACAGGGAGGCAATGTTGTCCATGTAGGTAACTGTCGAACACTTAGTGTATGCAGTGTCATTTGTCTGACAATTACCTACATGAACGACAGTGCCTCCCTGTACTCTAGCAAAAACTGTGAAGTTGAACACCTCTGGTGTGGAACAGTTTTCTTAGTCCTGTGACTCACTGACTTCTCACTGTTCATGAACCTATATATAGAACACCTCCATGAGTAGAACACTTTTGCAAGTTTCTTGCAAGGGACTCAACTCAAGGCATTCCGCTTGCACAGCTTTTATTGAAATTCAATAGTAATTGTAATTCAATAGTGATCTCCACAGGATTTTTTCTCAATTGGAAGCAAAATTCTCATTTTCACAATTCAGACCAAAATTGGTCAAAATATGCCAATTTTTCTCATTTTCAAGTAGGTGCAAATGGATTTTCAGGTAGGGGCAAGCCTATTTTCAAAATCTCAGGTGGTTATTGCACCCATTTGATATAATGCTGGCGAGATTACTGATACCCGATAAAAAAATTTAATTCAGTAACTGCAAAGGATTTCCCTTTTCGAAAGAAACTACCAATATGGCATTTTACCATCAGATATAGCAAAGAAAGAGAAATTTTAAATAATGTTATAGTTCTCAACTTACTCGCTAGGTGGAGCTGACTTAGTTGGTCTGTTATTTCCGATCTCTCGTGATTTAGGACGTTCTTTTACATTCTCTGCCGGTGCTGGCTCTTTTATATCTTGAGAAGCTGGTCTAGATTTGGCAGTTCTTTTGATTCTCTCTTCAAGCATGGACATGTCCTTTTCATTTATCTAGCAACCAAAAGTAAGCGAGGGTTTTATTTAGAAGAAAGCTCTCGCCTCTCGTATTATATATGAATCAACCAAGAGGTTACCTAGTCGAGAATTAAAAAATTAATCTTGCCCATTTGAAAATTTATCATTGTACAGAGTTTAGAACTCATGAAAAAAATCATGAAGAATTCGGATATTTGGATAAGTACATTTACAATACAAGAAGCCTGAAGTGCATTTCATTTCAGGCCAGCCAAAGCTTGGAAATTACAACACAAAATCATACCTTCCCCAAGTATTTGTATGTGGTGTCTCCCAGTATCTGGTAAGCTGTTACAATAGAGTTGAGGGCAGCAGATCTAACATTATTATCTCTCTCTGATATCTGCGTGGCCATCTGTTTAAGTGCTGCAGCGGGCGAAGGCTGACATACATTGATGCCATACACTTCTATCAGACATCCTAACTCTTCTAGGCACTCTGGAATAAATTAATACGTTTGATTTATTTTGAAACCTTTCATTACCATTATGGGTTTACTATTCTTTGCAAGCGCCTTTTATGTTAACTTAAGTTGTGGTGTGGCTAATAATGCCTTCGGGCCCAGCCCAGAGGTTCGCTCAAACCCATCGAACCCCTCCTGGCTACGGGCCTGTCCATAATACCTAAATCATGGTGTTTTAGAAATAGCCCCTCAATGAAATTATTGCGATTAGGCTATATCAGACTAGGTCATTTCAATTTCATAATCTGTTAAATGCATCATATAGCAATGAACAACATTAGCAACATTGCTATATTTCACGAAGAAATGTACAACATTTCTGTATTGTTTCTCAAAAATATGTGATACCTGATGTAACTATAACACCTCGTAATATACAACTGAAGTTAAATCAAAATTTACAATATATTTGAGGCATTGTCTCCCGTTTTACGTACCCATCTTTTGCTTGGAGTTCTTGGTGGTTATCCCAGTGAGGATGTAATTGAACATCTTACTAGCAGGATATACTTTACACATCAATTTAAATATGGTCCTGACATCTTTCCTCATCTTGTCATTCTTCTCTCCAACCTAAAAACACAGAAGATAACCTAGCAGGATGGTCATGAAAAAAGAGAGGATATGTTGTTGATACTCCAAATTGTAAAAAATACCATAAAATTTGACACTTCATTCAATCATTCCTTGACATGTCTATTTTCTCAAATCCCATAATTTGAACATTTTCCCCAAATGTTTGCACTTTGAATCCTTATTACCTTCACCAATTTATAACATATCGCAAATCAGTTAGTCATCTGTGAATGTTGCATGTAATTTTGTCACTCCCTATAGATCTGATTCTCCCTTTATGAAGGGTTCAAATGTGGTTGGTGTCCAAAAAAGTTTAACACATATTAGAACATGTAACTCCCAAAATAAGAGTCATCAACAATTAGAATACCTGAATTATTTTATATAGGCTCTATTTTTTTCTCTTGTTAAGACCAACCATTTCGTAACACAACTGTTAAAAAATTGAAATTCTGTACCTTTAAGATGAGATAAGGAATGAAAGCAGATGCTTCAAACTCTGAAAGATGATAGTCTTCATCAGCCAACAAAACAAACAGGGATTGGAGATACTCCAGGGCCTTCAGAAGAACACTGGGGTTTGTGTCAAAGAATCTCAGAGTCATCCACTTTAAGATCAAGTCAATGTTTGCAAGTACAGCTGCACTATCTTGAAACTGCAAGTAATAAAGATTAAGTTATATAAATTCTTAATTATATAGCAGTGTATTTTTAAAATATATGCTACATGTGCAATTCAAATGATTGCATGACACCTTTCGTCCAATCACAAGAGAAATGTGAAATTTAAAGTGATCACATGTCAACTGTTGTCCAATCATGAGGCAAATGATCACATGACACATATTGTTCAATCACAAGACAGAAATTTGAAATTTCAAGTGATCACATGTCACCTATTGCCCAATCATTAATCAAGAGATAGAGCTGTGAAATTTCAAATAATCTTGTGAAAACATGACATCTGTTATCAAATCACATGACAGAGATTCTACCTTCATGAATGTCTCCACTGCTTTGATATGCTGCTTGAAGTCCTTGTGGAATAACTGCTCCATGAATCCAGCGCTGAAACTCTTTTCCATCTGGTCTCGCAGCTGGTCAACAAACTCTTCACGTGGAGTAGTAAAGTTCCACTTTAGCACCTAGAAGAATATTAGATTGTGATCTAATACATGAACTCCAGAATGGCAAGACATGTTATAGCGCAGTTGGAATGAGGGTTTAGGCGTGCGTTCAGAGGGATTTTATGGGACATAATTTTTCATGTTGCTAGTATGATTTTACATATTTTTATGGATTATTAGATCTTAGTTTTTCAGCTTTTAGATTTTGTGGCCATTTTACCTACATTGTAGAATGTTACTTTATCCTTCATCAACTCTACTTTGATTCTGGTTTCAATTTAACTCATTGGAGTAATATGGAATGCTCTGAATCAACTGATTCAATCATTTGTTATATTAATTTTACCCTCATGGAGTTCAGCCATACAAACCTTGAGTTTCTTTTCGTCTGATATGCGATTATCTTTGAGACTATTTGCTACCATTGGGGCACTGGTGTCCTCTTCTTCCTTTTTCTTCTTGCTAGAAGCTGGTGGGGCCTAAAGCATAACAGTTATCAGTTTATATTAATACACCTTTCAAAATATTTCTCGAGTCAGTGATCTTTCTAGTGCTGAAACAACTAGAACTGGATTAAAGAGGGACATGGGGTATAAATAGAAGGCAGACTAATGGAACAGCCAAAATAACTGTATTTTTGATATTTTCACAAAACTGGTCAATTTTCTCATATTCCATGTTGATTGAGAAGATGTATTGCTTCCAATTTTGTTATATGTATCTTTCAATGCTTTTAAGTTCATATTTTGCAGTTAGATTTCAACTTCATCTTTTTGTTGGATTGTGATAGGACATTTAAAAACACTGATAACATTTTTCAAATTTAAAAGTCCTCAAGCTTATTCAATCAAAATCAAGTATTTAGCAATGCTGTTAATTAAACTTACTTATCCTGACTATCTGTGCCATTTTAAAGTGTGGATGTAACCTGATATTTTAATGAGAGTTGCTAGCAAGTTTAAAACTGGCCTTTAAGCAAGTTATAAATTCAGCAGATGCTTTGCACAAGACACACATCTGAAATCCATTTGTGTTACTTTTGTGTTATCAAATAACTTATTAAGATTTTTACTGCCCTTAATATAAGAGGTAATATAGTAAATCACTTATTGTAACACTGACTCCAATACAATATTGGCTCCAATCAAATACATACAACACATCTCACCTTTGATTTCAGACCAAGCTTTGATTTTGGTTTATTTTGTGCAGCTTTCTGCGTTGGAGCTGGCCCACTTCCTGAGTCCATCTCATCATTCATGACAGCTTTCAGGTCAACTTTGGCTGTATGAGCAGCAGCAGCCTTAGCAGTGGGCTTTGCCTTTGCTTTGGTTGGCTTAGCTGGAAGGGCAGTCCTGGCCTTGTCTAGTAATTCCATAGCTTTTGTATTGGATGACCCCTACAATGATATTTATGCATAATGCTTTGGATGTTAACACAAGAAATTTTTTATTTGAATATTGGAGAGTATAAAGTTTAAAAGATATGTACAATTTTCTAGAAAGGTTAACAATTTCTATCACCCATTCACTTTTTAGGGTGTACATTAGGATTTCGAAGCTAGTGGTCAAAATTATGCATCTGGCATGCTGAAATAATAACATGATCTTTTCATTTTAACTGTGCTTTTGCCATATGAACTTACCTTTAATTTTGCCGCTGCCTTTGCCATTTTTTCATAGCCTGCATGGATCATGAAAGGCATGAGTGCATCTTGAGCCTTCTGTCTCACCCCAGCATCTCTGTGTTCCAGAGCAGCCAGAACAAAGGGGATGCACTGTTGCACTTCAGGGGCAGGTAGGTTTTTAGCAGACGGCAACTTCTCTGCCAACCAACCCAATAACTGCAAAAACACCAAAATAAGTCAAAATATTGCTAAATATGCACAAAATTTGTTTGACATAATGAATCGTTTGTAGAGTTTTGAAAAAGTATAATACATCTCAATAGAACATACATTATTTATAATAGAACATATACTAGAAAAAAGCACCATGTCTCAATTTGACATGAAATCTGGTTGATCGGATACCTAAAAATTCAAAAAATGATACCATAAGCAAGACTTGAGTACCTATTATGAGAAAATCACAGGTATATTTCAAAATATTCTTACCTCAGTTTTCAAATTAGGGTTCTCAATCTTGATATTATCTGTCATAAGTTCGTTATCAAACCACATGGCCAGGTTGCTCTGTTCCAGCCAAAGGTTCATTGTTGCAATGGCAGATGTACGTAAGTTTGGTTTGCTCTCTTTCAGTACCACTAAGAACCCTGGAGCTATGGTTTTGACATGTTGTTTAGCATGAGGTCCCATGGAGGTAGCCAGCGTCTGGCATATCGTGAGTGCTGTTCCTACCTATAGACAAAATGTAGAATATTGACATAATGTTTAAAACCAAGATGTACATTCTGAAATATAATTATTACTTCAATGGTCGCACTTTTTCCCATTTATTTTTCAATAAGATTTGTAAAATGGAGATGATCTTCTTAACAATTTGGAGAATTGACCAATGCCCGATTACTTTCATCTTCATTTTTTACACGAGAATGACATTTAAAACATGATCCATATATCACAAGCTTGTCCAACTTACCAGAATTTTATTTGAATCTGCCAGTCGTGTTTTCAAAGCCTCGGGAAGTCCCCCAATATTGCCCGTGATGAATTTATTCTCATTCAAAATGGCGACAATTTTATCGAGACCATCTCGGCGAATTTTCCAATTCTTGTCTGCGCACTCTTCAAGTAAAGCCTCTGTGATTTTATCACTAGAAACAAATGGAGACACATGACAAGAAGCAATATATCTAATAATACAACACTGGACATGACAGAAAACAAAATATATAATATCAAATACTCTTTGACAGTATAACTGATAAATAGAAAACTACTCCATCCATCTAAAGAGCCACTTGTAGTTCACAAGAAATTACATTTAGTTGTTTAGTATATACTCATAAATAAATCTGAAAAGTCTAATAAAGCAGTGCTTGTGGATGAGTTTGACAATGTTGGGACATCCCATAGCTATTCTTATTTCCATTGATAATTTTGGCAAAAAGATGCATGCAAAGATCACCTTTGTAGAATGGCTACAAGTATACTACCTTATATCTGTACGAGGAACAAGGTCAGCTATATTGACAGCATTATCTTCATCTCCTCCTTCGGCATCCTCATCACCTTCATCCGCCTCCTCCTCTCCTGCTGTCTGACCACGGATAGCTGCAGGAGGTTTATCATCTTTCACCTGGACAACAAAACAAAACAATCATCATCTTTCACCTTGACAACAAGACAAAACACTTAACATCTTTCACCTTGAACATCCTATTTTGGATCCTCTATTTTTATTCTACTCTTATTTCTACTAGTCATATATTTATGTTGTTCAAACTTCAAATCAACAATCTAAGTTCAAATATGTTGAAACCATCTCAAGTCAAATAAATATTTTAATAATCAAACTAAAATTCCCATTGCAATTTTTTGCTGAAGAATACACAAACAAATATACAGTACAGGGGAGGAATACTTTAGTGAAATGTTACCTTTTCAATTTCTGCATCAATCTGTTGCAAAAGGGCTGGTTTCTCACTCTCAAAAAACGATCGTATCTGAGGCCCCATGTAGAGGTAGATGGTGCCAACCAGGGCATAGGCAGCAGTCCGAACAGCCTAAATGAAAAATTTTCCAATGCATGTTTACAATATTTATGATGTAAGTTTAGAATATTTACAATTGCAATTGTACAATATTTGCAAATACAGTATGTGTATTTGAATATGTGTTAACAAAACTTGAGAAAACAACTTACAGGGTTTGTAGCACCAAAAGCGTTCTTGATAATAATAAGTAAAGGTTTGAGATTAACTTTAAAGCCAAACTCTCTGATGGCTTGTGATGCCCAGTTGAGAGCCTCAGCCTGGTTCTTTGGGTTCTTCTGATCAAATGCTGCCTTTGTTGCCTATTGAGAAGAAATGGTAAATAAATCATTACGCAAAACAAACAACAATTTATTTTGCAATTTAAAACAATACATTTTCAATGGAAATTGTTCTTGATCTAATCTAGCCATTTTGTTCATTGATAAAACATCCCGAACAGCCACTTCGTACCTGACAGGTGGAAAGAAAAATCAACCTTTATTTTTAACAAAAAAGGTACATGACAGGTGGAAAGAAAAATCAACCTTTATTTTTAACAAAAAAGGTACATGACAGGTGGAAAGAAAAATCAACCTTTATTTTTAACAAAAAAGGTACATGACAGGTGGAAACGAAAACCTTTATTTTTAACAAAAAAGGCAAGTGCAATCACCAAATAATTCCTTCCCAGATCTAGCAAAATCCCACTAAGAATTAAGACCTTATATTTTGTATACATCAACATAGAACAATTGCAACATGGAATTTTTTTTATTTTCACTATTTACAGTAAGTGGTTTGATTTTTTGAAGTCATGTCACCACTTTTCATATTGAGTTTCTTTCCCCCCATAAATGTACTCGTCATAGAGCATTCATAATACGGAGCAACCTTACCTCTGCACATATATGTTCCAGTGAGGTAGCCTCTGCCATACAAGATAAAGCCTCTTTAGCACCAGCTCCATTCTTTCCATCTGCCAGCTTATCAACAATATCCTTTAACACAAACTCCACAGACTGGACAGTGAATCTGGATTTCTTCGCTAACATATGTAAAAGCTCCAATTTGAGCTTTAACACTTGAAAATTACCATCTTTGAGTCCTGGTTTTTTGATTAGTGTTCTTACAAAGACTTGGCACAATATTTCTTCTCTACTCATGAAACCAACAACCTGGAAATACAATAGAGAACATGTTTATTGTATGTCAACAGAATACATGTTTCTGCCAGAACACTATTATTTAGCTGTCCTACAACCCCAAAATGCAATCTGATTTTCCACACCGTTTCGGTGCCGTTTCGGCACCAAATGGACTGACTAGTCCGGTGCCAAATTTTGGTGTCGAAAGGTTTCGGTGCTGAAACGGTGCCGGAACAGCGCCGAATGTTTTCGATGCAGAATCATATTGGCTGTGTAAACGAGTTCAAAAACAGCCATCAAAGCTGTTTAAAAAGAAGTGACCGATCCAACTGAATTTTGATTCTTGAATGATGAATTCCATTCAAACTGTAAATAAATTACAGGAATTTTCGTGTAGACGACATGAAATACTTGAAGCCCAATTGATTATGATATTTCAATTAGAGAAAGTGAAAATCTGGACAGAAGACTGAATCAATGATTCTTGTTACATTCAATAAAAGCCTTGTTCCACTTCCTCTGGATATTCTACATAAAGTCACGAACCTCTTTGAATTTCTCCATGCCCTCAAGTCGAAGTTTCCAGTTAGCGTTAGTTAAGTTAGTTAGCGTTGCACCAGGAAGCAAAGCTTCAGCTTTTTCATCAACTGTATCATCCTAGAAAAGAATTAAAACATATATATTAAGAAATTGTGCCAGAATGTGAATGATAGCATAAAACATAAATTACAAGTCTTCCCTAGAATTATATTTGAAAAATGTTGGCCTTTTCAAAATTCAAAGATAGCAAAGAAAGAACTTACTCCAAGTATTTGTTCTGTGGGAAGACCTTCTTTAGGGGGAGCTCCCTTCTTTCCACCCTTTTTAGCAGCTCCTGGTTTAGCTTTGGGAGGCTAAAACACATAAAATGTTACTTTACCTTTACAAGTAAAAAGTGTAGTAACCTAAAAAGAAATTTATGTTAATCTGACACTAGGCTATGTATCTCAAAACCTCATCTTTCTATTCAAGGATTTTTTGTTTTATCTTTATTGGCCCACATTGTATGAAGTATTAAGTACAATGTATGTGTTGTTGGTTAATGGATAAATGTTGGAACTCACACTCAAAATCTATCTTGAGTAAGAACTCACCAGAGAACTTTGGAATCAAATATTTTGGGAGTTGAAGGAAAAAACCATCCCGCCACTACTTGGGATACTAGTAATCCAATATCCTTACCCGCATATAGGATTAAGAGTTTAGAAGTGTTACTTACCCCTCCAGCTTTAGCAGGAGCTGTTTTAGGTCTAGCTGCAGCAGCACCCTTGAAACAAAAAATACATATTATATATACATGTTTTCATTAACAAGATATTATAGCAAATGATAATGGCAATTTTTTATTTTGAAGCATAAGTAACAAAACATAATTGTTCTCTTCCAGACATGATGTGACCACATGATTAATTTTGGTAACCGGACAACTCATCCCCTAGACAACTCATCCCTGGACAACTCATCCCCTAGACAACTCATCCCCTAGACAACTCATCCCCTGGACAAGTCATCCCCTAGACAAGTCATCCCCTGGACAAGTCATCCCCTGGACAACTCATCCCCTAGACAACTCATCCCCTGGACAACTCATCCCCTGGACGACTAATCTTTTGGCATGTTTGAGTATAGTAATTTTTAAATATTATATTACCAATTCAAATGTTTAAATGTTTTGGTTGTGGATATGGTCAGCTTTAAGTTTCAAAAAACATATATTACATGAACACTGTTACTCCACTCAATTACGCTGTTGATCCGTTTGGGTAACAAAATGTTGGAGCCTCGAAGGTATATACGATTTTTCTTTTTTCCTTATTTCACGAGTTGTAGGCTGAATTCCCATGACATTCTATGTCTCGCTTTTGAAACTTTATGTAAACAGAACTTCTAAAAGGTTAAGATCTGCACTTCTAACCCGTTCCATTTATGCATGGGCTTTCAATTAGATATGGTTTATGTAACAATAGTGAGGTATTAAATCAACGATTCTGTTGTCTTCTGTACTATTTGTTTGCAAACATGTACATTTTCTTAAACATATGATACCGACAAACGTTTGTGATAAAAATGTCGTGGGAATTCTGCCTGCAACACCGGAATTAGGTAAAAATCAAAATCGATTGTTTCTTTGAGGTTCCGACATCGACATCCGTTTCAGTAACCAGCATAATCTATTGGAGTACCAGTGATTAACAAAACTTTCTGGAGGGGAAAATTGCTAAAAAACAAAGAGATAATCAACCAATTAATCTGTGATTTGTTTTGTAAATATTTACTTTTCATTTTGATATGATATTAATTAACCAGAGACATATAAAACAATATATGTCTCTGTATTAACATTGATTGAACAAGTTCCTTTGATGTTATATGTTTGTTGTTCATAGCTCAAATATTCTTTAATCCAAAGATTATTTTTTCACAGCATTCACAGATGAAGTTAATGAAGTTCATGTTTAAGTTATACACAAAGAGAACTTTATTTGTTTGGTCAGGAAATATTGAGTCATGTAAAATAAGAAGAAGAGATGAGAGTTTTAATGACATCGTTTGACTGTTTATTTGTGTCAGTAAAGTGAAAAATAATATTTTGAATGATCTAAGATGTATTTACTAAGCATTTCTTTTCAAGACACACTTTACAATTTAGCTTCATGTGATGAAGGATGAGTTGTCCAGGGGATGAGTTGTCTAGGGGATGAGTTGTCCAGGGGATGAGTTGTCTAGGGGATGAGTTGTCCAGGGGATGAGTTGTCTAGGGGATGAGATGTCTAGGGGATGAGTTGTCTAGGGGATGAGATGTCCAGGGATGAGTTGTCTAGGGGATGAGTTGTCCGTAAGCCTTAATGTTCTGATGGATCATATAAAATGTTTAACTGATTAAGCCTTCTCAGAATAGGCGAGGGGAATGTATTGCAAATATTTGAAAGCCAAACAAGGCATTAACATGCAAAATGTCATCATCATTTGTTACAGATGTCAAACTCTGAATGCCAACCGCAAAATATTGTCACAAAAAAGTTGGAGACAATAACAATGTCACCACTTGTTGTGGTGACACAAAAATCAATATCACTTACCTTAGCAGGTGCTTTAGCTGGGGCAGCTTTGGCAGCAGGAGCAGCTTTAGTTGCTTCTGCCTTTGGTGCACTTGGCTTGCTCTTTTTACCAACAACTTCTGCATTCTCACATGCCTCTTTTATCTGAATTTGGAAAATAAAACCAAATGTACCAAGTTACTACTATAGATAGCCAGTTTCTCAATGGCCTGATGGGATAAAACATGCATCATAAGCGTAAGTATGAAAGCCAATAGCTTATTTTGCAACAGTTCCATAAATCAAAAGAACAACTGATTTGCATATCTGTATTAACCAATGAAAAATAAGGTCTGTATAAACGTCAACTCGAACTGATGTTGCAAGTTGCAGGTCATTAAAATTTTAAAAATAATGAAGTATTTTAGGGTTGATAACTTGGTAAAGAGATTGGGCCACTTCCACTTAGAACAATATATATATTTCATTACTGTTTATCCATTACATACACACCTTTCCTTGTTTAATAGTTTCTACATCAGCCAGAAATGGCATCAATGGTTTCTCTCCAACAACTTTCATAGCTGTTCCCAATGCTTTAAATGAGGCCTCTCTCACATCTGGTACAGTGTCGTTGATTGTCTAAAATATAGGTAAAATTTACATCGAATCAAGAAATATAGACCGAAGAGCAGGGGTAATATCGTCGAATACACCCCACATGGCTAGGCACAAAGGTTTGAATGAGGCCACTCTCACATCTGGTACAGTGTCATTGATTGTCTAAAATATAGGAAAAATTGACACTAATTGGCGAAATGCTGACACTTGATTCAGTACTTTGACAATACATTAAGTACTTTGTAAGTAATTTGGCACTGAAAGATTGAACAAAGGACAAATGTTGTTTGATTCTGAATGCCATTAATGAAGTTTGACACCAAGTGTTATTATAATACTTTGACAATGAATACCATATTTGGAAACTTATGTTAAAATCTGACACTGTATTTAATAGGTTGATAATGAATGTAGAAATGTGTTCCTAATAATGATATTTTACTTAGTATGCATATTACTCTTAGAAAACCTACCTTACACAAAGGTGCACAAAACATTTTCAGTAGTTTCTTTGGGAGAGTTTGCATTGTGCATTTACTGAAAGATCTGGCCAAGAATGAAGCAGTTTCAGCTTTAATTGAAGGGTTCTTATTACCAAGTGCCTCTACGATGTCTTCACAAACTGGGTCTAGGCCACACTATAAAAGAAACAACAAGGCATTAACTTGGTAAAATGTCACAACCTGACATTTGTTACAGACGCCATGTAACAGACGCTGAACACCAACTGCCGCCACATAACAAGGCATTAACTTGATGAAATGTCTCAACCTGGTAAGTTATTGCAAATGATTACAACAATGGTGTAACAATTTATCAATGAGACTGACGGCTGAATGGCAGGCGCAAAATCATGGCAATAACAATATGTCTCCATTCCTTCATAGCCATTGTAATAGTTGTATTTTGTGGGTATTATAGATAAACAAACACACTAGGTTGTGATTTACATTGTGACTGTATTCTCTGGTCTCTACTGAGAAGTGAGCTTACAACATGCTGTCCAGTGTTAGACCCAGACGGTTATATAATCAGTACAGGTCATTAGGTTCATGGAAGGTCAGGATACTACAGTCATAGTATCAGTAATAAGTTGGCAAACATATGAATCAATTGGACAAAAATAACTCTTTTTTGCGAACATATGAATCAATTGGACAAAAATAACTCTTTTTTGCGAACATATGAATCAATTGGACAAAAATAACTCTTGAAGGTTTTCTTTAACTTGCATGAACGAGTTTTTTTTGTGTTTTTTTTCATTTTCATTTGAGTTACATATCTCACACAGACACCATAGGCCATATACATGTGGTAGGATAATGTAACTTAATGAGGTTAACATTAATACAAGGCTAAATACTTAAGTTAAGATAGTACTTGCAACTGTGAACTGAATAAAGCTGTATAAACTTACAGATATAAAGGCAGCATCTATGGCTTCCCGTAATGCAGCAACAACAGTTGGTTTCTTTTCCTTAAACTTCTCAAGAATTGTTTGTATAACTCCTGCAGCGTGGGGCTTGAAACCTTGTCTGACGCCATTAGCAATACAAGCCAAACATTTGGCTCCTAGCGTCACTAACATAACATTGGTATCCTTGGAAACCACCTGAAAAATAGAATGTTCCAAAAGAACTTCAGTCTCCAAGAGCATTAGAGATGATATTGTTTTCACTTATATGAGAATTCGGAAGCATTTTGTCACTCTCTCTCAGACTGGATTTCAAATTACTCATCAGTGAATCTCACCAATAATATAAATAAATTAGGCTATGCGGTACAAAAAATCAGGAAAAAAGGAAAAATTCAATACACAAGATGCAGCCTCTGATGATGTTTCCAGTCTCTCTTGGAATTGTTCACCATATAAATTGTAAAAATATCATTATTCAGAGCATTAATTGCACCCACCTTCTTCAATGTCTTGACTATGTCGTGGTAGTCCCCATTCTCCAGCTTGGGATTATCAACCAGTTTAAATACTGCATCTAGAGCTTCCTTCCTCTCTTGCCACTTCTTGGCCTCCTGGAGTATCACAATGAGAGACAATGTAGAAAGTGAACTTAACCCTTAACAAGGCATTAACATGCAAAATGTCACAACCTACCATTTGTTACAGACACCGAACACCAACTGCCTAACACCATCCACAAAAAATTGGTGACTATAACAATGTCATCACATTTGGTGGTGACATAATAGTCGGCATGCTACGCTTTATGTCATGCCTGCAGATGAGTATCATTGTCCAGCATTGGTTATTGAAAAAAAAGTAGACCACAGGGACCAGTAAAATGGGCTTTGTATTTGTTCGATCCAAAATATCTCAACATTTAATCATATATATGTAATATTTTCAAAATAATTGTTGACTATATAGTATGTAATGTATTGAGCCACTTACGATTTTATCAAAGTAATCTTTAGGAACTTTAGAGATGACCTCAACAGCTGTCATCATGTCATATGGGTCTAACTCCTCTTCAGGTTCAGCATCATCATCATCTGTAATAAAACACATATGTTCCTCGAATAAATGTCTTGGTGGGCATGTTTAAAATTCAGAAGAGAGAAATTAGCATGGAATAAAGTAAACAGAATTGTAGTAAAAACTACATATTATTTAACAAAGCATTATATGAAAAATGACACCACCAGCCATTTGTTACAGACACCAAACACCAACCATCGACCGCTTCCACAAAAATGTAAGAGACTATACAATATGCCATCACTTGTGGTTGTGACGTAAAAATGTTTGAGTTATTTTATTCAATTTAGATATATGTAAATATTGATGAATAAGAGAATTCATGACTTCTCTACAAAATGTTTAACCTTTACTAAAAGCTCAAACATCTAATGCAAAAATATCTTCTTTTTTAATACATAAGTTTATTCCTTTAGTTAACAATAATAGACATGCAATTAATTGCCAAAGTTTTATAAAAAACATTAGCGGCAAAAATATCTTCATAACCCCCGTCTCAAAAATTACTGAGGTAAAACTTAAATTTGTTCCAACCCACCTTCTTCCACATCCCCTCCTTCCTCTCTGGCTGCAGCCTGTGCCTCAAGCTTGGCCTTCAAGTCTTGCTGGGACCTTAAGAACATGGTCTGCTGGGCTTTCTCTTTTGGTAAATTTTCAAACTCTGCTTCGAGTTCTTGTAACTGAAATATTGGAGTGATGAATCTGTCAATATAGTGGAGATTAATGTCTTCCTTTGTTTTGGGGAGACTTATCTTAGTCTATGCAATATGAACGTTATTAAAGCAGCAAATATTTGTAACACGATACGTCTCATTAATGTTCCAACAATGGCAATACTATTGACAGGTCCATGCGCAAAGTTCTTAAAATAGACTGTAGCAAAGTAAAGGCTGAATATCAATTATGGACATCAAACAGTTGACAGAACCACACTTGTCTATTCATGTCATACGCACCAATACTGGTTTAAGGTTGGCAATCTGTGGTTTAAATGCTGGGCCCACCCATCTGTATATCTCTACTGTGAGTTTCTTAGTTTCTTCTCTAACATTTTTGTCTCGGTCCTCAAGTAGCTTTGGCAATAGTTTCACAATTGGCTTTGCCGTAATAATCTTGTTTCCAAAACCACTGAAAATGCACAAGTACTCGTAAATGTCAATTAATGTATAGAATAAATGATTATAGAGGAAGTGGCAAATATCAGTACAGAAAAACCTGTAAAGTAGAGTCGTGCAGCCTATTGACTTATTGTTAAATGAACCTCTGTATGTGAAACACCTCCCAAGTGAAACACTTTTTAGAGGTGCCAAATATGTTCCATCAACACAGGTTTCACTATCCATTAAAATATTTTACAATAATGATATGAAATTTACCAATTCCATGCTGATTTCATATTTTTTATCTGGCATAAATAGACAAAGCGCAAACAGATGATACCCAAATAGAAGCCCAAAAAGAAAAAAGCCAAATTGTAATTAAAATCAATGAGGCCCAAACAGAATCCCAAATGAAATATGCTTAAAAAGATAACTTTACTGTGGGTTTCATTAGCAGCAGGCAACAGGCCATTTTCACTGGTTGTTTTCACAAAATTGCCTGTTGTTTTTAGGAACTTTTCAACTTTTCCATATTGAAGTGATGATTTCCATTAATTTTGCCTGTTGTTTTCATTGATTTATTTTTCCATATTAAAGTCATGATTTCCATTAATTTTGCCTGTTGTTTTCATTGATTTATTTTTCCATATTAAAGTCATGATTTCCATTAATTTTGCCTGTTGTTTTCATTGATTTAGCCTGTTGTGAGAAATTCTAATGAAACTCCTGATTAAGAGAATGGTCTCAAAAATATCCTACCTTAGTGCCTCTCTAAGGGTAATAATACATCCAACTACTACTTTAGGGTTCTTGTTCTCTAGCCCTTTAATCAGCTCCTCTTCAACTATCTCCTGCTTTTCTATTTCAATGTATGCCATAATTATTTCAATCCCTGTTTGTTTTGTTTTGGCTCGTGTTGCACTTAGACATTTTTGTATGATACCTGGGAGGACCTCCCCTGCAGTCCTGGAGACAAACAAAATTATGAAATGACATGTAACAATAGACAAAGGCAATATAGCACTCACTAATTATAACAATTATCAAAATTGATGTTCCTAAGCTCTGAGCAAAAAGGTCTTATACATGTATTTGGAAAACGTCCAACACAGAAAAACAAGAAAACTTTTCTCAATACAAAATACATAAAAGATCTCTGTATAAAACATATCAATTCTGATCTTGTCAAAACAACCAAGATCCTTATCTAAACAATCCCGATTCCATAAAACAACCCAGTCCATTTAAAAGCAACCACAGGCTCAAATCCATAATGAATGGACAACACCTACTTTGTTGCAACTGCTGCATTCTGTACAAAAGACAAGACCACCTCAGCCCCCTTCTCCTGTGATATAGCATTGCTGTCCATGACAAACTTCTTCACCAAGCCCATGTAAGGACCAAATATGGGACTCTTCTCATCTGCCATTTTGAAGGCTTTTATAGCATCTTCATAGCCTGCAACTCTGGCCTTCCATGCCTGAAAGTGAACAATCAGATGATTTAAGGATTTGCAAGAAACCAAAATAACTAAAAAACATAATAAATTGACATCTTTCAAAAGTTAACACATGGGAGATAATAGGGGAGAATGTTAGGTTTATTGGAATACTAAATGGGCTATTAATAGATAGAATATGGTACTAAAATGAACATACAGTTGGACATCATTTGGTTATTTTAATAATATTCTTTATGATTCATTAAAGTGCTGTATAACAATTTTCGAACCAATGAGAGATATTTGTTTACCTTTATCTAACTGATAACATTGTATATTATACAAGTACTAAACTTACAATATTTAAGCTATGGTAAAACCTACATCCAATTCAAACACTACTGGGACTAGCCATAAGTGTTCAGATTGCAGGTTTTACATTTCAAGTTTTTTTTAACATGGGATCGGGAGCTTGGGATCTATACGGCAGATATTGAAATAAGGATTGAAACAAGTGTTCACATTGAGAGGTGTTCAGATTTGAGAGGTTTTGGATATACAGGTTTTACTGTACAATGAAGCTCAAAAACTCTCTCTGTAACTTGTTATCAGTGAATCATTTTACGCTTTCATTTATACAACAAAATACGTTAATGGAATCAAACTGCAGGCACATAATAAATCAATATACAGACACAATAGCACAACATGGCTAGAATACAAAATGAAGTGCAACTGATTGTTGTCACTTCATGCATTATATTAACTTTGTTGAAGGTGCACAGAGAGACCTTTCATTAATGAACACATTCAACTGGTACAGTACTGTATGTATACTGTTGTAATTTTGAATTCTGTTTGGGATACTATTCAGAATACTGAAAGTCAGATAAGAATGTTGAATTAACTTTTATTTCGAGGAAAAATCCAAGTTGTTTGTTAGGCTTTCAGACTTAGGTATAGACAGCATCTCAATCTAATTTTATTTGATAAGAAACATTATCTTACTCAAAGTCGCTTTGGGCCATGAGGTAAAAAATTCTGGGGAGGGGGGAAGTGTCAAACTTTTCATGCGTCTGTGAAAATCCTAGAGATCTTCCTTATATTGATCTTCTAAAATTTAGACTCAAGCCATATATTCCAATGGTGGTGGGGCAGTGGGGATATGAGATACAAGTTCTAGGGGGGGGTGAACTTCCTTACCTTGTGTACACATTTCTCCTCTGTGGGGAGTTTCATCCATTCTGACTCATCCCCCATCTTCTTGACCTCACTATACTATCTTGCTAATTGTGATGTGACATGAATGATATCAGCCTATTCCTTATGTAGGTTACGCCAGCATGGACCCCTTAAAATAAAAACATTCTAAAGATTAAGTTAGAATGAAATAATTTAGGATATTTTGAAACTCCTTATAAAGGTTACGTCAACTTGGACCCCTTAAAATAAAAACATTTTAAAGATTAGGCTTCAATGAAATAATTTAGGATATTTTGAAACTTGATTCTGGAATTTCTACTTTCTACAAAAAGAATCTAATATTGCACTAATTAGCTAAGTTTTGAGAATAGAAATTAAGCTTGTTCCCTTATCTTTATACAAAAATAAATTTTGGCTAAATATAGACTACATTTACTCTAGGTTGAATAATCAGTAGAGCCAAAGTATACAGTTGTGTACATGTATTGATAAAATACCATGCATAAAATAACATCCATGTACAGTTTATTTCTCTCCTGAGTTTGGCGAATACCTTTCTCTTACTTTGCAGTTTATATAATCTTCCAGAATATTACATTACATGTCTGTCTACTTCATTTCTTGCTAATTCCACTCATTTCCCCACTTTTTGAAATTGCAAAACTTGAATTTATTAATATTTTATCCCTGGGCACTAAGTAGTAGTAAGGAATAAGAAGAATGCAAGAAGCTATATTTATGACTCACTATGTTAAAAATAAATATTACATTACAATTGAACAAATAAACAAAAACAAATATCCATTTTGATGAATAAATCAAAAACACACATATACACGTATAATACAAATGATATGGGTCTTAAAAAAAGAATGAAGAAAAATCCTAACTTTAAAAACATTGGGCAATGAATTCAATCAAGAGATAAGTATTTGAGAAATAATGCATGAGGGACTAGATGAAAACATTTTAACACCAATCAAATCAGCTGACTTAATTAAACAACCAGTCTATGTAAAATATCTTTAATTATTATATGGCTGTCAGTGTCATGTACCTCATTCTCTGATTGGTCCTACACATGACTAAAAATAACAAGTGATATTCAACAGAAGTCACATGACTTCTGTTGAATATTAAATGATATTCACCAGTTCGACTTAGTCCAGTGTAATTTTATATTTACCTGGGAATACATTGTTATGATTAATTAGACGATAGGGGAAGATGATCGGATAAAATTTATTGAACTCAGCTCTACCCCATCGCAATACCAGCGCCCCTTTTGTGTTTCTGAAGCGGCAGACAAGAAGGGGTCTGGTTCTAGTAATCCAGAATGCTGTTAAGAAGGTGACAGAGAGCATCCATGGACTATGATAAGCAGTCTGTGACTCCGATCACTTCATATTTACATATACAAACCTGAGCACAATTCATGAGATTTTGAGGGGAGAAATCAACGATAAGATGAGCTCAAGAATTTGACATTTTGTCAATAAGATGCATCATGGGCTTTCAACTAGAAAGAAAAACTAGAAAGAAATAACTCAAAAATAAAAACATGATTATCTACATACATGTTAATAATTTAATAAAAAATGGAATTCATCATAATTATGACAATACAGAAAGTGAACATTCTTCCACAAATTATGTTTTTATTGGAATGTGTTCTTGAATAATTACCCATAATGCAATACTCGAAGAGAACATCTTGATACCTCTTATTCTTATTGGTCTTTTTTGTTTACTTTTACATGATATTGAATATATTTTATGCTTAAATCATATTGAAAAATGATTTTTATTCAAAATAATACTAAAACATATACATTTATCTAATACTTTTTGAAATATTACCATAAAAGGGAAGCATGGCATTGCTCATTTTGAAGGTCTCATGTTATTACACAGAGTTGCATACCCTTCTAATTGAAAGCCCATGGATACATGTATTGGCGTGGCAATATAGGTCGCTTAAAGTTGAAAATCATTTATTGATGATGAACAAGTACTTTGAATCTGATTGTTAAAGGGAAATAATGTTTCTTGTGAGACAGTATGTTCTCCGTATTGTCGGGATGGTGCTTTTGAATGAAGTAACTATATAGTTATACCATAGTTAGAAATGATGTTGAACTGAAATTAATATGGGAGCTATCCACGGATCAAGAGGTCATGAAGCTAATTTCAGAAAAAAATATTGTTATTTTCAAAAAATAATACGCATTTTTATCATGATTATCCAGTTTTGGCAGTCATACAAACCCGAGATAACACCTAAATGATAGAGGAAAAAATAATTCATACCTCAACCTATACAATTCTGGCCAGATATTACTGCATAGTAAGACCATCGTAAAATTTGTTTTCTAGACTCGGAGCACCTTATTTTGCAAGATTTGACCAATCAGATCGCACGATGTCTATAAGAGACGCATGCGCAAAAGTCATGAGATATTATTCATCGCAATTTTAGCCTAAGAATTCAAAATTATCCTACACAAATATTCCCATCATGAATTACCCAATAAACAGATAGGCTAATGCCTATACTTGGATCTTATTTCCTGCATATTGCAAAAAAATCACAATGCACACTCAGACTCAGATTTTTTTCTGAAAAAAAGATTTTCCGAGATGAACATTGGACACAGATTGCGGCCTAAAAGATAGGGCTATGTCCAGGAATTGGAGTTCTATGTTTTAATTATATATAGATGAACAAATAAAAACTTACCTTGATCAATGATTGAATACGGTCTTCGATAAAATCGATAAAATGTCAATATTCAAAATTCAATCAGTTGATAGTTCAAAACCAAAATGGTGTCACGTGATACGAAATCGTTCTTTGATTGGTTGAAGGTGACGTCTTCCTTATCTTCGCTAATTTTTATTATTCTCTGGAAATGAGATATTATTTGGATTTAATCTTTGGAAAATCAATATGATTTGAAATCATTATAATTAACTGAAAAATGAGAAAGCATTCATGATAATGCTATCAAAAATATGCCTCGTTTGATCGAGAGTTAAAATCCAAGATGGCAGCCCCCATGATCCAAGTTATGTTTTTCTATGAAAGTGCAATTTGTACCTCCAGATAGGATAAACAAATACTGTAAAGCTAAGCAGTAGAATTGAACACTAATGCAGTTACAAAGAACCGTAAGTAAATAACTCTTACTCTTAGTAACACATAGTTTTTTGGTTACATCCTAAAAATGTAACTTTTACACATGAACAGACCATGGGGTTTCAATTAGAAGGGTATGCAACTCTGTAATAACATGAGACCTTCAAAATGAACAATGCCATGCTTCCCTTTTATAGAAATATTTCAAAAAGTATTAGATAAATGTATATGTTTTAGTATTATTTTGAATAAAAATCAATTTTCAATATGATTAAAGCATAAAATATAGTCAATCTCATGTAAAAGTTAACAAAAAGACCATTAAGAATAAGAGGTATCAAGATGTTCTCTTCGAGTATTGCATTGTGGGTAATTATTCAAGAACACATTCCAAAAAGAATATAATTTGTGGGTGAATGTTCACTTTCTATATTGTCATAATTACAATGAATTCCATTTTTTATTAAATTATCAACATTTATGTAGATGATCATGTTTTTATTTTTGAGTTATTTCTTTAAATCATCCATAAAAAGGACAAAATGAGATTTTCTTGGAATGTGCACATTCTCCAATTTTGAAAAGCCAAAGGCAATGCTTATGTATGAAATATGGGAAGTTGCCTACCCTTCTAGTTGAAAGCCCATGAACAGACTCAGCATGTGAACCTTCAAACATGTGAATATTTCAGCATACCTGATGTTTTACTGTACATGTATGCGTCCCATGTTGTATAGAAGTAGTAATACAGATGTCGATTCGCTATTTTATACATGTTCCCGGGGCCTATGTTGACACCATTTGTTTGGTTTTTGGTCACTTCACGGAGGGTTCTTCAGGTCCTTGGTCACTTCAACATATGGTCGTGCTAACTCTCCACATCTTGTTGTCCTCTGCTGATCAATCCTGTCTAAGCCTTTCCTAGCGCTAGGTGCATAAGATGCCGTAATACTAACAGGAAATGACAAAACCTGAGGCCCAGGAATACATTAAAAATGTTTAAAAAGTCCCCTAGTGTACTGAGTTGGTAATGCGTGGTGTATACATGTATATTAATATAGTTGTCATACATGTAACATTGAAAATGACCCAGACTAAACTGAACAAACAAACTACACTGTTTACCAACTCCATTTACTTTTAAACAGGCTAATGGACAAACATTATTGACCCCTCTTATAGATCATTGTGAACTTGAGTCAATTGGAAAGAAAATATGAAGAGAGTCATCATTGTTATGATTTGTATTTACAGATTAACCAACCTACCATTGGAAAGAAATTATGGAGAGAGACATAACTGTTGTGAGTTATGACGATGCTGTCAAGAAACTTACTGAAGAATATTCCTGTTTTGAAAAAGTAACAGCAATACAACATGTAGCACTTCACCCGAAGTTCAGCCAGAAGCTACGTACAGGAGTGAAAACTTATTTGGACACACAATTGAGACTTTATTCTAATAAGTAGGGATGTTTCTATGTTGAATTTGTATCATTTTGCAGAATATGTTCTGTTATTACAGGGTGTCCATAATCTCTCTTTACAAACATGGTAAAGAGACTTCATGGACACCCTGTATTACTGTATTTATACATTGAGAATGAAATTGAAAAATTGTTATAATTACGAGGAATATTTTGAGATATTGTAACTCAGAAAATCAATGCAATAATAAAATCAATATTTATGTTTTCAATATGGAATTGGATGTATGTATATGTATTTTTTGATAGCGGGCCTGGCTAATACTAAGTTTACAGATGTTGGCTTTAGTGTTTATATACATGTATTTCTGTTCAAATTGTCCTTCACCTCACGTTCCTTAATTACATTATAGTATATCACTATAGCCGTCCCCTTCTGTCACATATTCTTCTGAATAAGGCTTTCAATGTTTCAAAAATGATCACATTTTCCCTGAATTTTAACTTTCAGACTAAAAGGCATAGTGGTTGCCTATAGCAACATAAAAAGAGTAAAGGAATACGGTGCAATAGTGGATGAGCAAGCACACCTCCATTATGATATACAAGCTGACTATATTGTTTTCAAACCTAAAATTGGGAGCATATTAAAGGGTTAGTAGATACGGAGTAATACTATAGCCTCAGTCACATTGGCTCTACAGTGACCATACAGTGGCCATAGCTTCACAAAATCAAATAGAAATTCTACATCATACTGCTTATCCCTATTATATTTTATGAAGCTTAGGATGTTGTATGGTTGCCTTAGATCAAATGTGACTGAGGCATTAGGTACACAGCAAGTTTTTCTGGCAAACTATTTCTGGTGGTTCACATTGAAATTTTTTCACCCAATTGGAAGTAGGAGTACATGTGAAAAATGAACAGTACTAAAAGACCATATTTTTCTGAAAGTTAATTTTTCAGTGAAAAATGTCTCCAACATCCTTTTAAGTCAGGAAAATAATATTGGATGATAAAAAAATATTTTCAAACATAGCGAGAATTTCTTTAACAAAAATCATTTTTCAAAATATATCTTTTTTGTAGGTATGGTAAATAAGAATGGACAAGACCACCTCGGTCTACTGGTACATAACTGCTTCAATGTCTCAATACCTAAACCTAGAAACGCTGTGAATGGTTGGGAGGGTTCATGTCTCGCTCTTCTCGACGAAGTTCTGCTTGAGGTTACGAGTCTTATGACATCACATCGCGGGATTGTCTCCATCAAGGGGAAATTAGTAGATGCAAGGTTTGTTGTTTTTAATAGCCTTTAATTTTGAATTACATAGTCGTTTCTGTTGTCCTTTATGCATGTCTCTGATCAACCCCGATATTGTGATTTTTATCTCCCAGTAAAAGAAAATTTGTAAAAAAACTGTATAGATAGTAGCTACAATACGATACATAAAATATGCTTAAAAATCTCATCAATCCATTTCCAAAAAGTCCAAGTGACCATCTGAAAGGTTCATACACTAATTTTAGTATATTTTAGTGAAAGCATGTGAGTAAGAGTGACTTGTCACATGTGCTGTCTTAACCAATCATATGTTTTCCAGATTGACCCAGAATACTAATGCAGCTCGGAAGCGGGACCAGGCTTTGTCATTGGTGACAACAGTCAAATCTGAATATAGCCCTATAGATGGCACTGATGGTGACCTACCCGATATAAAGCCCCCTGTTGTTGGTAACAATAACAACACAATGGACAATAAAGACAGCCAATCTTCTAAGAAGTCTAAGAAAGCTAAGAAAAGAAAGAGGGAGAGCGAAAATGAAACAGACTATAGTTCACTTCAAGAAAGTAGTGATTCAAGTATGAGAAAGCGTAGAAAGAAAAATTCTGTGGAAACTGTTACCAACATCAAAATGGAACCAGTGGAAGAAGAAATCAATTCTTCACTGGATATCAGTTTGAACAATAGCAAGAAGAAAAAGAAAAGTAAGAAACATAAAAAAGATAAATCTATTAAACAAGAAGTTCTAGATCCCGATTTTCTGGACAATACTGCAAATGATACCAGTTCACCAGTTGTTGATACAACCATTGATATGACCATTAATACGACCATTGATACAACCATTGATACGACCATTGATACAACCATTGATACGACCATTGATACAACCATTGATACAACACCAAGTAGGAAACATAAGAAAAAGAAAAAAATTAAAGAGGAATTAAACGCAAGTTTTATTGTCCCGGACCAAAGTTTTGGCATGGACAATTCCACATTGGATTCAAGTAGCTCAAAAAAGTCTAAGAAAAAACGTAAAAAGGACAAGAAAAACAAGGACAGTGTCAGCGAAAGTGAATTAAACTCACAAAGCAGTAGTAAAAAATGATATAAAGAAAATACATATCCTTGACCTCCTTCTCTACTTATCACTGAACACAACTTTTGGTAAATCATTGATTCAAACTGAGTAAAATGCACTTTAAACAATATTTTTTCATTTTTTTTTCATTTAATTTATTGTTACAACTTAAACTGTTCATTCTTAGAACCATGTGGAGAAATATATTTTCAAATTATGAGAATGACTTGTATTTGGGGGATTTTACATTTATCTTATAAGTACTCTTGTTTTGGAGTATTGTAATGCTCACTGGTGATTGTATCTGTGAAAGTGAATTAAACTGACACAGTAGTATTAAAAAGTCAAGGAGGATTGGCTCAATATTTTCCAACAATGAAAACTCCGAAATGTCGTTATTATCTTTAAATTATAACCGACTATAAATTCAAAACAAATAGTTCAAAAGATTCAAACCAATATCTTGATCAATTCTTGTGAGTTTTGGAAATAAGACCAAAATTCATGATTCAAATGTTGAAGTGAACAAAATGGCGGCTGTTTGTATTCGAATTTTGTATCCCGACATGCCCATTTATGGGACAGAATATCGATGTTGCACTCTGGGAGCCAATCCTTGAAAAAGTGATATAAAGAAAATAAATATCTGTGAATTCATCTTTGCCTATACTAGCTATATAGTAAAGAATGAAATAAGGAAAAATATCTGTGAATTCTTCTCTAAATATCACTGAACACAACTTTTGGTAATTCATTCATTAAATCTAAGTAAAATGCAATTTAAACAATGTTTTTCAATTTATTTGTTTAATTTATTGTTACGAATTAAAGTGTTCATTCTTAGAGCCATGTGTAAATGGAGTTCTATATTTTCAAATTATGAGAACAGTTTGTATTTGGAGGATTTTACATTTATGTTATAAATAATCCTGTCTTGGAGTATTCAGACAGGTAAAGGTACTTGTATGCTCATCATGTTCGGTGTTTAAGTATGCATTTTATGAAAATATTTGGTGCAAATACTTGGTAAACATATTACTCTTTATAAAAAATATTTTAGTTTCATATAAACTACTAAATAACGTAGATTCTCATATTTTTCTGTTATTTTATGTATAAATCACAATTATTGTAATTTTTGTTTCATGATTATTTCTCAGCTCAAGATATTTAAAGGAAGATGTTTTACACAGGAAAGCCTAAAAGTAATTATATGAGAATTTTAAGAAATGGCATTTTATGTCACCACCACATGTGTTGACATATTGTTATAGTCTCCAACATTTTGTGGATGGCAGTTGGTGTTCAGTGGTTGGTTGGTGTCTCTAACTAATGGTAGGTGGTGTCATTTTGCATGTTTATGCCTTGTATGTTATGTTGCAGTAATTGTATGAGTATTCTCAGAAATAGCATTTTATGTTTGAGTAATTATATGAGAATTCTAAGAAATAGCATTTTATGTCACCACCACATGTGGTGACATATTGTTATAGTCTCCAACTTTTATTTTGGAGTAATTGTATGAGAATTCTCAGAAATAGCATTTTATGTTTGAGTAATTATATGAGAATTCTAAGGAATAGCATTTTATGTCACCACCACATGTGTGACATATTGTTATAGTCTCCAACCTTTTTGTGGATGGCAGTTGGTGTTCAGTGGTTGGTGTCTGTAACTAATGGCAGGTGGTGACATTTTGCATGTTAATGCCTTGTATGTTATGTTGGAGTAATTGTATGAGAATTCTAAGAAATAGCATTTTATGTTTGAGTAATTGTATGAGAATTCTAAAAAAGTATTTTCATGTTATGTTGGGAGTAATTGTATGAGACTTCTTAATAAATAGCATGTACTTTTTATGTTATATAACATATTACATTATACTCGTATATGCAATTTAAGTTGTATTACTGCTTAAATCTGCTACAGTATCATTTGTGATGAACATAGTATACTAGTTATAAACATTGAAATAAATTCTAAATGAAAGCATATTATATGTAGGTCTAGTTCGTTATGTGACAGCGCTGTCTAAGTCTTGCATCAAGCCACTAACATACATGATACACCCCTTCTATTTGTATTTGTATATTTATTCAACCACCAATTTGGCGACAATACTTTCTTTTTTTACTACATATTTACATTACAAAGGACAGAGTTAAAAAAGTTTTATTTACACAATGCTACATTTATCTATTGACTTAAATTAATTCAGTTCCTTCAATTTTACATTTCTATAGTTATACATATTGCATATCATTTTACAGCTATGGAACTTAATAGTAAAATACATTTCATCATTTATACCTGGTACCTTCTATACTACCCTTACTCCCAGGGATAATAGAGGAGGCGGAGGCTTGATAGAATTCTATAAATATTATGTACTTTAGTACACTCCAGGGGTGAAGTGGATGTTGCGGAAGAGTCAGACTTCTCTCAACACTGAAACTATAAATGAACAAGTAAAATAATATCATTTTGGATTTAATATGTACCATTTATACAAAATTTAAACCATACCAGGTAGTTGTGGATTCTGCTTAACTTTGAAGTAACTGGATAAAAAGTGTATCACACCATTTGGCAACCCTAAACAAGGCGTTAATATGCAAAATGTCACCACCTGCCATTTGGTACAGATGCCGAACTCCAAACAACATTCACAAAAAAGTTGGAGACTATTACAATGTCTCACAACTTGTGGTGGTGACATAAAGATTTGTCTAAAATATATCAGACATCCCAGATGACTTCCTTGATTATTTTCAAGTTTTTTAATAAATTATCCAAATCATTGAATCCATTTCTATTGAAGATGAAATTGCCTCTTTTTGTAATATGTCATACAAGACAGTTTATAAACAAACTGGGGCGTCATCCAAGGGGGAGATCTCAGAAAGTTTAGGGGAAACCACAATACCAAAGAATTATGGGAGCAAACTATGGGTGTCATCTCTACATTGTCACTAAGTGATCTCAGATTACATTGTCATTTCCGTGGCATTTCTGTCACTGGAATGTCATTTCTACATTTACTGGAATTTCACTATGCATTTTAGAAAGCACCACGGATATAGTACAGCTATAGATTCAGGTGTAATCATACTTATCAAGACTGGGATTTTAGAAAAGCACTTTTGCAAACCACCTAGACCCCTTGTCACTAAATATTGGCATTAGTCTTAAAGCGCTTTGCAGGTCCACTTTACCCAGCTTTATACCATTCATCTTGAACAAAATTAAAATTCATTTCTTGCAAAATGGCATCTAAATAAAAGATTTGGGGGATGTTTGAGTGAAATCAAATTTTATCATCAGTTAGGATAGTTTGTCCAAAATACTCTAATACACATACACTTCTGTTTCGCTGAATGTATTCCATGGTAATGCTGTCAAAGTACCTGAAAGGCTTTTTAGAAAAACCAAGTGTTATTCCAAATAAAATTCTTAAACGCTTTCCACTTTTAAAGTTTTTGAGTGTAATTCCAGTCACTGGAGTGTCATCTTTACGCTGACTAGTCTCAACCATAACAAAACACATGTTTGTTTTATTTATTACAAATCATTTATCTTATAAAAAGTTTAGAGGTGTTAATGTACATTCTGAATCACATAATTGAAGCTGTATATAAAATATAATGCACTATTTACAATAAAATACTTTTACTCATACTTGCTAATAACTATATAATACTCGGTATATAAAAGATATAATATACAATGTACAATACAAGGGAAAAGTGGAGCACTTTGCCTCTAATGGTTGTACCATTATACTTTGATATCAATTAAGTTCAATGACTTTATGTATGGAAAACCTACATATATTCTTTGTACTAGGGCATTAAGCTAAGGAGTGGTCATTGCCAGGTTACATGTGAAATGGACCACCTCAGATTTCCATTGAATAGTTTCGAAATAAGCGACTGGTCTACTGTCATTGTAACAAGCTGACTTCAATGAACTCAATGTACATTTAAATATGTGATTTTAATTTGGAATGAAAAATTTTATTTTGGAATGAACAGGTAAATAATGTATTCTAATTATTGCTAAATTGCAGAATATACAAATATGTACATGTAGAGATTTTTTTGAAAATGATTTCCGCTGATTTCTATTTGTTGGAATCTATATTCATTTATCAGGGTTGAACTCAGAAATTAATGTACAGTACAGTATGTACAGTAATGTACAGTATTGTCTAAAATTTAATAATCATAGACTTCATATAGAAATGATTTTGGTTAATAAGATCAACTCGTCTCAGTGACTATAACATGTCATTTTAACACCAATGGCACTGAGTCTTCAAGATTGAGCCATTTTTACAATTATTTGTTGCATATGTAACCCTCAAAGGGTTTTATTGTACATCCTGATTTTTTTTAAAAATATCCCTATTGTATGATATATATTTTTGCTACAATGACAACTCAAAATAAAGCTCTTTATCAGAATACAACACCCTATTTCAAAAAATCTATTCTTAAATGCCAAAATTGAAATGTAAGCAAATTGCAAGTTAGTTCTACCTTCAATCTCATATAGGAATTCGGAATGACTCTTAAATATTTGGAATGATCAATTTAACTCAAAGACATGTAACATAGTATCACGCTATAAAAACCTGAGAACTGCAATTACAACGCTGGAGAAAATAAGTCCAATTTTGGCTTGAATGTTAGTGGATGAATTACAGCCATTCCAATCGTTGCAGAAACAATATGTTGATTTTTTATCGAAGGTCAATGTTCCCATCGTTGCTCGCGCATTCTCACAGTAACCATGGCGACGTACTGTCGGCATCTGCGTTCTGTGCCAGGTATTTTTCAAAAACTCTGATAAGCATCCTCTGTCGATAGTTGTTCTACCTGAAAATGAATTGAATATTAGATCATTTCAATTATGGGCAGTCAATGTTTAAATTATCATAAAAATAAAAAAATCACATGGATTTGGATTTTCAGGTTGGTATAAGCGTATTTTCAAAATTTCAGGTGGGTGCTGCGCCCACCTGCTTTAACGCTGGGGAGATCACTGGACGATATCTGTTTTTGCTCCTTAACCATGAACCAAACTTAAAAACTGAACTTACTTCCAACAGTTTGTATTCTTTTAACGCAAAAGTTTTCTATAAGGTTTGCATCATCAGGACACCAGTGCCATCTCTGCATGCGTATGTCAAGGGGCGCCCCACATCCTGCTTGGGCGCTAGTACATTGGTAACAGTACAAGGCTGAACCTGCAATCATATTATGAAAAATGAAGTTTGCTACTGGATTTTTCATTTTTATTGTATTTGAGGACATGTCAAAATCTTGTAACCAAATTCAAAATATCAACTGGATGCAATTTTTTAACAGGTCAGTTATTATAATGACTGTCTTCTCACTCATCCAAAGCCAATTCTATATCACATGCGACATGGCCCCAAAATCTAGATTTTGCTTTGATGCTTTCAGACTTGGGCAAATTTCGCTATGATGCATTGTAGGAACATTATTTGTGAACATAATTTGTAGAGGTGTCAAGGGTCGGATATCTTCCGGGTCTGGTCGGGTCAGAAAAAACAGAAACATGAATTTGATTTGCTGTTTAAGCCTGCATTACTGCATATGCTTTGATAAAGGGAAAATGATAGAAACCCAGTGTCAAATCATTGGGGAGGAACTGTAAACTATTCCCAGTTCAAGATTTATACAAAAATAGGGCAGATAGAAATTTGAAAGTTTGCTGGGAATACAAGGAGGATTGGCTCCCAGAGTGCAACATCGATATTCTGCCCCATATATGGGCATGTCGTGCTACAAAATTTGAATTCCAACGACCGCCATTTTGTTCACTTCAACATTTGAATCGTGAATTTTGGTCTTATTTCCCAACGAAAAATTCCAAAACTCACAAGAAATGATCGAGATATTGGTTCGAATATTTTGAACTGTTTATTTTGAATTTATAATCGGTTATAATTTCAGAAAATAACGACATTTCAGCGTTTTCATTGTTGGAAAATATCGACTTCGATTCTGGGAGCCAATCCTCCTTGCTGGGAATATAAAGAATTTTACGATAATTTATTATATTCCTGAGTGTTCTGACTCGATCCGAAATTGGTAAGTAGTTGTTCGTGACCTGACCTGAGCCTTCTGACACGAGATTAAGGTTGACTTTGGGTCGGAGTGACACCTCTCATAATTTGTGAACATGTGTTAGGTAGTCACTGCCATCTAAGTTGCTGAATTTCAGACTTCTATTCATAATAGATGAGCAGATTGCTATATAAAGATAAAACACTTATTCTAGTGAGAAGTTCATATGGTTAAAAGTAGCTCAGAATACAACAGATCAATACAAATGATGAATGAAAGAAACATTTGGTATAACGGGTAAGTGCTGAGTTTTTCATTTCGTGAGTATTAATATATTGGAGCGTGAAAAGTGATGATGGATGATATAACAAAGAAGGTCACTGAAGAGAAACCAAAATGCATCCATAGGCTAAAAAATGTTAGAAACAAAGACCTGTGAACCCTGCGTGATTTTCTCAAAAGATTTAGAAAGATTATATTCATACATCTGGATTTAGGTCCAAAGAAAAAACTTGTAAACTTATTTCCTGTTTTTCAAAATGCGAATATTTGAGACATATTGGTTTACTAGCTACATTGTCCTTGAATTTAATTCTGAATGAAACAAATAGACTGCTGAAAAGCTGTTTGATATTTGTTCAATCACGACACCCAATTATATAGCCGGTTAGTAAATAAAACTAAATTTCAATTAAAAATATTTTACAAAATCATTTGGCGGCCATATTGGAAAGTTCGAACGGTTTATAAACAATGTTACACCTTTAATTACAGGTGTACTAGCTCTACCTGGATACATTATATGATTACCTTGAAAAAAATATAGTTAACTTACCTAATCCTATATTTGTGGCAAGTATTACTGCCGATAATAGCAGCAAATTCTGCATTTTGGTGACAATTTTTGGTGACCTTATTTCGCACCTGTGTGATTCACCTTCTCCAGAAATGTTAAACGTGAGTGACGTCATTATTTGGCTCTGAAATTTAAGTTAATTTCTAAAGGTTTCTGGTGATATTAATGGAGAAATTTATTCACCGGGACAATATCAAATAGAGTGTACAATATGTTAAATACATTTGAACGAGGAAATCAATTATAAAATGACCAATCAATAGAAGATTCGAATGACCGCCATTTCTGGTTAAAATTATATGTAGATAAGTGCTGCCATCTTTCAATGCAGAAAAATCTTTTTCTATATCACAGGCCAATACGCTACACACCCATGGTAAATTGAACCTGAAACCAATCATAAATATGTTTATATGATATGTTATATAATATCACGGTGTTATAGCATGACGGATACGCCACCTCTGAAAACGAGGTTAGTCGAATACGATCACTGATTTATCCAATAAAATGGCCACGATGAAACAGAAAGCTAAGGTAGGTGCATTATTTTCTACTACTGCGTATCAATAAAAGCATGAAACATTTATGTAAGCGTCGCATTCGGTGATGCATTCAGTGATGCATTCAGTGATGTTTATTTTGAACGTAGTCTTTGCAAATCGACTCCCATGGATAACATGAAATAAGCGAAAAACTGTCGAGTTTGAAATTCAAAACTTCATAAAATTTAGTAATTTGTTTCTTTTCCTCGTTAGGGCATGCTCTACATTGCGCAACAACCTTGGTGTATATAAATGTAACCTACATACGATCATACAAAGCCAATTAAGCATTGTAAACCACTTAATATATTCTACTCAAGCCATAATAATGTTTTTTTGAATTTGCGGATACGCCAAAAAATTGATAGACAGTTACGCGAACCTCGTTCATATATGTAACACCGAATCATTTCATATCGCTTGTGATCCAAAATTGAAATGTTTTTCAACCGGATTTGAGTTTTGTAAGCTATAATAGATGAAATTCGTATTATTACCACCTTGCAGGGCCTGTTCTAGGGGTTTTAGTACTAGTTGAGAAGGCATTTAAATTGCTATATTGACGTGAGCAATATTGTGTCGGGCGTTAATGACTTTAGTTGGGCAATAATGACATTATCCGCCCGGCAATGTTTCCCGGGAAAAGTGATATCGTTCAGTGCGTAAGATTTTCTATTTCAAATTTGCTATTTCAGCCCTGAGCATTAACGGTGGTAATAATAGTAAGTCATTTCTGCGGGCAAAATACTGAAATATTGCCCTTTGAAATGACGTTATTGTACTATTATGAAGATGGTGACATAAACAGCTGAATATGATTTGTGTTTATAATTTCAGTTCCAGTGCGACGTGTGCCTGAAGTCATACATAGCAAAAACCGGATTGAAATTGCATAAATTGCAAACTCATTTAGGACAGCCAAAGTTTGTATGTGAAATTTGTGCCAAAGGATTTTCGAGGAAAATAGATATGGAAAGACACGCACTTGTACACAGTGGGGAAAAGCCACATAAATGTACACAATGCGATAAAGCATTCGCGACCACTGGGAGTCTAACACGCCATTTGAAAGTTTTTAAAAAGTCATCAAAAGATTTCGTTTGTGAGTTCTATTCCAAAAAATTTAAGGCACACCAATATTTGAAAGAACATTTGATTTTCCACATTGATCCTGAGAAATATATCTGTTCAAGTTGCGGTGAAAGATTTAACTATCGCCAGACTTTACATGCACATATGAAGAAACATTAACATCAATCTGACATTCTTCACATCATATTATACATGTATCATATCAAATGACATGATACATTTATGTTTATTTTATTTTGATATGTTTATTTTATTTACTCATGTTATTCCTGGTAGAACCTGGAAATAAAGTATTTTTATAACATTTTAATCACATATTTTACTTTCTTCTTTAATATACATTCTTTTAAGTACAGAAATGGCCATTCATGAGACAAGTCCGCGTCTTGGTGACAGTGAATTCTAAAGCAATTTATTTTTTGCACGTTTCTCGGGTAAGATTTTTGACTCATCCTTTCTGAAAAACTGCCTGATTGGTAGGCACCCTCTGGTGGGTTTTGTAATGTCCCCTATGTCACCAGGCAGTTCACACATAGAGAGCTATCCATCTAGCGACCTTGACTTGACAGGAACTTGCATGTAACCGTCCGCTAACATCTAATGTAAAACTAATACAATGCGTTGCTGTCCATAAAAAATCATGCAATACATACGTATCTGTCTAACGACCTTGTAATTGAAACCTTATTAACTACAATATTCACCACATTTCTGTTCTGCATTTGTCATTTTATGGCTTGTTTATACACAGTTTACAAACAGTTAGTATTTTGAGTGGCTCTGAGGCACATATACTGAGAAAACACGAAAAAGGACTAAAAAGTATGAACTTCGAAATCTCAGCCGGGTAGGTTTACAGCTTATATTCTGCTTCTTGTAGACCACACGACAGATTTAACTCAATCTTTATAACCATCCACATATGCATCACCGAATGGAACTACTTGAAAAGGAAAGCTTACCTGTGAATCTTGCCTACAGGCGAAAAAGAGGACATGCTGTCTTTCCCGTCCGCCATTTTTTGTTATCGTTACCGCAAAATTTGGCCAATTGCCTTGTTGTATCTGTCATGCTATAACACCGTGAATATGTTATTTTATGTCAACCTCATATTGAACCAACTCACCGTAAAGAATGAAATTCAACCAATCCGAATCGCTATAAAGAATGAAATTCAACCAATCCGAATCGCTATAAAGAATGAAAAACCAGACCGTTGTAAGATTGTTGTGTAGTAGTGCTGCCCTCTGGACTGGTGCATAGGCAGAAACAGCTTTCTCGGTAACTGCAGCCAGAGCACTAATGCTGGTTTCGAAGTGCGGTATCACCAACGCTTTGTACAGCATGGTGAATACCTCTTGGCTACAGCCCGATTTGCTGGAAGTGAAATTGTTTATGCCCGCAAGAGCACCGAATGCAGATTTTTTCTTATTTTCGATATGTAGATTAAATTTAAGTTCGTTATCTATGGGCCGTCGATAAAGATGTTAATATCGGGGCTAGTGATACCAGGTGGACTGAAGACCATTACCTCGGTTTTTTCAGGGGCGATCTCCATGTTCCATCTTTTGCACCATTTGTTGGTTAATTGATTCAAGTCCGTGTTGATGAGTTTCTCTATCTCTTTCAAGTCAGCTCCACATGCCCATATTGTGTTGTCATCTGCAAAGCCAGCCTTCTCCGACCCTATGTTGTCCATGGAGTCTGCCGTGTAGAGATTACAGAGAAGCGGAGACAACACAGACCCCTGAGGGATGCCCACCACTGATGGCAGTAGGGGGGTAGTGTGGTTGTTGACAGATATAGAGAATTGCCTATTAGTTAAGTATTCACTGATGTACACTAACAGGCGTCCATTGATTCCCTTCTGGGCTAGTTTGTAGATGAGCCCCTCCCTAAACACCCGTTCAAAACAGCTCTCGTAATCTAATACTGCTGCGATGACATATTCTCCTCTATTCCACGCCTCCTGGATGGACTGCACCAATCTAATCACAGTCTGTGAACAGGATCTATGTTCCCTGTAAGCATCCTGGAAGGCACAGTAAGAGGATGTAGTCTCGCTTATCCATGATAACCTTGGGCTGACTACCCTTTGTAGGATTTTCCCAACTTGAGCTTCAAGTGTTATAGGGCGATAGGATCTGTCTGAATTATAGTTATTTTTGTTAGGTTTACCTAACATAATCTTTGGATCAATTCTAAATTCCTGGGGAAGCTGACCTTCCGCCCAGCATTTCTGTGAGAGAAGCCAAATTGATTTATGTAGTGTGATCCCCCCTTTTTTGATAAAAATACTCAAAAATTTTTCCCTAGGACTAGGAGCAGTTTTAGCTGGTGTTTTCTCAATAGCTGCTATTATTTCATCAAATTCTATGTCCTTGTTAAAAGGTTCGCAAGTCTGATTGTAATTAGTGTTTTTAATTTTGATTTTTTCAAGTTGGACAGATTCTTTGGCCTTTCTCACAACAAAGTTGTACCATTCATCATACCACTGTACTGGCAGATGTTGCTTGCCATATTGCTTAACCATAGTTTCTGCAATGTCCTCATCGGTATGATGAATGTTACCATTTCCATCTATAATTGGTTGGACTATTTTCTTACCCTTTTTGGTTTGAGTTTTCATTACAGTTTTCCATATCATATTTGGGTTACCCAGATCAAGCTCTTCGAAGAGATCATCCCAATAGCTAGATTCAGCTTTATGTGCACTCTCTGCGAACTCTTCTGCGAGCCTGGTATAGGTTTCCCAATTATGAGGGTCACTGCGCTTGTTATAACGGCGTTTTGCCCTTCTCAGAGCTTTAACTTGTTGATTTAAATTGTCGTTCCACCACCCTTTGCTCTTTGAACAAACTTTTTTCTTAGGTATGATGTCGTTTATTACTTTGAGCATTATCGAGCATAGGGAGGTGTAAGCTTCTTCAACATTGGCAGCAATGACGTTTTGTTGCCAGTTAAGACAAAGTTTTTCCATTTCAGAAACAAATTTTTCCCAATTTGCATTTTTCAAATCATAATATTCCCTGACTTCCTCCTTCCCGGCCTGGCCGACGCTGAATGAGATAAGTTTGTGATCTGATTTCAAATAGATCTCATCCCGCACCGCCCACTCCGAGATCTTGGATGTCAGTGAGCCGGAGCCGATGGTTAAATCGATGATAGTTTCATTTCTAGTGAACTGATGATTATTGAAAATGTGTAAGTCATGGATCATGGCAAACTCTGCAATAGTGCTTCCCAATTTGTTGATAGAACAGTCATTCCATAAGGGATGTCTCCCATTAAAATCCCCTGTAAAAAGTACTGGAAGCTTGCTATGTAAAGCAGAGGTTGCCACTCTAGAAAATTTATCCCATGATTCGATGTTTCCTGGGGGTATATAAACTGAACATAGAAGAAAAGCGAGGTCTTTACAATAGACATTTGCCCAAGCTGCCTCTATGTCATTTCTCATGAGATCATTTCTTTTTACCACCTTTGTGTCTGATGATGCTATAATGGCTGCCCCGCCCCCCTCCCTGCCTTGTCTGATAGAGGAAATCCAAGTCCAGTCTTTTAGACCGGCTCTTTGGATTGATTCAGCTGTAGGGTGCCAGATTTCTGTAATGCAAAATATAGATGCTTCAGGAGAGATATGTTTGATGTATTTAGCCGAGGTGTTGATAGAACGTATGTTAGCTTGGAATATTTTCATTGTCACTAGCAGAGAAAGTAAGAGAGTAGCAGCCACTATAGTTATGGAGTTACTATACATTAGTGCTCCTTTTGAGCTTTAAATCAATATAATAAATGCACTTATTGGAGCTAGCTTTGTGGTTTTCTCCACAGTTGTTACACTTAGTTGAATTGGTACACTTATTCTTATGTGCACCACCACAGTTTTCGCACTTAGCTTTGTTAGTGCAAGCCTTCGCCACGTGCCCGTAAAATTGGCAACGGAAGCACCGGGTTACTTTATGCTTGGCTGTGTTGATTGCTTCCACTAACAAAATTTTATTACCAATAGTTAATTTTGTTTTGAATAAGATAGACAGATCAGTATGATTACTACATGTGGCAGCCACTATAGGCATGCCCTTACCAGTATCCCTGTATTTGAATCTTCTTATAGATACACTTATACCTGATTGTTGCTCAACTACTTGTTTCAGTTCTTCTGGATTTATACTTGTAGGGACGTTCCTTATGATACAACGGGAGGTGGGGGTAGTGTCGTGTATGTCAAGTTGTTTGCCACTTCCTCCAAACGCTGATTCAGGCCAGTCCCTGCTGAGGAGTTCCTTTTGTTCTGGGTCAGCGTAGTGAATTGCAATTCCTCCTCTGCAAAGCTGATAAGTGTGGGTTATTTTAACTTGGGATTTATGTTTGAAAATTTCTTTTTTGATTTTATCACTATCCTTGAATAGGCCTGGGTTTTTCAAGTTGTCGATGATTAAAATGTTCTTTGGTAGATTTTGACTCACAGTGCTATTTATAGCACTCTTGCTACTATGTTTAGCTTGAGAAATCTTAGGTGGACTCAAATTATTAGCCAGTTTGTTTTGCTTATCCAAAGGAGAGACCGTGTTCTGAGGCTTAAGCTTTATATCAGCATTGATGCTGTTGAGTATGCAGTAAGGGCAGTTGAAGACGGTCTCTTCTTGCGCATATAATTTGAGTAACGGGCAGTCTTCCTCTCTATTACCTAGACCCAGACAGTTAGAATGCCACCATTGCTCACAATTTGAGCAGTTCAGAAATATACTATCTAAATCTTTATTACATGGACAGGAGTCCTTTTCCTTTGATTTGAGAATGGTAGCCTTTTTAGCTTTTGACTTAGATTTTACAGGCATTCCAAGCTGTCTGGAAGCTGGTTTAACATGTACCTGTACAGTTACCAAGTGAGTTGGTTATTTGGCAAAGATAAAAATACTCTATGTGTATATATATATATTTATAAAAAGGTTTATATAAAAAAGAAAGCTTTGTAAAAATAGACTCTATAAAAATAGACTTTTCAATCCTAACACATATAAAAATAACTAAGATGTGCCAATCTAAATCGGCCACAACAAATCATACAATGGTATATCCTTATAGACTATTATTTAGTTACTAGATACACTACGAACCTTGCCCTACTGTATAATTAGTCCTACTCTAGCAATGTTGCAGTAAAATACACACAGTGCAGCACGCAAAGCAGGGAAAGCAGGTAAAGCACTAACTACACTAAAAGCAGGTGGTACACAGCTAACTCATAGGAAAAATTCTTACTTTATCTAGGAAATCATAAGCTTCTAAATGCTGTACACCACTCGTCTTATTTAGCTGAAACAATGTCGCATAGACTTATCAAAAACGAAAACAAAATGGCACCAGAGAGGTGACCATGCAGTGGCGGGCGACGCCCCAGAAATGCAATAAAGTTGCTTGAATTATACTTCTTAGGTAAATAGTATCAAAGTTAGCTGTAGCGTGGAATGATTATTGAGTAGGCTACTGTATAACTTACAGATAATAATATCAAAACCTGCTTTTTACTAGACAGTCACTAGGTTTTTTAAGAAATATTTGTATTGGTCAAAAAGGATAAAAATATATATTAAAAGATCCGGAGGATCTATACCTCCAGCTAAGATTATAAGAAACCGCTGGGCACACAAAGCTGGGCACACACTGGGTCCTCAGGTTCCCGTGACAAACGAATTTCCAATGGAAATTTCCCGGGCAAAATGGCTGCAATGGCGGGCACGAGGTGGATCTTGTTGGTCACGTATTCCAACTTTCCCGGTGGTTTTAGTCCGTTGAAGGGTCGCGTTGGATTCTTGGCACCTCCAGCGAGTTATAGGCGGTCTGTGTAGTTATGTAGAATGTTCAGACTAGCTGTAAATTCACAAAAATAAAGTTATTTTTCGGAGCTCAATTTTTCCGTCTTTTCCGTCTTAAACTTAGCGCATGCGCTCTCTCTTGATTACCTCGGCCTTCTTCATGAATATTTCCGCTCTATTTACTATAAATGAAGAAAATTAATCGGGATAATGATAATAAATGACTAGATCTAATAAATTCCCGCACAAATGGAATTTAGCAATACGCTTCCGTAATGTTGCTCCGTCCGCTCCACGTGTTATTTGTTTACAAATAGACTGACGTCACTGGCTAAATCTCGTTTATCGTGAGAATTGGCATTGCCAAAATGGCTTGACCTAATCAATGGCTTCGCTACAAGAAGCGTCTGTACATTTTATGAATATCTTCAGTAGGAGGACAATATACGAAAAAATAATATTGTAAGTTCTTTATAAGGTAATCATTTTATCAATAAACAAACTTATTTGTAACATTTATACAACACCACATTTTACAATAGGTGACTTACAGTCTGAATATTTATTCAGACGAAGGATACAGTCTACAGAGTAGACGGTTGCAGTTGAGAACCCCCCCCCCCCCACATGGCACACGCACATACATGCACACTTCTCTGTGATTGTATACTGAACACTAGCTAGTCTACTGAACACTGTTACCTCGATAATCACCCTTGGTTTACGCAGCTAACGAAAATTGACCGGTACGGGTCAAAAGCTGGACCGGTACGGGTTAACGGTTTTATTTGAATTTAAAATAGCCATAACTTGCTCAATATTGACTTCCTCGTGTCTAATTTGAAATATATGATGCCTCCCGATGCTTTTAAGTACCCCAATTTTTTACAGATTTTTAAACGGACCAAAACTCTCTAAATGCGCATTTATGCTCTTTTCTCTCGAGAACGACTGTCTCATTTTCACGATAACTTTTATTTAGTACTTCTAACATATAAGATCTATTTTTCCCCATCAAGGTATGATGTAAATGACATGCTATTTACATCTTGTGAGTTTCAATGACGCGCGTTTGATTTTATAAAAAATGCCAAACTTTGTGACAAAGAATTTCATCAGCTATTGCCCCGAACCGGTCCGTCTTCTCGCTACAAGCAGATTGCCCCGAACCGGTCCGTCTTCTCGCTGCAAGCATGATGAAATTCTTTGTCACAAAGTTTGGCATTTTTTATAAAATCAAACGCGCGTCATTCAAACTCACAAGATGTAAATAGCATGTCATTTACATCATACCTTGATGGGGAAAAATAGATCTTATATGTTAGAAGTACTAAATAAAAGTTATCGTGAAAATGAGACAGTCTTTCTCGAGAGAAAAGAGCATAAATGCGCATTTAGAGAGTTTTGGTCTGTTTAAAAATCTGTAAAAAATTGGGGTACTTAAAAGCATCGGGAGGCATCATATATTTCAAATTAGACACGAGGAAGTCAATATTGAGCAAGTTATGGCTGTTTTAAATTCAAATAAAACCGTTAACCCGTACCGGTCCAGCTTTTGACCCGTACCGGTCAATTTTCGTTAGCTGCGTATACCAAGGGTGATAATACGATTTTTTAGATATACACTCGTTGAAAAATGCATTAAATGCAGCATAAATCATATTTGAAGATATGATGTGGAAGATTCGATTTAGATTTTGTTTACAAAGTTAAGTGTCAAGATTCAAGTCCAAAGTCACGATAAAATTCAGTTTATATTGAATATATGGAACATTGAAACCCTAGATATATGAATTAACTGACAAGTGTACAGTATACCGTGAACAAGCCACGTGAACTAGTGTGTAGGAAATCATAAACATTGCAAATATGTCTGCTGTACAGATGCTATTCGTGTATGCTATTGGATTGTTTTATGCATTCTTTGTATCACTCCGCATGATATGGCTCATGGTGACCAAAGGAGGGAAGGTCTTCCACAAGAAAACTAGGTCACTTCCAACGTTCATATCGGACTCGTCATATGGGGTACATAGATACCTGAAAACAAAAGTAAGCATTATGTTTTTTTTTCTACACATTGATATCGCTTTCAGTCTTGCTTTAAAACCCTACAACCCTACAACCCCCCCCCCTCTACTCACCATTCCTTCGCAATTCGCCATATCGATGATATGGAGGGCAGGGGGCAGATAATCGATGTAAACAAATTTTCCTTGTGTTATCATCATGTTTTTTTTATCAAGCAGAATTGGTGTGCTCACATTGTTTGCATGTATATTTGTTACATATTTATAAACACCATCAATAGTTTTTAAAAACTTTGATTTTACATTAAAATTCAAAACTTTCTTTAATTAAAGAGGAGAGGGGAGGGAAGAAACGAATCACTATTTAAAATATATTTTTTATTGATATTGAAACATCCACACATGTTCACGTCGCATTTCTTGCAGGATATAAAACTGCATTATGTGGCGAGTGGAGAAGAAGACAAACCCCTGATGGTGATGCTGCACGGTTTCCCAGAATTCTGGTATTCTTGGAGACATCAGATCAAAGAGTTCAATAAAGATTACAGGTAAATAGATACAGTAAAACCTATTGATATTGAAAAAAAATGCTGAGAAAAAACGTTCAGTGTTGGTAGGTGTTCACTGTTCACTACAGAGACGGTAATTATTAATTTATACTAGTACTGGCGGACTGAAGTCAGTATCTAGAGTATGTGTCCACTTGAGACATACGTTCACCGAGAGAGGTGTTCACTTTGACAGGTTTTAATGTAAAGTTGAACTGCGGAACAGTCGTCTAAAATCTACCCTTTCTAATAATTTAATTTTGCTTCATTAAAACTTCATTTCCTTTACTTGACGGTGGTACTCCGGGCGCGCACGATCACAATTATGTGTTCATGCGGTCCATCATTTGTAGACCAATATATCATCAATTCTCTCCACTGTTTCAGAGTGGTTGCAGTGGATACCCGGGGATGTGGTCACACAGATAAACCAACGGAAATAAAAGATTACAACTTGGCTAAACTTATTGAGGACATTAGAGAACTTATAGAAGGTCTAGGTTAGTAAAATGTAAAGCATCTAAGAGGCTAGTAGCAATGACAGAACAAATTGTACTGTTTTGTGATGTGGACTTTTACTTATAGGATATAAATCTTGTGTGTTGGTGGGGCATGATTGGGGCGGTGTGATCACGTGGGGTCTGACACAGAAGTACCCGGATCTGGTGGATAAAGCCATTGTAATGAATTGTCCCCATCCAGGTGTATTCCAGAAATATATGAGGACACACTTGAAACAGTTCTTAAAATCTTGGTAAGTGACTGGTACAAGGTAGCATACTAGTGTTATTCAACCCACCCATAGATCGAGTATAAAGATAGCTGTAACTTCAAGAGAAGTGGCATATACTCCAAACACAGGCCTCCAGAACTCGCACCTCCTTCTTCCACAATATATTGGAAGAAGGTAGGAGATCATGACTGGAGCCCGGCGTTCGGAGGTTGAGAAGTGGGGATCGTTAATGTTGACCTTGTTTTCTTATGTTTCCAGGTACATGTTTTTCTTCAGCCTTCCATGGTTCCCTGAGTGGGTGTTCCTCAGTGGGGACTTAAAGATGATTGAGAACACGTTCAGGGGAAAAACTATGGGAGCCAAGAGGGCAGGCAGTTTCAGTGACGATGATATAGAGGCGTTCAAGTATATGTACTCACAACCAGGTGAAACACATTTAACATTAGGGATTTTGAGCTTGCATATAAAATCGAAACGCCAACCTATAAGACTTAGTATGAACAATCGCCCATACAAATGCATCGCTTAAATATTTTCCGTTCATACGTTTAGATTGTGAAAACATTTCAAGCTTGAACTCCCTAATATCATCATGATAAACTATGACATCTCATTTCTTCTCAGCCCTGAGATGTTTCAGGTGAAACAGAAAGATGCTATGAGTATCAGAATGCCCTAATATCTTTCAAGTTTAACTTAGTGTGACCTATATCTGTTCATATTTGACGGTTCTGACCATTTGACCTATTTAACTTTGTCTGACACACCTAGAAAGTAGCAGAAAATAGCAGTGTGGCTTGTCTATATACAATGTGGGCCAAAAACGTCCACGTGTTACGTTTTGTGGCCCACCCTGTATATCGTCTGGTATATCGACACAAACTACACTACAGCTACCGCGAAGAAATTAGTCATATACTGTACATACATCGATTGTATGCCATTCTCTCATAGGTGCCGTGACCTGCGCTATGAACTATATCCGAGCGGGGCTGAAGGGTGGAATGGGTTCAAAAGCTGACCGTCCCCGTGGTCCCATAGAAACACCGGTACTACTTCTTTGGGGTACAGAAGATGGCGCCCTGGAGAGCGAAATGGCTGAGCTATCTGGCAAATATTGCACTGCGTTTACCCTCAAATGGATCGGAGGGGCAAGTCACTGGGTACAGCAGGACCAACCCGAAGAGGTCAACAATCAAATGAGAAGATTTCTACAAGCATAAATCAACTGAACGTGTTTATTTTCATTATACATTCAATTTACGTATCTTACAAGCTAGACATGTATTAACATTTTTTGACCAATAAGATGCCCTCCTTTGGAGGAAGTAAACGTATTATTTCGTGTCTTTCTTTTTTCTTTTTTATAAAGTAATACATTATCGTTTACATTCATAATCACTTACATATTTTGTTGACAGATGTTTATTTACCATTTCATCAATAATGAGAGAGTGTGACAATATGAAATTCTCGATGGGGAAATTGTATACCTCTTCTGTAAACTAATCTAGAATTAGCGAATTCATCTGCCGGCTGTCGGCTAACGATTCGATTGCGATTTTATGCCCAACTCATTTAAATATGAATATATGTGAACATTAGCAGGTACTATTCGTATTTGGAGTTGGCCTTTAAATAGCAATCGAATTGTTAGCCGACAGTCGGCGATTGATACCAGCGAATGCTACAGGGTGGTCAAAAAACGGTAACCCTTCCGCTATTTTCCTCATATCTTTGTCATTTAAGGAAATTACTCCCTGATATTTGGCTTTGTACATTATTCAATTCCCTACGAGCCTACCATATTTCGTGACCATCAGACTACTAACAATGCTCCAGTGTCCACTACTGCACTGTAGGCAAACCTTCACACGTTGTCCAAAATGTCAGTACCTGATTTCTACCTGTGGATATATGCCGATGATAAAGAATACAAGAATGATCCAAGGACAATTACAGAGCTCAAAAAGGAGATCATCTTTGCCATTCAGGCCATACCTGCTTAGGAATGCAGTCGGGTCATTGACAACTTGTGAAGGTTTTAATGGATGTTATATATTTTCATTTGCCACTGTATAACCATACTGATACTCATAATATGTTGCATCGGATCTCCGGACGGGGAGAGGGCGTTGGTTACCACGCACGGTTACCACGATGCTGTACAACCAAACCTCATTCAATGTTAAATCAATGTTCCAACAAAGAATGAATTCTTCTCACACGCGTCATGCTTCATTCATGGATAACGATGATAATCTCTGATTTAGCATCACAGATCGTGGCCGAGAGGAGATAAGTTTCAGCATTCTATCTTACTGTTGTTAAACGCGAGCATATAACAGTAACATTTAATGTGTGACATCGCTCCATAGCAGTTTTGTCGTCATCTGCTCTAAGTCATAAATAAGATCTTTTACAAAAAAGTTGTGCAAAGTTCTACCGTATTGACATACAAATCCATAGAGTACACTAAAACCTCAGCTAAAACGTATAGAAATAATTCAGTTACTGGAATTACACCAGAAAAAACGCAAATAGCGCTTTAGTGGAAAGCACTTTACAAAATCGCCATCCTAATACACCAACATTTCTAAAGCGCGTTAGGAATTTTATACCCTTTGCATTTGTTTGACTTCACTTCTTAAAAGAGAGCTTCGTCTTAACTAGACTCTGCACGCAGGGAAGGAATTTTATTTTGGAATTACATCTGTCATTTCTAGAACGCCTTTCGTGTACTTTTAAAGATGTGGATATGGAGAATATCCAGCAGATGTGTACATCTACAATAAATGTATTATTTTCATCTAGAAGAAAACGTAACCGAGACTTTTGCCAGTGATGTGAACTTACTTTCAATTTTTGAGATATGATTTGATGACCTATTGCTTTGGGGTCCCATCCATCATTTCCTGTATTTTTGCGGTGGCCCAAATGTGGCAAGGCGTTCTACAAAAACCGATCGGTATTACACTGTGCGCCTAACGATTTAAGGCGTTTTTAAGTGACTAGGGTCCCAGGAGTTTTGGAAAAGCGCTTTTGTAAAACCGCAATCGTGATTACACCTATTTTTCAAAACGGGTTTAAATCTTAGACGCCTTCTTAAAACGCATGATGTAATTCCAGCAAGTGAGTTAATTGATTCGTATCCCTGATCTTAGGAGAAAGAGTATAATGTGTCAAATGATGGCGAGAACTATGAAATGACTAAAGCAATAGAAGGGTTGCAAATATGTGCGAGAAATATGTGGGTGAACCCGGTGAAACTACACCCGGGGAACCACAATTGTGTGCGTTCACATTTCTAAAATCAGTGCTAGCTTTACTAACATAAGATATGAGGTTAATATTTAATTTTTAGTCAGTTCATTAAACTGTTTTTAATAAATTGTCCCTCTGTCGTATCCGATACCAAACATTTAAAGTGGTAATTCATTGTTGACCTTGAAACTTTAAGATTATTGATAAATATTTGCTTAATGTTAATTCTAATATATGTCTAGGGAGTAGGCGAATAAGTCAATAAGGTTTTTTGCACTTTTTTCAAACGAATACAACTTCCTTGTTCATGTCAACATGACATGCCATGCCATTATCGAACCTATGCTATGAAAATGTTTGTGTGATTAGACATTCTGCCACTGAAAACGAAAACGAAAACATATGATCTAATAAAAGAACGTGTGATATGAGACACGTATTATCATTATTAGTGATTTATAGCAATAACACTAAAACAGAAGAATGGATTCACGTTGACGAACTGTATATTGGAACTTTGTGACCCAAGATATTTTCAAGAGCAACTAAACGTTTATATACACGTATATTCAAGTGGAGGCCTTTGAACATTTCCACTAAAACGAAACCACATACAAGATTGCAAACGTCTGGAGATGGAACACGTAGATATATAAGAAAATAACAAAAATGGAGGAAGAATTCACATTGAAGGACTTTATAGAGTGTAACAAGAATCTACTACCACAACGCGTCAAAGTTACCGAGGGGCTTCTTCTCAATGAAGGTGAAATTGACGTCCCGGCTGGCACTGTTTGTGACATCAAAGAAGCACACTGCCTAAGCGTTAACCTGAGTAAACTAGGAAATGGAGGTGAACCTTTAGACAAAGTCTCTGTACCAGTGAATAATCCGTGTAAATTTAAGGTAATTGATGATTTCAATGGAGGCGATCGTGTCTATAGAACAGTTAAGGATCTCGTTGTAAATTGTCCATTCTACGTCCAGTGCAATAAGTACTGGAGGAGCAGGGATACAAACGATGAGTTTTATCCCGGAGAGAGGATGAAGCTAATACGACTCACGACATACGGGCCAAAGGTTGTGCTGGAATGTAAACTTATCCGACAAATGAAATTGGTCTTGCTGCCCTTTGACTGCAGAGGAGACTTCACGGTCAAATCAGACGATCATTTTTACACCCTGGCCGACCTGGTAAACACACTACCAAGAAGCCGCATTCTGAAGCTGGTACACTACGATATCATCAATCTAAAGAACAGGATCCCTGGGATTCCACATAACTATGACGGGTATCTCCTGATGGAGCAGCCTCGGTTTGAAATAGGTATGACGGAACTTGATGGTGATAGGTTCATCCTACCAGCGAACACAGAGATTAACGTACGCGCAAAGACTGGGGATTACGAAGGGATGTACAGCGCTATGTATCTCAGCTCATATGCTCACCAAAACGAGAACAAGCTCCCCCTACAGGCAAAAATCCTTGATTGGGACACAATGTCCACCATCGAGGAGATACATAACTTGCAACCAGGCCTAGTGCTGACCGCATACTCATTGACAACACATAGAATGAAGTATCTCGCCAAGACTTGTGGGACCAAGGGAAGAGACAAACGAGATTCTACAAACTATGTCATTATCCCGGCAAGCTATATGGGAACATTCAGATTCGGACCGAGCAACAAAGAAATCACCATTGATAACTTGTTACCAAACCAACTCCCAGTGAACGTCAAGCACATTATGGGCGATGATCGATTTGTGGATAATATTGCAGAGTTCCCCGATGAATTGCTGACAGTTGAAAAATGTTTTCAAGAACATGAACTATTTGTTTCCAAGTTTGACGAAACCGAAGCGTTCAATGTACCTTTGAGGTCAACTATGCAGATGTACACGTTCAAGAAACTCGAAGAATCTGATATAGATGAGTACCCATCAACTTCAGTAAAGGACTCCTGCCCCGAGATAGTCAACAGAGAGTCATACATGAAGTTACTGGAAAATGCATCGGCGTACCATATCCATACGAGTAAGATCTGTTTTTAATTTTAACGATGCAATTTATTTTCAGTGAATATGGTCATGGCGTATTCTTTCTTTTTAAACGTTTTCTCATGTTTCACGGTAATATTCCACTAAATATTCAAGCAACCTTTTTGTAATACCACTTACATGTTGTAGTTATTTTTTAATTTGTAAATAGTTTTTTGAATGTTTAAAGAGAGCTACATGTGTTTCTTGCAATATACTTACAAGTTTGTATAACTATAATTTCATTGTCTAGGTCCATCAAGTAGTCCGGTGGGTAAGCGGCCCCCACCTCCCCCACCCCCACATACCTACGACAACAGTTCGAGATTATCCCCCAGGTCCCCCGGACACACAGACAAAGATCCTGTCCCTATGTCTCCCGGACACGACAGCGTAGATGTTGAAGGCACGACCAGCGTTTGGAAATTCGACAATATCGATGTCCCTCCGCCTGTACCCGGATCCCCAGGGCGACATGTTTCAAAAAGACCCGCATTGTTCCCCAAGCCTAGATTAATGTCCCAAAGTTCCTCTGGCGATCAAAGCCCGCCAATAGGTACAGTATTTCCACTTAATTCTACTTGTACCCCATCAGAGGGAAACTGTTCCCCAATGTCACCCAATAAGCCACGAACGAATCCTCGACCTCGTTTCCCATCGATCAAAAAACCACAGCCGACGTTTCCTCCCATCCCATCCGTCGTTTTGGATAAGGGCCCGGAACCACCTCCAAGAGTCACAAGCCTTCCTCAGACTGTTTCTAATAAACCAAAAGATGGGAAAATTAAACGCCGTGTTGGTAAGACCACGATCAAAGTTTGGTAGAATTCGTAGTTCGTAGAGGTATAGTTTTAACATCTAATCCGTGACTTAGCTAGCATTCGCGAATTCAACTACCCTCGGCTGACGATTTGACCACCAACTGTTTTATGTCGAACTCATTTGAATAGGAATATAAATCAGTAGCAAGTACTATGCATATTCAAATGAGTTGGCCATAAAACAGCAATCAAACCGCCAGCCGACAGAATGCTACCTTATTTAACATGCTTTTCACACATTGCCTAATATAGGCAGAGTTTTAACATGTCTGCGAATGACGTCAGATGCAAGTGCTAAATGTTAAACGTTTGAGATAATAAGTCAGATTACCCAACACAAAAATAGACTTCTCATTACATATTTCTATCTTTTATTGATTCTGGTATCACGAGGTTTAATATTATATTGAGGTTTAATGACATGTTGGTCATTAGTGAACATTAAACCCCACTCGGTAGCAACACAATAGAATGAACTGTATTTTATTTTTAAGAATGTCCAGCTATAACGAAGAGGAGTGCATTAATTTTCTATTGTTTTTAAAGAATGTACACTTGGCAAGCTATCCAAAACCAGTGTGGCACAAAATACGATTGACTGTCACATGCAGTGCACTAAAGCTGACTATTGTAATTATACCCGATTCATTCTTTCAATAGTTGAATAGTAAACACAAAAGAGATTAAACTTTAAAATATTAATCCTGTTACACACATTGCACTGGAGCTGAACTAACTACACCCACTCAATTTTCAATACACTTATAACCTCATAGTCAATACAAAATAAATCGATTTTTCCTAGAATTGGATCGTGGACTAATTATCTTTAATAAGATTCAGTGCCTACTGCCTAGTGTGTGGTTTGTGTTAGATAAACTATATTCGCCTTGAGTCTTATCACCCCTTGGTCATCATTTTCCTAATACCCAAGATTTATCGTTTATCCATAGCATACAACAAGTAACTTACACTAGACGAACTACAAAAAAAGTATACCATATACAAATACATGATGTTTGCAGAATGTAAAATTACATAATAAAAAGTTATGGGCTATTACAGGCTTTCTAACATAACAGCAGGACTGCCTGCAATGCATGATCTAAGAGAGTAAAACAAAACAAAATTTTACTTTTTATTACGTTTTTTTATTCATAGCATTTTTACTTTCTGTTTCTGTTTTCTACAAATCATTTAATATAACTTTATTGGTAAGACAGATAAAATGGAATAAAACTACCTACAAAAGAAAAAAAAGAAAATGACGTGTAGTATGTCGTAGCCTATGGGATAACGGTTTGACCAAAGCTTTATTTTGTAAAATTAGTACTAGTTGAGTGCACGCTTATATCATAGAAATTAATATTGTGTTTTATTCTAATCTCTCAAGAAATCCATGTCTGCACGTAATTTCATGATTTATAGTTGTTTGACCTACTTCATCATCTCAAGTCCTAAACTTACTTGATGCTTGATAGAGCCCTGTATACTGCCCTGTGTAATTGTAATTCTCTATATTTCAAAGGGTTAAAAATCTACATCTGACCCATGAGATAAAATATAAAAAAAGTTATTGAATCATATTCAAATGAGAGAACCTGTGACTAACATACTTTTTCTAACACTAATATGTTGGTCGCGCGTGACGCATGTCGACTTTGACGTCACGATCAAAATGTGAATAAAAATATAGAACACAGTTTGCCATGTCCTGTCAATGAAATACATTTATTGAAAATATTTTCAGGAACTCAAGAGGAATATGAAGATGTCCAGGTTGAGGTCCTGTATACGAAAGGTAACTTAAAAATTCAATCCAGACCCGGGGATATGTGAATGCCATATTTCCATCGACCCTGTATCACGGTGTCCAACCCAAACGCTCTTACATGCACGACGGAGCGTTTCATTACTGAAACTAAACAAAGAAACGCTCCGGAGTAGGAAAACTGGCGGGCGGGAATGATGAGCCGTCTGACGATTTCCCCAATAATGGGAATAAGAGGTATGAGTTACTTATTTCGAGTATACCATTCGCTGGGTGTGCTATTCATTTTGTACTTGGCTGGCTATTGACGTTTGAAGCAAATAGGAAGAGCTGTACGAAGCAGTATGGTTATCAAAATTTATAATCGTATTTGTCATTCTACTGGTCAAAATCCCTTTTGTCGAGAGATGTGATTAGTTGAGCCAAGATTAGAGCACCAACATATATTCTGGTCAAATTTGAATGCTTCAACACACCACGTCACATTATCGTAATTGTGATTTGATGACCGAAAATTCTATTGCTCCGAACCGGTCCGTCTTCTCGCTGCAAGCAGGAGGAAATTCTTTGTCACAACGCGCGTCATTGAAACTCACAAGATGTAAATAGCATGTCATTTACATCATACCTTGATGGGGAAAAAATAGATCTTATATGTTAGAAGTACTAAATAAAAGTTATCGTGAAAATGAGACAGCCGTTCTCGAGAGAAAAGAGCATAAATGCGCATTTAGAGAGTTTTGGTCCGTTTAAAAATCTGTAAAAAAATTGGGGTACTTAAAAGCATCGGGAGGCATCATATATTTCAAATTAGACACGAGGAAGTCAATATTGAGCATGGCTGTTTTAAATTCAAATAAAACCGTTAACCCGTACCGGTCCAGCTTTTGACCCGTACCGGTCAATTTTCGTTAGCTGCGTATACCAAGGGTGTAGTTGCACGTTTAGCACCACCAGCAGGTTGGGACGTTGCAATTTGCCTAACAAGTACAACACGTATTTGAGAGATAGATTCGATTCCGAACTCTTCTCTAATAATCTGATAATAATATCAAAACAAAATGGTAAGAGCGTTTCTAAAATTGTGTCCTAAATCGACGGAGCGTTTCGAGGAAAACAAGCGATTTCTCGAGAAAAAAAAGTCATGGATTTGGACTGGGATTTTAGAAAATGAGAATATACAAGATTGTGATCAACTACTTTGACAGAAAGATTGACGTTTTCATATAAATACTAGTTTAATTCGTAATTTGTGGTCAATTCGTCAACTTCAGATTCGTTCGATCTACACTACGGAGCTTTGATCAAGCAAATAACAGTTTACCACCAGAAGTTGAATAAATAAGATCTTTGCTCAGGGTATTGTTCCATAACGTATGATATATAAGAGAAACGAGTGAAACAATACTTACGGTCATAGTGGGATCTTCATTAGCCGCTATTTTATTTCGCTCCGCAGCGTTTCTACGTGAATGAAACGCTCCGTCATGCATGTAAGAGCGTTTGGGTTGGACACCGTGAGTATCTGGGTCATATTGCACAAATCTACACAGTTAGTCTCATCCAAATGGTGGAAAATCGATATTAATAAACTTTCGATTTCAAATAACTACAAAGAAAACAAAGCTGAGAAAACAAAATTAAAATTTTCCTAACCCTACTATCACACCAAACTAGTTCTCACTACGTTCTCGAAAACGGGCTTCAACTGTGTATGAACGGACTGAACCTGCTAAGAACCGTTTGGGATCTATTTACAAACTTCATCGAACGTACTCGAACGGGTAGGTCCTCTAGAACTTAGACAATGCTCAAAATGTTCTCGTGGTCGTCACGTTCTACAATTAGAACGAGTGACAACGTACCAACGACGAGCTGGACGTACTACGAACGGAACCGTCGTACTTCAATCCTATTAGGGACGTTTTAACAACGAGTTGAACTGTCTGAGGACGTGTTGAGAACGAGGTAGAACTAATTGCAAACGGGTTTAAACTGATTAAGAACGTATTTAACACTGCTTATGAACGAGTTAGCAAAAATATAGCTATTACACCAAACGAGTTGCCATTGCGTTCTTCAAAACTGGTTTTAAACTGTGTGCGAACGGAACGAACGTAGCTGCAACTTTCTAAGGTCTATTTACGAACTTTATGAACGTTCTCAGACGGGAATAAGATTTTACAATTTTGAATCGATTCAAAATTCGATGGCGACATACCGTTCTGTAATCAGGTCATGTTGACCTTCTAGACTAAGGGACGCGTTCTACGACGTTGCACACCGACGTGGTGCGACCTGAACGAACTGCGAACGAGATGGACGTATTGAAGACTGTTTAAGCACGAAGAAGCTAATCATTTCAGACATATTTCCCAACCACAGCTAGATTGAGCCCGTTTTACGACGATTTCGTAGGACTGGCAAGAACGGGTAAGAACTAGTTTGGTGTGATAGGGGGGTAAGTGAATTAAAATAAAAGTAATTACGCTCATAAAATATATACCCCAGTATGCAGTAAAACAGTAACAACGAGGGTTACTGTTATTAATAGATTAAAGTATTTGATTTTATAGTGGAAGACCCAGAGGATGGAAATCTGTACGAGTTCACCGCATCACAAATGGCATACTTTTTCCAAACGAACGGTATCGAAGAGGGTATCATCGGAAGAATGTATCGAGATGGTCTGGACGGGAAGAAGTTTGGGGAAACCACAGAACATGACTTTGCCAAACAATATGGACTATCACTTCCATGGCTCAAGCAGTATAGGAGAAATACGAAAAGAAAAACGATGATGAATGTTTTGCTGTAATACATTGTGTATATAAAGTGTGAAAGACTTAAGCCCGGTATACACCAATGGGGCAAAATCCCACTTGCCCCATCGAGTCCCATCTTGCCCCATCGAATCCCAATTTGCCCCATCGAATCCCACGAAGTCCCATGGGACCTTGATGACTTTGCCCCATCGTGCCCCATGGAGTCCCATCAAGCCCCATGGAGTCCCATCAAATCCCACCGTGCCCCATTGGTGTATGTCGGGCTTCACACAACACGTCATATGATCGAAAATCCCACGATGCCCCATGGAAAGAATGAACATGTTCATTCTCGATGGGACTCCATGGGACTCCGTGGGACTTTGCCCCATCGAGTCCCATCGAGTCCCACGTGGGACTTCATGGGACCTCATGGGACCTCGTGGGACTCGATGGGGCAAGATGGGGCAAAATCCGACGGAGTCCCATGGAGTCCCACGGACTTCATGGGGCAAAATCCCAAAAGGTCCCACGAGGTCCCACGCAATGTTAAGTCTATGGAGGTCCCAACTTGCCCCATTGGTGTATACCGGGCTGTATACCCCCTGGTGGCTACTTCCCTTCTATTTGGTACTTTCAAATAATAAGTTACGAATACGCACCCTCGTCAAGCTAGTAAAATTAGTTCGGAACTCAAGCCTTACAATAATTAGAAGACGCACTACAAGTCATCATACAAGATATTATTATGAGCTTTATTATAGTTGTATCTCACTTTTGGGCAAGTTGTTCAGCTTATATAGAAAAAATAAAATGAAAAGGCTTACCTAATTATCTATATATATTAACTTACTAAAGGGTGCTTGATCATTGCAAGATTTTGATTGGATGCATTGCGTGGTTTTATCTCTCGATAAAGATATTTGATATATATTTTGCAAGCATATTTAAGATTAACCCCTCTGAATTAATATTAACATTAATTTATGTTCCATGATATTCATGTTTTCTGAATATAAACATTCATGTACTAACATATATTGCTTTTAAATCATAAAAGCACAGTCATATGACATGGAAACTCTGGAGTATAATCATATGTTCATATACCATGCGTTGGCAGTGCAGGCACCACAAATCCACGATATCTTCCACCGCTCAAGGGAAGGTAACTGGGAATTTGGTTTTACAGATGATAGGATAACTGATATGCGGTGATGCGGTAACGTTATGGGAGTTTATAATGGAGAGCTAGATGTCCAGTTCATGTGTATTGAAAACTAGCCCGTTATCGTATCTTACATTTCCATATCGTTGAACTGAGGCGCCTATGATCAAATCATCATACTCCAAAGTTCCTATGTCATATAAGCCTGATTTGGTTCAAATATCAAAGCATATCGTCAACTATATTTAGTAATTTAATTCGATGAAAACCCATGTGACCCACTGCTGCCACGAAGCGTCGGTGGTGTAAAGGTTAGCTACCGGCTGCCGAGTTGATCGCACTTTAATCGCCAACTCATGTAAATGTGAATAGTACCTGTAGTGCATCTTGGTAGCTACAAGCTATCGCCTCAAACCGATCGCTGATCAGGTTTATCTGCCTATTTAAACTAAAGATAGATGTTAATTTGTATTCTACATTCCTAATTCCCAAACATACAGATTATTTTCAAATATCAAATCTCATTCCTATCGAAAACAAAAATCTGACGCATTTTGTAGCATAATGGGGCTACTGCACTGCTATTTATCAGCGATTTATTCGTAAACTTTCTCGTGTAAAATTACCTTGGGATTGGAAGTATTGTTCACATTCATGTGTCAGAGTTCTTAAGAATATAACTTTACCAACAAGAATAGTAGCATGAACAGAAAATATATTTATGTCTTGTCATATTTGATTTAACTTAGACGCGTTTGAATGATAGTGACCAAATAGGAATATGAACTAGAGTCATAGATATCATAAAATTAATCATTTTAGTCACATTCTCTCATTCAAAACTCCTTAAATATGTTTTCAAAGTCAACTTCATGTTGATTGGTACAATCCGAAGAGATTAGCAGTTGTTTACCTTTTAAAGAACTTGTGGATTTATCCGAAATATTTACATTTTTTGCACTTAGTTGTGTTGCCATGGCAACCACTTGACCAAGCATGATCAAACTTGTCATGGAAACTTGTTATATATGGATACATAATCCCTAGATTATTTATTCCCTATGAATTTGATTGGTATATAAGGACATAATTCATGCTTTTCATAGTACCCCTTCATAAATATAGCCAGGAGGGTATAAATGGCAATTATTCGAAGAGGCTGAAAAACTAGACCCTATTATTTTCAAAATCAATGAGAAATGATATAATACACATAATTAACATAATTATAAAAATGCAATACCGTGAGTAAAAAATTGGTCCCAGCTCATCCACTATAGAAAAAAATAATATGAATCTAAATGTTCACAAAACCATGCGTCGGCCGGGAATTGAACCCGGATCTAATGCTTGGAAGGCATCAATGCTAACCTTTACACCACCGACGCTTCGTGGTACCCTGCGTGCAGAGTCTTGTAAAAGTTAGACGAAGCTCTCTTTTAAGAAGTGAAGTCAAACGAATGCAAAGGGAAGCTTCGTGGTGGGGGAACGTCACAATAACAGTCCTCAATATCAAGCGAAGGTAGCGTCCGTTACCTTCGCATCTAAGATGGCGGGCGGTAATTGTCGATTTTATAGATGACGATATGCTTTGATATTTGAAGGAATCAATGCTAACCTTAACACCACCAACACTTCGTGAGAAGAAAGCGTCAAAATATTATCAATTAGCTGAAATGTATTAAAATAATATCCACATGAACTTCGTTGTTGCCAAAATGTTACATCATGTAGTTGTATTTATTGTATTTAACGAAGTAAGTAGTAGCAAATTTGTCCTTTCTGACATCTGATCAAGAGCTATCTTAAAACTTATTTTGAGTAATAATAGTAATAACACTTCAGTTATTTGTCTGTGGAGTGTGGGGGTATTGGCAAAGGGGTCCGTGCATTCCTAAACCCATTATGCCGACGCGCATCGTACCGATACCGAGTGCCATTATACCCCCGATTATACCGACGCGCATTGTACCGAAAAGTTTTCCAGCGTGTAACTATCTGCTTCTAACCTTTAAGACAATGCAAGTGCAAAGTAATTGATAGACAAATTAGCGAACGCATATTTAAAGTTTGTTGAGTAAAATATTAGACAGTTTTCGAGCTTTAATACATGATATTCAATAATAAGAATTTACGAAAAATCCTTGAAAACAGGAGAACATCTATTTTGAGATTGGAACAATCTGTCATCGTTTCCAGTTGATCCCAAGTGGATAGAAAAGCTGCTTGTCCGATTGTCTGTTTGTCCGTCTTTTTATTAGGAAAACAACTCAATAGTTTAGAGGAATTCGCCCAATGGCCATATAGGATGTCTGGTTAAGAACAATCTTCAAAAATGGAATTGCCAAGTAAAAAAAAAGTTGCCACAATTTCAATTCCGTGTTGTCTAGCCTTAGTTCAAGGGTTTTTTCTCGAGGGCAGAGAAACGTGATAAAAATGTTAAAAGGAAATATAGTAAATTGAATTGAAATTAAATGTAACGCATTATGTATGATAAAATAGCGAACTGACAACATTACGTACATTTATATATGATTTGAAATACCTAGCCACATATACAACGCACCATTGGAAAGCTTATCTTGTCTTTTTTATTCTCCTTTCTAACAGAAGTGAATCAAGGGTTACGCATTGAACCGTTACGCATTGGCGACAGGTGGAGTTAAATGATAATGGAGACTTTTTAAAATGTAGACGCACCCATCCCCTTAATAAAATTCTTGGATCGCTCATGTATACATGATAAAGTTCAGTTCTAAATTTTAAATAAAAAATGATAAAACTCCAAATCCTATGAATTACAGGTGAAAGTTACTGAACTGGACTCAAAATATCTTTAAGTCTTGTCATATATATTTTTTATTTTTTTCGTCCATTTCTTGGTTTACTTTTGAGCCTTCCGTAACTCATTTTGAAGAATGTGCAATATAAAAGCAGATGATTTGAGTACAATGGGGGAAATATCTGTCCAAAAGGCTTCTAATGTTTTTTGTTTCTTATCATTTCTTTAACGATGCTAGCACCGACGCTATCCTTCCAACCCCTACTTCTACCATAGGGCGAGGCAGGGTGAATACAATACGGAACCAGCCCGGGTTTTTACAATAGAGCGCCTGGCCTGGCATCAGGTAGACATGTGCATCGAAGAACTGTCTGAACAACGTCATCTCCGCCTCGTGTGTCTGCTCACTGAGGAACTGAAATATAAATAAACAAAATGGCTTTGATATTATGTGGATGGAAGAAAAGGTGAAAATATGTCATTTTAGGTATTTAATTCTATGAATGACAAATAAAACATGTTTTAATGAGGTCCCCCTTTCAGCGGATGCATGGTAAGGCAAGGGGTGCAATGGTAACATCATGGGGAGAAAGCACGGGGTGAAAGCCCATGGTAACATCAATGCAACTTCTTAGCAATGGATGGAAAATTCCCTTACAATTCCGTTACGTGAATGGAAAATTCCATTATTTGAATGGAAACTGTAGAGAGATCTAGAATAACTTACTGATGTCAAACTTTATATATGTTATATTCAAAACATATAATCCTCACCTTTGAAAAATCGGCCCAGACAAAGAAGCATGCTTCACTCTTCATAGAAGGTACCCCGATATCCATCAATTTGCTTGTGATGAACTCAAATGTATCTTTCATCCTCTTCAGGTTCGTTGGGAAATATTTATTTTCTAACCATTCTAGAATAATAATAATTAAGGATCAGAATGGTTTACGATTTACACTGAACAAAACATTTCAGATACACCCATCATTACTGTTAATTCAGTTTTCACGATTTTATTGACCAATTCCAATTATTCACTAATAGTACTTAGAAGATAAAGTACCCGTGTTTGACATATTTTTAAACTTGTAAGAGTCATGAAGAGTGGGATATAGTTTGATTCATCTAGATCTGATACTTACGCGTGTGCTAGAAGTACCGTTTATTGTATCTTTATTCAGAATCCGTATAACCACCCTATGCTTAGTGAGCGGACCTAATTTCAAGGGTGATGGTAAAGACAAGGCAGGGCGCCCAAACCTAACTATGGCGGACCAGCAGTAAGTTTATTTCTCTAAGTTCTACTCTTTATTGGCCTTGTGCTGGCCTGTAACTAGGTGCACTGATGCTTCAGATGCCCATAATTAGATTTGTAATGTAAGAAAGATTCATACTTATATGTGAAACGGATACGAAGTGATGTGAAAAGAAAAATTAATTTTCTGCATATTTTTTTCGATTATTTTCAAAATAATGATACTTCTCCTGCATAGAATTCCTTGATATTGCATGTAATTATTGTTGATGAACGTATTTATATCGTAAACCCATCCATTTACCCAATTTGAGCCGTAATTGCAGTCAAATCAGGAGATTTTGATTCCTCGGAAGGAAGAGCAATGGTTATGGTAATAAAAGCATGTTTGGACGAGCCGTGGAATGGGGATTACATTTATCCTGTTTATTTTCAGATATGTGGGATGCCAGTGTTACTACTGTCACGGAAAATCAAAAGACTTTGATGAAATAATACACCACCTGATCAAAAAACACCCTACAAATGAAATGAAAATTCGAAAAATCGTTAATGTCAACGGAATAATAAAATTAATTACAATAAATTTTTCTCATGTGGTTCCTGAAGAAATTAAAGCAAGTGGCAAGAGGATTGTGGTACAAGACAAGGAGTCAATGACAATTTCTATAACACAATCCTCAAGTGATTCTCATGTCTCGAAATGCTCTAAATTAGTTGACACTGCACCAGTTAAGCACAATGCAACATTTAACAATGAAATAAACAATGAAATTGAATGTAATGAAATGGACAATGACAATGAAATAGAAAATAGAAACGAAATGAGTGATAGTATAAATATGACATCTAATGATAACAATAGCAATAATGATGCAGCTACAAATGAAAGCAACGACGAGTTGTTAAAAGAATTTGCTAACATGATGCCTCAAGTCATCAATAGACTGTCAGATGATGGATCTTTGACAACTACACGTCAATTCTTTCACCTAATCACAACTGACGCGTTCCCGTTAGACAACATCGCCTAAAGATGTTTTCTGGATGTTGTTTAATGGATGGGGTGCGGTGCTAGCACACAATTTCGTTATAGATTCCCCGATACAATACGCTTCTGGAGGATTGGTTACCGCCTTTTCAAGGGCAAATTCCTGAGATATATGAATGGGGTCAACGATGGTGGTATATCCAACTTTATTGTTCCAACTAAGGCTGTTCTGACTACATCTGTCATGTTAACAATCTCTGACTCTATCTGCCATGTTAACAGCCTCTGACTACACTTGTCATGTAAATAAAGTCTGACTTCATTTATTATGTTAACAATTTCTGAATACACCTGCCATGTTAACAACCTTTGACATCAACAATCTCTGACTACATCTGTCATGCGTCTGATTTTTTTATGACTTTGTCAACATTTGTTAAAAAATTGTAGGCCAGTTACCATTTATACAATTTTAAAATTCTTTTAAGTTATTCTATTTATTCGTTCAACAACCAACACTTTTTGATAAATCATAAAATCAAGTGACTATATGTTTTGCAAGTTTTTACCATTGATTGAAGCCTATGACAACCTTGCCCAAATTCATTAATTTATTAATTGAAAGTGTACATTTTAGGTGAATTTAGCAGTACACGTAGCAGCTAAGTGCTTGCCCATAGCCACTCCTCTTCGCAAATTACATCGCCATTGCTCGTCATCGAAATTCTGATCGCCGAATAGTAAACATTCATTTTGTATTGGATGTACATAACTAGAGACCGCCTTATTTCGCATATATGAAAAAATAAAACATATCTAGGTACATATATCTTTATATGTGACATCGATCAGGAATTATTGACATATTGACAATATTAGGTTGTAATTTCTTGCGGTAAATTCAAATTGTATCTTTAAACGACTGTTTCATCTTAACTATTCGTTTTATTGGATGTAAAACAAACGGTATGCATAGTTTAACATCTTTCACTTCTAAAACAGCATAAAATATCACAATATCATCACCTAATGCTGCAATAATACGACTTAAAAGATTATGGAACTAATATTCTTTGGTTTTTGGGCGCCATGCTTCGTCTTTACCATCACCCTTGAAATTAGGTCCGCTCACTAAGCATAGGGTGATAACTGTTAACTTGATTTTCAATGCTATTTTTGTGATTATTTACAAATTCAAATCAAAAATCATAAGAGGGGGGGTCACAGTTTAAGTATCATCCTTAAATTCTTCTTTCTTTCATTAGTAACTATTTACAAAGCAGTTACATTTTCATGCCTCTCAGGTCTAATATCGCTCCTAACTTACCATCGTCCGTAATTATCTCTGTCAGTTTGTTTTGTACTATGATTGGAACCGATGTGAAATAGGAGAGATGAGCCAGAACTACTTTAATATCATCATTGATTGTATGTATCACTCCGCATCTAAATCCGGACAAGCAAAAGTCCTGAAATTAAAGAATTTTAAGAAAATAATCTCAGAATTAAGCTAAATGTTTACAAAGAAAAACATGCGTCGGCCGGGAATCGAACCCGGATCTAATGCTTGGAAGGCATCAATGCTAACCTTTACACCACCGACGCTTCGATATTTGGTTGGCAAAATATTTGTTTACTTCTTTCTGAGATGTATTCAAATGTTATCGACATGTACTTCATTGTTGCCCAAGAGATTTAAGGACTGGAGTCCTGGATTCAGTGCATCATGGACTGATCATTTCTCTAAGGTCTTGTCTAAAACTTTGAAAACTTAGAAAAATTGTTTGAAACAAAAATTGGGATCAGAAAAAGGAAAAAAAGATTTTTTCATATTTTCTCTATTTCTAGAAATGAATTCAAATTTTCAAAGCTCCCTATCATGTGCAATATGCACATTTACTGAAAAATTCAAAATATTCTGTTCAGTGACCTTTCCGAAACGCTAACATTTTACTTTTTTCAGTCACATTTACAGAGGGCCGAAAAAGCTATTTCAGCATGGCAAGGGCCATTTTGACCATGACCATTGTGATCCTGGCTATGTAAATGGTATATGGGAGTAATACAACTTACATGTACTGAAGATCAAAGCAGAACTCTGGTATCTTACTTCAAAAAATTCTAAATTTCACATGTTTCTTTCATTTCCTGTTTGGTGTAAATTTCTGATAACTACCCCAAAACCTTAAAATTGTCTTCCGAAAATTCTGAGACCATCAGTTAGACACCAAGGGTGATTTTTAGCTCACAACTCCAAAAGAGAGAACACACTAAAACGAGGTAACCTAAAGAAAAGTACGATCCCGAATAGTACCAAACAAAAACTTCAAAAAGGCCTCAAGCTCTGGTAAGCTTTAATGTCCTGTTTAGGAACCCATATTCTTCTGAGAAAATGAGGATTTCTGTAAGGGTGCCATTGACTTATAATGGGAATGCAATTGATCCTCCTGCATATCTACAGTACATATGCAATAAATTTCATCCCCATTTTAATTCAATAACCCCTTTGCATTGCAACAGGACATCGGGCTAACTTTTTATAACTTTAGTTGGTACTAGAGTACATGAGGGTTTGTCTCAAACGGTGGTAAAATATTTACAGAATTATTTCTGAGGTTCAACACAAGGATCAGAAGAAGCAAGTCAAATTTAACTTTTACAAAAAACATGCGTCGGCCGGGAATCGAACCCGGATCTAATGCTTGGAAGGCATCAATGCTAACCTTTACACCACCGACGCTTCGTGAATGGGCTAGTTAAAATATTTTAATATGATTGAAATGTATTCAAATATTATCCACATAATCCAAATAAGTATATATAATCCACAAATATTATCACATATTATCAACTTCATTGTTGCCAAAAGATTACATTTAGTGATAACGGAATTTCCTTCCTCCTGTTCATCCTCCAATCGTTTTGATGAGTTTAAATGATAAAACACATATTCCTGCATACGTTTTCACTTGTTGAGCACTTGTCAACATTACCATTTACTTATTATTGAGAGGTTTATCAGGGGTCCACAAAAATTAAAAAATATTAGATTTTGATATTTTTGAAGTTTACGACGAATTATCTACTTATGAATTGGTTTTTGGGGAGATTATTAACATGAAAAATTGATTTTATCTGTTTAATTGAAAATAAGATCACTTGTCTGACTATATTTTGCATTTAAAATGATTAAAATCAGTTGTTCCATTTAGTTCACTTTCTTTTAACATCATCTTGTTTTTTGTTGATCCGCCAATTGTTTTGATATGTTTAAATGATAAAACATATATTCCTACATGCGTTTTCACATGTTGAGCACTTGTCAACATTACCATTTACTTATTATTGAGGGGTTTGACAGGGGTCCACAAAAAAATTAGATTTTGGTATTTTTGAAGTTTACAACGGATTATCTACTTATGAATTGGTTTTTGAGAAGGTTATTAGCATGACCTATTGATTTTATCCGTTTAATTGAAAATAAAATCGTCTGTTTAATTATATTTTACATTCAAAATGATTAGAAATAATTGTTCCATTTTGTTCACTTTCTTTTAACATCATCTTGTTTTTGTTGATCCGCCAATTGTTAAATGATATGTGTAAATGATAAAACATATATTATCACATACATTTTCACCTGTTGAGGACTTTACCGTTTACTTATTATTTGAGGGGTTTAACAGGGAGGGGTCAACAAAAATGTTAGATTTTGATAGTTTTGAAGTTATCAACAGATTATCTAGCTAGTCATTAATCGGCTTTTGGAAAGTTTACTAGTATAACATATTGATTTTATCTCGATGTACATTAGATGGTCAAGAGACCAATAAACTTATTTATTAATTATTGAGGGGTTAACAGGGGTTCACAAAAAAATATAAAAAATATTAGATTTTGAAGTTTTTTTGGAAAGGTTATTAATATTAGTATGGCATGTTTGACTATGTTTTGCATTCAAAATGATAAAAAATAATGGTTCCATTTAGTTCACTTTCTTTTAACATCATCTTGTTTTTCGTTGATCCGCCAATTGTTAATGATATGTTTAAATGATGAAACATATATTCCTACATACGTTTCCACCCGTTTCCACCCTGTCAACATTACTGTTTACTTATCATTGAGGGGTTCAACAGAGGTCCATAATAATGAAAAATATTAGATATTGACACTTTTGAAGTTAACAAATTTTCCACTTATGAATCGGCTTTTGGAAAGGTCATTAGCAAGATATATTGATTTTATCTGTTTAATTGAAAATAATATCTTCTGTCTGACTATATTTTGCATTCAACATGATTAAAAATAATTGTTCCATTTAGTTCACTTTCTTTGAACACAATCTTGTTTTCGTTTATCTGCAAATTGTTTCTGCCTATATTCCTACATACGTTTTCACCTGTTGAGCACTGAAACTGAGCACTGTTTACATTTTAAAACCTTGGAAAAAGCATTTGATCGTATATAATATTGCATTTAAATCATAATTTAAGATGAGTTAGGAATTTATTCCCATTATTTATAAAAATGGATTTTAACATCAACAAAGCATATGATATGATGTGGGTTGAAAGAACATATGATTTTGCAATACGGGCTCTACAAGCAAATAACTTTAGTAATAGAAAAGCGTTCACCCTGATTATTTCATTTAGTAGAAAATAGACTATCCCATGAGGCAATGCCAGAACCCAAACTTTCTATTGAAATTAATTAATACTGTCTCGCCCAATATTTTTTTCTCGAATAGCTATTCTGCTATATCCAGCTCCTGATCATCCAGTATTTGTTTAATATTGCCCGCAGAAATGACATTATTAGAATTATTGCTCAGGTCAACATAGTAAAATAAATGCCACCTAAACCAGCACTAATACCCCTAAAACATGCCCTGCAAGGTGGTAATAAAAGTTATTGATCCGAGAATTATCCACAAAAATATTCATCTTTTTGATTTAATCTTGAATTAAATCTTCAATAAATGAAAATCTGAACCACTTTAAGATATTAAAAAAATTCAATGTGCCATGTTTATAGTATTCACATACCAGAGATGATCAAAATCGCTCGACAACTTTTCAATTATAGTAAAATACCTTAAAATTGCGGCTATGCTTAAAATGGCCGCCTTCTACCAAAAGTGTCATTAGACAGTGTGCCATGCTCATAGTATTAACATACCAAATATGCACGAAATCACTCCACTACTTTTCGATTTACAGCAAAAATCGTAAAATAACAAGTAAAGGCCAACATTTTTCAATTTTCAAGATGGCTGCCGTGTGCTTCCTTAATATCTACATTTCTAGCTTTATTTATGTTCTATATAATTTTTTTAATTTAAAAGATACTGCTATTACAGTTTTATATATTGCACCTAAATAACTGTAAAATCGGCACTAAAATGGCCCCTACTTTTAAATGAGCGCCATTTTGAAAATTGAGCAGAACTTCTACCCCCATAGGGTATATGTGTACAAAATATGAACAAAATCGGGCCAACGGTATTTGAGTTATTGCCCGAACGGACGTACGTACGGATTGACAGACGGACTGACGGATGGACAGACGGAGGCCCGTTCCCTACATCCCTCCGAACTTCGTTCAATGGGATAACTATCTAAAATTAATTTAAATTGTTAGGACATGATGCTAAGCTTATAAAGTAAAAATTTGATTAGTTGCACCAATCATTGTGATTTTAGAGCCCATTGTTATCTCATTTTACAGTTTAAATTGTATAAATCTTCTTGCTGTTAACGTATTGATAATAGTCTACACTTATTTAATGCCTGTTTATAATGATACCAACATTACTGTAATATTGAAATCATATAAGTAATAAAAATCCCCAAATGGATGTCAATGTCCCCTCCCTTCATTTGTGACATGGTGTTATACGAATTAGGTTGAAGACATCAGGATGAAACCTGTTTTCATGATTTATACACCTCAATGATGTAATTTAATCGTAACAATATACTAGCTTTTCATCTAAGAACTAACCGGAAAAATATTTAATATTTGTAAAATAGACCCCTGCTGAAATCGTTCATAAATGAAGTTCTGTAACTTTGTATGGTGCTCAAAAATTCATAAATGGTCAATGCTATAATCCTAATTAAAAAAGCAAATTAAAAACATTAGGCAGTAACAATAAGCTTTAAAAAAATTATCAAGTGTTTGATGAGTTATACCCCCCACTGTGAACATGAATTCCATTTTGATCTAATTTTTCAGTTGAAATTTTACATTATGCTCTTGATATATAATAATTCATGCTTTTTGTACTTATTTATTATCTATTCACAAGAAATCTTTTAAAATGATTATTTCTTTAAAAAATGGACCCCTGCTTAAATCTCAAATAAATGATAAACGGTAATGTTGTGTGATCCTCAACAAGTAATACCATATTCAGTGATGTTAAATCTATCAATATAATCTATAAAAATGATTGGAACTTGAACAGGAGGTAATTTTCAAATATTTGTCAATTCCTTTATCACTAATTTTCATGCAGTCAATGATGTCTTTATATGACTTTATATTTCACTTCGTTAACAAAGCAAATTCTTATACAAATATGACATCTGGTTTATCAGTTTACACAGAGTTATTTTGAAACTTATCTTGAACCAACCTGGAGTATCAATTTAAAGACAATAATTATTCCTCATTTATTTGTGGAACGTGAACGTACTGGCAAAGATACTGTGTGTAATATGCTGCATTTAATAAACCCGACTTAGGTTGCAACACAATAGAATGAACTGTATTATCTTAAAGAATGTACAGCTGTAATAAAGAGGAGTGCATTCTTTTTCTAATATTTCAAATAATATACATTTGGCAAGCTATCCAAAACCAGTGTGGCAAAAAACGAAGATTGCTTTGTGTTTACACCTGGACTGTCACATGCAGTGCACTGGAGCTTAACTAATTACACCCTATATTCACTCAATCAAAAGTTGAATAGACAATACAAACGAAATCAAATTTTACATTGTACCTGCAGTTCAGTGAAACTGAACTAATATAGCCCATCTACTCATTTACATATATCAATTCATAATTCCTCCAGTCAATACAAAAGAAATCAAATTTAGATAAAGTTAGATAAACAATTCGGATCTAATGAGAAAATAATCGCCATGGACCTGTCGGCCCTTGGCTATTATTTCAAATAATACCCAACGCTCATTGTTTATCCTTTACGTAAATACCGTTCAAAACAAGTTCCTCGGAATGATAATGACTATGGCAAACAAATGGGCAATTAATGATGAACAAGATGTACAAGTAGTCAAATAAATATTACAATTAGACTAAGAATGGATGTAACTTTCGTTTTACATGTTACCCTGTAATTTTCAAGGTTTTTTTATTTTAAAACTATAGAATCCAGTATTATAGCTCATAAAAATACAAAAATACCTTACTAAATTCCAGAATTACGTGTGTTCTCATGAAGTCAGGGACGTTCTCCAGAGTTTTTCCTCCTATTGAATTCAGTGTTATAGCTCATTAATAGATCAAAAATTACCTTACTAAATCCCCATAATACGTGCGTTCTCATAGGGTCAGGGACGTTTTCTAGACTTAAAACACTGTTAAATTCAGCGCCTTCTCCAAAGACTGACATTCCGTAAATCTCATCCATAACAACATGGAGCTCGTATCTGGAATTGAAAACAGTTCAGCGATGCGATTCTATTAAGGTTGTAATCTCTCATAATACTTAGCCCCAATTTCAAACAAATCACGTAGGCCTATGGGAAAAACAGAAAAATGTAAAATCATAAGATTGCATACTTAGCTGCAAATTCTAATATTTCAATCACTAGTTTCTTGCTGTATATTGTTCCCATTGGATTGTGGGGGTTGATTAGGATCATACCCCGCACACTAGCACCATGTTCAATGGCGTCCTTGTACGCTGCTTCAAGTTTCTCAACCGTCATCTCAAACCCATCCTGAATATAAGAAAAAAATGTTTTTCAGTACATTTAAGAACCCATAGTTTAAGGGTTTTATATTTTATGATCGTATCGTAATTGTTTCTAATTTTATCATTCCGTGGCACATAGAACAAAACCCAAATATGTTAACAAAACACACCTACATGTATGTGTAACATAAAATCCCACCCTTTTAGCTTTTAGGTCAAATTGCAGCGAGCGATACTCTTATTACTAAATACTAAAAGATCTACAATAAGTTATTCGTGCTCGGGAAAGGGAATTGGTGTTGCTCATCAGAGTAGTGTCACTGATTCAATAAATCTAACGAAACGTGCTTAAGTGATTGAACGGGTGCTTAATACAAAAGCGAACGTGCAAAAGGAACCATATGAAATTTCCTGAAAGCTTCAGTCACGTGATCCATTATCCAAATTATAGTGGATTCAATTTGGTTAATTACAATGTGATCACATGACCATATTCTTCACAAAATGTCAAGAATACAAATCAAACGTCTTATTCAGAGCCGGAGTACACAATGATTAAGTCCAGAGTGTGACAGACCTGACTATCGAGATCTACGTTCCATACTCTTGCCTGAGCCCTGTGCCCACTGTCATTTGTCACTCTGTAGTAATAAGGGGATGGGGCCAGGAAATACTCTGCAAGATAAGAAGTTTGTTATTCATTTTGTGCTCTACCATGCTGGTATCAACCGAGTGTCAATTTAGGTATTATCTAAGTCCTATCCAATAATGATGGTCACACTCCCTCTAGTCATGGACCTATATCCTCTAGTGCAGACATTCTAATTTTTTCAGTGTCCCTCCTTATCTTATTCTTGAGAGGGATGGATGCACGCATAAGAACTAAACGAACCATATGATGTAACTGAATGACCTCAAAATCAACGCTCATACAAACTCTAAGGATGGCACAAACCCCATTTATATATCATGTGATGTTTAATACCATTGGAACTATCCAGGCCCCGCTACAATTCTCGAAATCGCGAGCAAGTACCCGCTGAAAACCCGAGCATATATGCAATTGTTTATATCACCCGGGAAAATGGACAAAAAGGGTAAAAATACACATTACTGTTCTTTGATACTTCATCAAATTGTTGGTAAAGAAGAAACGGGCGTCAACATGGACGTTTGCATAATTAACTGTTACATTTATCATTAAAAGAAAGACAAGAAGTACATTCCTCGTAATAAATATTGGAACAATATAACATGAAGTGTACAAGTCCATCTACCGTGGGGGAGCGAAATACATCATTAAACGTATCTCAATGACTCCGCTGAAAACTTGAGGACATGAAACATAAAAAAACATGTTTCAGCGGGGTATTTTGGTTCACTGCTCATGTTTGAACCAGGTCCTGAGAGATATGAAAAAGTTAAAACATAAAATGATTATGTGCTACTCAGTTCAACTTTATTTCATATTACTACGGTCATTTCAATTGCAGGGCAACAACGTTTTTCAGCCATAACATATGGAAATATAAAGATTCAAGATGGTCAATTCTTAGCTAACGAGACCCAGAATGACAGCTCGTGATACTTTTTTTTCCAGCAGATGACTTTTCAGTCAATAACATGTAACCACTGACGATAGTAAATGAGACTTTGTACAGCATACAATCTAAGAAATACAGAGTATATGAGTGATGGGGGAAAAAGCTTTTATGGAGATAAATAGTTAAAGCTGGTACTTTGAAAGGCATATGACTGCTACCAGGAATGAATGCTTTGATGTGAACTGTATTAGAAATGATCTTTAAAGCGATGCACGTTTAGATAATGCAACTACTCACGAATAGTATGGATTACTCCAGTTTAGATGTGGAACAATAAGTTAGAATGTGTATTACATAGCACATATAATTAGTCATCATTATTAATGTATGCATCTTCAGCAAATAGATATCCATAAAGGTCTTATTGTTTCTCTACTTGAAGACCATTAAATACTTATCATGTTTTGTTTACACAGACAGTCTAGTTGTAATATTTGATTTCGCTGATGGTGAGATATGTGACAAGTTTATCTTGCCTAGTGAAGTTCTGGAGGACAGGAACAAAAGTTCATTGCAAAAGGTATGTAGTACACTCTTAGATGAATAAAATTCCAACATAATTAGTCTCTCACTATATACACTGTGCTTTGACCATCACGAGCAACTAGAATGATAAGTGGAATATAAATTGCATATCGTTACTTATCAAACCAACTACAAAGGGTGCCATGTCCACATATCACAAATGTTGGATAGACTAACCTAGTGACTGAGTGGCGGAAGAAACTATAAGAACAAAGATGAATCATGACCGAGGTCCATGGATGAATAAAACGTCAACGTTGTGTTATGACTATGATCTGTCACAGTTTGAAATTGGGGGCAATGAGCTTATACTATACATCACCTTAGTTCTGGGTATACTAATTTCACTATGGATACTACTGGGGAACACCTTGGTCATTGCTACCTACAGAGCTAACAGAAGTTTACATACAGTTGGAAACTTCTATATTGCACAACTGGCAATAGCAGATTTTTTGACTGGAATGGTCGGTTTGTTCGTCATAATATCGAACACATTCTTTCCATTGAAATGGGTATGTAGTGTAACATACATCTTCATCTATCAATTTTTTGCAATCGTATCACTAGCATCATCATTAGGATTTTTGATTATGATTTCTGTAAACAGATACATTGCTGTATTCTGCTCCCTAAGATACCACTCAATAATGTCGCAGCACAAGTCAATCATCATCTCGATCACTGTATGGTCGTTGAGTGTTATTTATTCCATGATCATTATGACTGATTTTTATGTCTATATATCAGCATATAAAGAGGAAATGAATGTAGAGGTGGAATGTGAGAAATCTGTAGAGATCCCCAGGATAACAGGCTACTCAATTGGTATTATTTTCCTGATTGTGCTATTGGTTCATGGAGCAATCTACACAATGATATTCAAAGCAGTCAGAAAGCTACAACGGAAGGCCAAACACTCAACAAGGGATTGCCCAAACGTACCAGTCTCTGGTGCTAATCTAAAGCTAATCAAAACCGCTCTCATTATCATATGCTTATTTACAATATGCTGGGCGCCTTTTGCTGTGTCACTTACTATTGCCCAGTATGGCTGGTTATCGAGGGTTGATGTTAATATTTTGTTCTACCCTGCCTATGTTCTAGCTATTGTTAACTCTGGCATGAATCCAGTCATTTATGGTATCAGATCTGTCAGCTATAGGGCAGGTATGAGTAAGTTGTTGAGACTGAAGATCATTCGTTAGATGTGATATATCATACTACGAACAATCAGTATGCCCAATCATTTGTATTCATGTAAGGGTTGCTAGCCTGTTTATGTGCAAGAACATGTATTTTTGTAATGTGCCGTGTTTACAAATCGAAACAAGGCATTAGCATGCAAAACGTCCCCACCTGTCATTTGTTGCAGACGCCGAACGCCGACAACGAAACCCTGTCCGCTAAAAGTTGAAGGCTGTGACAATATGCCGCCATTTGTGATGGTGACATTATTTATTACACTAACCAACAGATGTCAAAGGAGGAGGGAAAGTATCGCAACAGATTTCGGACAGTCATAAGTTGGATTTTGGCAATTTTCTTAGGATTTAAACAGGTGCATACGAGATGTTAGGCCAATGCATTATCTCCAGGAAAAGCACTCATAGAGATGATAAAATAATTTCGACCTTGAGGCAGGGAAGCTGCAAACAGCCCACCCAGTTGTTTTTTCTGAAATGTTGTCCTTCCACCCCTGCTTTTTCCATTTTTGTTGCATCAATATGTTTTGTTTTAAGACACAGTTAACCCCTTAAAAGGAATAAGTGATTCTTCTCAGATAAAGTGGAAAACAATATTTCCCATCATGTTATTTTCCCATAGGGAAAACTGGCATTCTCGGTGAATAGTGCCCAAATTGAATGCCCAAGTTTTTTGTCATTCTAAGGGGTCTTTTTATGGAATTTGCTTTAAATTAGTAAAAAATATTTGTAATTTGCTTTAAATTAGTAAAAAATATATGTAACTGATTTGCAAAATAAATATAAAAAATTTCTAAAAAACTGTCTTATTAGTGTCTTATATTAACTCGGCGAATAGTGCCCAAAAGGAGTGTTTTCAATGGCAATTTAACATGGGTTGGGCACTATTCGCCGAGTTATATATAGGGAAGGATCAGTTTAGTGTCTTATATAACTCGGCGAATAGTGCTCAAAACCACATTTTTCAATGGGAAGTTAACATGGGTTGGGCACTATTCGCCGAGTTATATATAGGGGAGGACCACTTCAGTGTCTTATATAACTCGGCAAATAGTGCCCAAAAGGACATTTTTCAATGGAAAGTTAACATGGGTTGGGCACTATTCGCCGAGTTATATATAGGAGAGGACCAGTTCAGTGTCTTACTATAAATCGGCGAATAGTGCCCAAAACCACTTTTTCAATGGGAAGTTAACATGATTTGGGCACTATTCGCCGATTTATATATAGGGAAGGATCAGTTTAGTGTCTTATATAACTCGGCGAATAGTGCCCAAAACCACTTTTTTCAATGGGAAGTTAACATGGTTTGGGCACTATTCGCCGAGTTATATATAGGGAAGGATCAGTTTAGTGTCTTATATAACTCGGCGAATAGTGCCCAAAACCAATTTTTTCAATGGGAAGTTAACATAGTTTGGGCACTATTCGCCGATTTATATATAGGGAAGGATCAGTTCAGTGTCTTATATAACTCGGCGAATAGTGCCCAAAACCACATTTTTCAATGGGAAGTTAACATAGTTTGGGCACTATTCGCCGAGTTATATATAGGGAAGGATCAGTTCAGTGTCTTATATTAACTCGGCGAATAGTGCCCAAAAGGAGTGTTTTCAATGGCAATTTAACATGGGTTGGGCACTATTCGCCGAGTTATATATAGGGAAGGATCAGTTTAGTGTCTTATATAACTCGGCGAATAGTGCCCAAAACCACATTTTTCAATGGGAAGTTAACATGGGTTGGGCACTATTCGCCGAGTTATATATAGGGGAGGACCACTTCAGTGTCTTATATAACTCGGCGAATAGTGCCCAAAAGGACATTTTTCAATGGAAAGTTAACATGGGTTGGGCACTATTCGCCGAGTTATATATAGGAGAGGACCAGTTCAGTGTCTTACTATAAATCGGCGAATAGTGCCCAAAACCACTTTTTCAATGGGAAGTTAACATGGTTTGGGCACTATTCGACGATTTATATATAGGGAAGGATCAGTTTAGTGTCTTATATAACTCGGCGAATAGTGCCCAAAACCACTTTTTTCAATGGGAAGTTAACATGGTTTGGGCACTATTCGCCGAGTTATATATAGGGAAGGATCAGTTTAGTGTCTTATATAACTCGGCGAATAGTGCCCAAAACCAATTTTTTCAATGGGAAGTTAACATAGTTTGGGCACTATTCGCCGATTTATATATAGGGAAGGATCAGTTCAGTGTCTTATATAACTCGGCGAATAGTGCCCAAAACCACATTTTTCAATGGGAAGTTAACATAGTTTGGGCACTATTCGCCGAGTTATATATAGGGAAGGATCAGTTTAGTGTCTTATATAACTCGGCGAATAGTGCCCAAAAGGACATTTTTCAATGGGAAGTTAACATGGTTTGGGCACTATTCGCCGAGTTATATATAGGGAAGGATCAGTTTAGTGTCTTATATAACTGGGCGAATAGTGCCCAAAACCACTTTTTTCAATGGGAAGTTAACATGGTTTGGGCACTATTCGCCGAGTTATATATAGGGGAGGACCAGTTTAGTGTCTTATATAACTCGGCGAATAGTGCCCAAAAGGACATTTTTCAATGGGAAGTTAACATGGTTTGGGCACTATTCGCCGAGTTATATATAAGACAGTTTTATATACATTTTAATTCATTTTTTTTATTTTTCAAACAATATTTTATGATTCTTAAATTGCCCTTTCATTCTAAAGAGGGATTTATTTGAGGGGCCTTATAATAAAAAAGGGGCATGGTATTTTTGGGGGAAAAGAAATAGAAAATTAAGAAAAATACGAAGATTTAAAGTTGGGCACTAAATAAATAGTGCCCAAAATACAATTTTCAATGTGTATTTAACATACTTTGGGCAGTATTTACCTATTAATGAAAATATAAAATTATGAAAAAAACTAAGATTTAAAAGTTGGGCACTAAATTAATAGTGCCCAAATTATTTTAAATATACTGCTTTTTAACAAATAAAAATATTGAAAGTTGGGCACCGAAGTAATAGTGCCCAAAATATATATATAGGTACCATACTTGCCTAACGCCTAAATTTCTGCGTCCCATCAATATTTTCATATCTATTATTCAGTACGTGCCATGAGTAGAGCTTGTATTTATTTTGTGGGAAATATTTCAATAATAAGTCTTGGATGTGCTGTATCTTCTTTGTTTCCTTAATTATGATCTGGTTCCACTCCTGAATTATAACTGGATTCAAACCATTAACGTAAACAAACGTCGCAATCATGACTCTGTCCCAATGCGTTGGATTTTTGTTCCAGAATCGCTTACGCATACCATATGGCCATTTGTCTAAAGGACTAATTATTTCAATAATATCCATCCATAGTTTGTAGATTTTACTTTTTCCTGGCATTTTATAACCATCTGACCATTAGGCTAGTTGCATGTAAAGAAAACTGTATACAATGTACTAGTGTATCGTTTTTACAACTAATAAGGAATAGTTCAATATATAATCCTATTAGGATAAAGATATTTGACCTTGATTTTGTACATGCGATACCTTACATGTTCTGTTATTGGGCCATAAATAAGTACTAGTCATGGATTTGCAGAAGTTATAATTTTCCATCCAACATTGATTTAATTATGGTGAAAAATGTACAAATTATTAAATATGTTAATATAAGGAATTACCTTTATCATTATTCGGCGAATAGTGCCCAAAACCACATTTTTCAATGCCAATTTAACATGGTTTGGGTACTATTCGCCGAGGTATATATAGGGGAGGATGAGTTAAGTGTCTTATATAACTCGGCGAATAGTGCCCAAAAGGACATTTTTAAATGGAAAGTTAACATGGTTTGGGCACTATTCGCCGAGTTATATATAGGGGAGGACCACTTCAGTGTCTTATATAACTCGGCGAATAGTGCCCAAAAGGACATTTTTCAATGGAAAGTTAACATGGGTTGGGCACTATTCGCCGAGTTATATATAGGGGAGGACCACTTCAGTGTCTTATATAACTCGGCGAATAGTGCCCAAAAGGACATTTTTCAATGGAAAGTTAACATGGGTTGGGCACTATTCGCCGAGTTATATATAGGAGAGGACCAGTTCAGTGTCTTACTATAAATCGGCGAATAGTGGCCAAAACCACTTTTTTCAATGGGAAGTTAACATGGTTTGGGCACTATTCGCCGATTTATATATAGGGAAGGATAAGTTTAGTGTCTTATATAACTCGGCGAATAGTGCCCAAAACCACTTTTTTCAATGGGAAGTTAACATGGTTTGGGCACTATTCGCCGAGTTATATATAGGGAAGGATCAGTTTAGTGTCTTATATAACTCGGCGAATAGTGCCCAAAACCAATTTTTTCAATGGGAAGTTAACATAGTTTGGGCACTATTCGCCGATTTATATATAGGGAAGGATCAGTTCAGTGTCTTATATAACTCGGCGAATAGTGCCCAAAACCACATTTTTCAATGGGAAGTTAACATAGTTTGGGCACTATTCGCCGAGTTATATATAGGGAAGGATCAGTTTAGTGTCTTATATAACTCGGCGAATAGTGCCCAAAAGGACATTTTTCAATGGGAAGTTAACATGGTTTGGGCACTATTCGCCGAGTTATATATAGGGAAGGATCAGTTTAGTGTCTTATATAACTCGGCGAATAGTGCCCAAAACCACTTTTTTCAATGGGAAGTTAACATAGTTTGGGCACTATTCGCCGAGTTATATATAGGGAAGGATCACTTTAGTGTCTTATATAACTCGGCGAGTAGTGCCCAAAACCAATTTTTTCAATGGAAAGTTAACATGGGTTGGGCACTATTCGCCGAGTTATATATAGGGAAGGATCAGTTCAGTGTCTTATATAACTCGGCGAATAGTGCCCAAAAGGACATTTTTCAATGGGAAGTTAACATGGGTTGGGCACTATTCGCCGAGTTATATATAGGGAAGGATCAGTTCAGTGTCTTATATAACTCGGCGAATAGTGCCCAAATGGACATTTTTCAATGGGAAGTTAACATGGGTTGGGCACTATTCGCCGAGTTATATAAGACACTGAACTGATCCTTCCCTATATATAACTCGGCGAATAGTGCCCAACCCATGTTAACTTCCCATTGAAAAAAGTGGTTTTGGGCACTATTCGCCGAGTTATATATAGGGAAGGATCAGTTCAGTGTCTTATATAACTCGGCGAATAGTGCCCAAAAGGACATTTTTCAATGGGAAGTTAACATGGGTTGGGCACTATTCGCCGAGTTATATATTGGGAATAATACGTTAACATAAGACAGATTTTATGTGTTTTTATTTAAATAACATGATGTTACATACTGAATAAAGAAATAAATATTTCATATATATATATAACCTCATAATATTTTTAGTTCTATATATAAGTATATTTAACCTATTTTAAAAAAGACCCCTTAGAATGACAGAAAACTTGGGCATTCAATTTGGGCACTATTCACCGAGAATGCCGGGAAAACTCATGCGATTCATTGCGTTCAGCTGATTTTGGTCACTCATAATGGATATCTTTAAAACATCCGGGGGAATTACTTATTCCTTTAAAGGGGTTAACTGTGTGTCAAAATGCAACATATTGAAGCAACAAAAAATCGAAAAAGCAGGTGTGGAAGGGGTTGAAAATCAGAACAACATTTCAGAAAAAACATGTGAGTGGGTTGTTTGCTTCTTCCCTGTCTGAAGTTGAAATTATCTTATCATTTCTATGAGTGCCTTTCCCAGAGGTAATGCATTGGCCTAACATATGCACCTGTTTAAATCCTAAGAAAATAGCCAAATCAAACATTTGACTGTCCAAAATCTGTTGCGATACTTTCCCTCCTCCATCTTTGAAGAATAACAGGCTTTGATATGCTTTCCAAGTAAAACTTCCGGTTGTCAAACTTATGTAGGGGAGTGTACATGTGCATGGTGGTCTTAGAATAATAATATGGAATTCCGGGAATCTTAATCTATTTCCATTTGCTGCTGAGCAAACCTCTTGTGTGAGATCAACGTTCCAACATTTGCTAATGTTTCTCTGGCCACTGTCTGACGCTATACGAGGATAATATGGCGATGGATTCAAAATGTAATCTAAAAAATTTGGATCTGATATTACAATGCAATAATCACTATCTAAATAAAATGTCCACATCGACAAATAGTATATTGAACAAACATAGGCAATATCAAGTTGCATCCTATTATGTTAACCAAATACCATCTACTTATTCAAGTTGGTACAGAATGGATGGTATAGGATAATGATGCACATCATGTTAATTATTCTATATACTACTTCATATTAAAAAACAAGCATACCTTCTGGATCTACTATTGTATGTGACAGGAGATCTATTGCTGCGCCAAGTCCGTTTGTCACCACCAGCTAAAACAATAATTTAAAAGCTCACGAAACTCTAAAAATGTTGAATATTGAGGAATGAGAGATGATCACGTATAATTATTTGCCTTTGATTTTAATGGATGTTTAACAGATTTGTTGTGCTATAATTTATTGAATGTTTTGGAAAACATCCCTGTATCTTTATTTTCATTATACCTTGTAGTAGTCTACAAAGGTCCTGATTGTAAAAATTCTTCTTCTGATATTGCTCTTAGTGGTAACAGATTCAATGAAGCCATCAAATGTTCACTTACATTTTCAGGGTCAACTGGTTTGTAGGTTTTGAATTTTCTTGTTATTAACTTCCCAATTGCTTCTCTGAAGCTGAAAGTAAATAAACATCAAAGTATTTTAAAAACAGAATTGTTTGTGATTACTAGACATTTAATAGGTTCATTAGAATAGAGGAGACTTTGTCACTTTACAACCTTTCATAAATGGTACCTTATATTATTATCATAAGACCAACAAAAGTAGAAACACTAGATATGGTATCATCGGGGCGTAACACACAGTGCGCTTGTATATCGCGGAGCTTGAACAAAAATGACATAGGCAGACAGTGGTATATAAAATTCCACTAGCCAGGAGGAGCTTCTGCTCCCCCAGCTCTCCCTGGCTACGGCCTGGCATCTTGGACTCCCGAGGTGAAGTTGGAGCAAACGACAGACCTGATAAGACTGAGAATCTAAACCTAGCTTATCACGGTTCTGTCCTGGACGAGGGGTAATCAGAATGTTTAAGGATCGCTTACGTGTCAGTTCCTCGCCATTCGTGATAATAGAACGCGTCGCTGGGAATTTTCCCATCTTGATCGTTCACTTTCTCCGATAAAAGATCTTGACACAGCTTATTCTCAGCGATTCCAAAGTCGATGAAACCCTAAAATAATATAACTGAGTGTATTGTTAGATGATTGGTGTTACTCCGTACGTTTAACATGTTTAAGCTGGGGTTATGCCTTTTTTTAAATTCATGACACAAAATGCAATGCGAGACTATCCCGGGACGGTTAAGGTGCCATGATACTTAACAGGAAATTATGAAACAGGAAGTGACAAAATATTCTGCATTTTCAGACATTTTTGAACAATGATAACAGAGTTCTGTTTTGACCTCCAGTCAATTCAACTAGTTCTAACTCTAACTGATACAATCTTTGAAATTTTAGAAAATTGTCTGAAACAAAAATGGCGGTCATAAAAAGGAAAATAGATCGCTTTTCAAATCAGTTTTTTATTTTTTTTATTTTTCTATGAATGACATCAAATTTTTAAAGATTGCATCAGTTAGAGCATTATATTGGGCACATTTTCTGAAAAATTCAAAAGATTCTGTTCAGTGACCTTTCCTAGCTCCTACTTTTAGCTATTTTTTCAGTCACATTTTCAGAGGGCTGAAAAGGTTATTTCATCATGTTTAGGGTTATTCTGACCATAAACATTGTGATCCTGGTCCTGTAAATGGTATGTGGAACTAGTTGAATTGACTGGAGGTCAAAACAGAACTCTGTTATCTTTGTTCAAAAAATGTCTGAAAATGCAGAATTTTTTCTCATTTCCTGTTTTGTCATTTCCTGTTAAGTATCATGGCACCTTAATACTTTTGAGATAATACAGATAGTAACAAACACAAGTGTGTGTATTAACATAGGTCGACTTCATATTTAGATAAAACATCGTTAAAACATCTATATATTCATAACTTACGTTCGGATTATTTTCTTTATTCCAAGGATTGGCTAGTACTTGCAGCCCCCATTCATCCATAAAGTTGGGATAGTCACGACTGTGGATCCCTCTTTTGGAGAGATAGGGCTTATTTGTGGCCATATTGGTATTTCTAAATTAGAAAATCATAATACTCTAAAATCCAAAGTTGGCTAAAAATCAATCCTCAATTAAATTAGAAAATGTATGTCATCATATGGGTCTACCTTATCTCTATGTGAGCAAAATACTATTTGTGGAATCATATGTATATTAGATTTAAAGTTTTCATTCTCAGTGTTAGGTCTTTAACAGTTACAATCTCATGATTGTTAATATGCAATTGGAATTAAGGCATGATCTGCATGATGAGGTTTATTTGCAAATTTCAATTTTTAAGTTATTCTTACAGTTGGGGACATAAATAAATGACTGGTGGATTTGCTGAAGTGAGGATTTCCCATGTTAAAAATAAGAGAATTTACAAGAGGCCATACATCAGTGGATGAGATTATACAAAATGTAAAATATACAAATTTTAAGGGATATGTATCTAGACAATATTGGAAATTATGGGCTTTCAGACCACCATAATTAGGAAATGGTGATCGAAAATCGACCTGTCATTTATTTTTGTCCCCAACTGTACATTCTCAATTATTAATTATCTGGATGCCCTCAAGCACCTTTTGTCCAAAAATAAAAGATTTAGAAGTGCGTTTGGAATGAGTTCATCTGAAAAAAAGCACATTGTCATCAAAATACAATATTTTTAGTCATCATTTATATAAAATAATATGGACTTACCTACTTACTCAGACTGGTGGATTTTTAATCCGAACAGAGTGCTGTACGATCACCTAAATCGGATCAACTTCTTCAATCTGAGACAAACATAAAAGGCATCGAGTACTATTACAAATGTATTCACTGTTATACTAAGATGTTCTAATCTTTTCTTGTACTGATATTACTGTAGTGTGCTTGCTATGAAGCTTAGCATTCAGTATATTATTTTAGAGGGTAAAGTTTAAAAGGTAAACTCATCTGACCTGTGTTTGGCACTGGAGGTTTGTACAGATTGTGCGGTAACATGTTTAAAGGGTTTAGTTATTAATACACAACTTACCCACGAATCAGACTTAAGGTACAGCTGGAAAATAACATGTTGGTAAAAATTGCTATACCTGCACATGTTATTTTCTGGTACAAAATAAAGTATGAAGGCATGTGCCAATTTCCTTGCTTTTTTCAGGAAAGTATCATTACATTGTCTTCTTTTAGAATATCTGGTAGGAGTTCAATGGGAACTCCAGGAAATTCTGATATTTCACACTTTCTATTTTTCCAAATTTTCTTTCAAAGTTTCCAGACAACACTGGAGAAACCATTGACCTGTTCCCAGGTTTACTAAAAGTAGACAGCGTAATGACTTTCCTGAAAAAAGCAAGGAAATACACACATGCCTTCATATGTAATTTTGTACCAGAAAATAACATGTGCAACATAGGCGTAGCCGGGGGGGGGGGGTGCGATAACCAATAAAAATTATAACCATGAGAGAGAAGAAAAGAGGTTTAAAATATTTGAAGTAGAAGCTTCAATTAAAAAGCATTTTAAAGCTCGATTTTGAAGGAAGTTACATCAATTCTTATTTTTTGGCTATCACACCCCCTCTTGACTGAAAGCTGGCCAATGGCCGAATTTAAAAAAGCCGGGCAAACAAGTGAGTAAAACAGATGACCGAAAAATATGCAAAGCTTCGATCAGAAAAAAACACGCAATGTATCGCAATTTTAGAGAGTCAGATGTTGGATTGTGGCCTTTTCTGAAGATTTAAAAAGGTTATGTTAGGCCAATGCGTTATCTAAAGGAAATGTACTTAAAGATATTCAAATAATTTGGACATCGAGACAGGGAAGGTGCAAACACCCAACTAATATTTTATTCAAAAATGTTTTTCTGATTTTTTATCCCCTTCCACGTCTTCCCGCCTTCCACTCGTGTTTCAATATGTTGCATTTGTAGACATTAACCACTTAATGAAAATATGTGGAAAACAATATTTCCCATGTAATAGGCCTCGCGCTTAACTTTTTTTCAGGTAGTTGTTTCACTTCTTAGTGAATTTTCCAGGTAGCTGCTTAGGAGAAGCAGGTAGTGATAATTTTGATGAGATCTTTATTCTTATGACTTAGCAGCGCAATAATAAGATATAACATTGTAAATAAATATATACTTACCCAGATATTATTATTTTTTAAGGCAATTTGCATACACATTTCATTGATAGTAAGAATGAAGTCGACTATATTGGTCTGCTTTCTCACAATTGTAAAAGTTGTGATTCAGCTCGAACAAGAATTAACAAAGATCAGCTGGTCGGCAAATCAATCAAAAATCTGTATATTTTCCCATGGAGAGTTGTTAGTTGAGGTACTAGTGAAGTTAGCTACTTGGAGGAAATGACAGGTAGTGTTTTTGGGAAAACAGGTAGCAAATCACTACCTTAGCAATGCTAATTTCGAGGACAGAGGGAAGACTCATGCAATCCATTGTTTTCAGCTTAATTTTGGTCACCCAGAATTGATATCTTTAAATCCCTGCTTGAAACATAAGTTAAATGTTAAATAACCTTTTTATCCCATGATATAAATACATGTAACTCTCTTCATAAAATCATGTCTGATTTTTGTATGAAACAAAATAGACGTGTTATTAGTCAATTCAATAATATGGCCATACAAGTTCATCAGGTCATTCGCTTATTCCTCAGATATCTATGAGGTTGGCTGTTTCAGAGCATGATGATGAATTTACAATTCGCCTTCTATTCGTTTAATAGGCTGTCATAGCTTCATTCTACTTACGTTTCAAAATCTCTATTTTGAACTTTGTTTGGAAAATATGTTTCTCTTATAAGAACATCATTATAGCACGCTCTATCGACTCAACTGAATGAAATGGGAAGCTTTGCTTATCAAAAATTCCCGGGAGGAGAATACTATTTTCATGAGCGGGATTGGGAGGTGAATACGATTTGCGTGAACGGGATTGGGCGGGACAATACGCTCTTTTTCAATGTCAAAATATTCCCGGGTGTTATTCACCGGGATGGGGTAGTATCATGGGATAAACTATATAATAACTGGAAATGACAGTCACTTTGAAAATTAACACAGTATAGGGATGCGGAGAAATAAAACTGATATAAAGTAATAATTGATTGTATAATGAATGAATTGAAAGGCAAATATGTAGACAACGGATTTAACTAGATACTCACATTCATATGTATAAGGCTAGGCAAAGATGGGCGAAGGATGGACGTAACACCAGAAACTTTATTTCAGTACATTTTATTTCAATAATTTGTGCTTATTGGGAAACTTATTCTGTGATGCCTAGTCTTGCAATTTAGATGCTCTTTGTATAGAACAACGGAGATGTACAGTACATGTACGTCACGGGCGTAGCCAGCTTTCAGTCAGGGGATGCGATTTTGGCACAAACAAGATATTTGTTTTGAATTTTACAAAAAATTGATGCAGCAAAAACATTTTACAGCTCATCTAATGGTTTTATTATTATTGGTTATGGGGGGGGGGTGCACCCATCACACACTGGCTACGCCTATGTACAGAAATGTACATGTATATCTTTCAACATCTCTATTAGTTTCAGAAGCATTCGGAATATCTCAAGAAGAAAGTTGTTAATGGAGATGGCTTCCCTTCTTGTAATAGCATTGCCTTTCATACATGTATGACTTCAGAGTATTGAAATATATATTCATTACATCCTTTTTTATTTCTCTATGTAACACAATAATGCATATACATGTTGTACTAAATGTATTATTTGTATTTTTAATACTCTTTTTTTTATAAAAAAATCAAATGTCTGCTATAAATTAAGAATGGTTTAAATAATACATCAGGGATATTGTGTCCAATTGTGTCTTTATATCCAAGATTTGGACCAATAGATTGATAGAAGGGTAGCAGCACTGCCATCTTAATGTTGTTCAAGTTGCTACGGGCAACAGCGAGTTGATTATGTCCATTGCAACTCCCGTGTCAGTACCTAAATCATCCACGAGATTTTTATTTGCAATAAGTTCCTAGTCAGTTTATTCATGTTTAAAATTTGTTTCATACATATCACAGGGCAACAGTTTTTTCTTTGCTACACAGTCTTGCAGCCATCGCAAACTTACAAACTCTATGGCGTGTTCCGACTCAGTCTGCTGGAAATTTGATATATCCTGGAAAATATGAGAAATTTTATGTATTTCTAACAGTATAAATTAACAGTCTGGTGGTTGCATGAATAGAGCCAATTTATCTTAATTTATGGATGGCTTTCATGGATGAAATACTAAAAATAGTTTTACTAGGCAACACTACTCAGATTTTTTCTAACTCTCATTTGTGTGTTTCCCTAGCTGACATGAGGACTAGATACATAACTAGTAACTATTTATTTATTTGTTTATTTATTTGTTTCTACAATTGCACATACACATGCAAATTCTCCTGTGTAATTTCAGCTACATGTGGATCATTGCAGGTCCTGTACACAATTCTTTCAGATCATTCATATACATATTTCTTGAACATCCCTCGAATACATATAATATGTAATCAATATAACTAAAACAACTCACCTGAGTATATTTCTCTTCATCAGTGTTTGTGATCACATGAGTTGTACCTTCACCCACTGTCTTGTTAACATCACCATCACAAGCGAGAACGTAGCGACTAAACTTCTTCACCTGAGTATCTTCTATATTGTGGAAATACACCTGGATTCCATGCAGGAAGCTGGGTAAGGTAGGAGTGGATGTACGACTGTTACATTTTGTGCTTGATCTATCTGAATCCACAGAGGTTCTTCTTTCTGAAATGATGACAGGCATTCCAAATGATGAGAAGAAGAAGAATCATAACATACATGTATTCATCAAATGATGACAGGTGTTCATGAAATGACAAATATTCAACAAATGATGATAAGTATTCATGAAATGATGACAAGTATTCACAAATGATGACAGATATTCATCAAATGATGAAACACTGATGGTATATGTATGCCTTGGACTCTTACTGAATGTTACCCTACTATCACACCAAACTAGTTCTCACTACGTTCTCAAAAACGGGCTTCAACTGTGTACGAACGGACTGGACCTACTAAAAACCGTTTGGGATCTATTAACAAACTTCATCGAACGTACTCGAACGGGTAGGTCCTCTAGAACTTAGACAATGCTCAAAATGTTCTCGTGGTCGTCACGTTCTACAATTAGAACGAGTGACAACGTACTAACGACGAGCTGGACGTACTACGAACGGAACCGTCGTACTTCAATCCTACTAGGGACGTTTTAACAACGAGTTGAATTGTCTGAGGACGTGTTGAGAACGAGGTAGAACTAATTGCAAACGGGTTTAAACTGATTGAGAACGTATTTAACACTGTTATGAACGAGTTAGCAAAAATATAGCTATCACACCAAACAAGTTGCCACTGCGTTCTTCAAAACTGTGTGCGAACGGAATGAACGTAGCTGCAACTTTCTAAGGTCTATTTACGAACTTTATGATCGTTCTCAGACGGGAATGTGATTTTAGAATTTTGAATCGATTCAAAATTCGATGGCGACCATAACGTTCTGTAATCAGGTCATGTTGACCTTCTAGACTAAGGGACGCGTTCTACTACGTTGCACACCGACGTGGTACGACCTGAACGAACTGCGAACGAGAAGGACGTATTGAAGACTGTTTAAGAACGAAGAAGTTAATTATTTCAGACATATTTCCCGACCACAGCCAGATTGAGCCCGTTTTACGACGTTTTCGCAGGACTGGCAAGAACGGGTAAGAACGAGTTTGGTGTGATAGGGGGGTAAACAACAGTCCCTGATCAAAGGATGACAAAAAAAAAATTATCAATGCTTTAGATAAATATGACATAACAAAGGTTCTGTGTATTGTATATGTAATGTGACAGTCATATAAAATTACTAAAGTTTATAATAAGATCTCCAAAAACAAAAGACAAACAGAAAAGTGTATCTTAGGATACCTTTAGATGTAGATGGTTTGGGTCCTGAATCATCACTGTCCACTGTGCTTCTCCGCCTCTTCGCATGACGTCTCCTGGGATAGTAGTAGCTGGTTGGGAGTTAAGGTGCAAGTTTGTGTATTCCAATATAAACATCACCTCCACAGAGAGGTGAGATTTTTGAGGGAGTCCTGATACTTGATGCAAGGTTGCTCTTTGATTTCATTCTGGGATTATGCATAAATAATAAATATGACTACATCCATCTCAATGCTGAATTTAGTTCAGATGAGATAATCTCATAAACTTAAACAGAATATGATTTTTTCATGGGATAATTAACCCAGTGTCATGTCTTCCCCACTTCTTCAAAAATGATTTACAATCCTAATCATTTTACTAAAGGATACATATAAGTTGGAATTCCCTTTGAAGCTAAGTATTTTCTAATGAGTCGCTCTGTGCCATACCAGTTGAACCCCCGAGTGTTGTAGCCTATACGAGGTAAATGCACACTTGCACTCTTTTCTTTTGCACATTTATATATGTGTTTCAAGGCTGTAAGTAGTGCCGACAGTTTGATACCTGATAAATTGTTACTCCTATCTCTGTGTTGAGCCACAACTAAGGCACACTAAAATATCAAAACATGAAAAATATAATTAAAATATGAGAAATATCAAAACATGAAAAATTATGAGTGAAATAAAATATGATGCATGAGAAATACCAAAACATTAATACCTGTAATAATAACAAAGCATATCATGAAATATCATATTATGTTACTGTTGAAATAATAATGTACTGTTATCGAGGAATAAGAGGGTTAAACTTGAAAAAATAGTACTATAAAGTTACATAGGTATTTTAGAATGGGAAATCTCGAAATGATTTTTTCAATTTTTTAAAAAATTATCCTTCATTTAAATGCATTATTTGTAAATGTAGACACATTAATGAAAGGTGATTTAAGTATTGCACAAACATACATAATCCTTTCCCTCAGCTCTGCATTGAACATCGTCCACACTTACAAGGTGGACATCTCCTAAAGCAAGATCTGAAACACACAAACAATATTGCATCAAATCTCTGGTAACAACACCCCCCCCCCCGCTCTTAGCTGTTTCTATTTCCTTATACATCATTTTGTGTAAATAAAGGTCAATAGAGTAGAAGTTAGAACTCGACCTGACCTAATCCTCTATCTATTATCTTATAAATAGATCATATTGCGTATTCCCTATACATGATTTTTTTCAAAAATGGACTATAGGATAGAATTTAGAACTTTCATGATCCCATTTTGGTATTATCGAATGTGTTAAGAATGCACTTTTGTCTGACTTATTGACATTGTGATCAGTGCTTCTGAAAGTACTTAACACAAGTGCTTTGATCATCTTTCTGTAATACCTTTCATTTTCCCAGCCAGTTGGTACTGTTCACTAGGTTGAGTTGACCTTGTATCTAGGGCAGTGAATACACCACCATGTCCCCATCGTCCGCTGTCGTCTGCAAATATGTCAAATAACTAGATGATAATAAATCTAGCTAATAATTGTGAAAAAGAAAACATATTTACATATTATCCAAAATATTTTATGACCTATGGTTTGTAATAAAAATAGCCATAAAACAAAACAAAAAAAAACTTGAATAATTTATCACAAATTATTGTATAACGTAAGTGCAGTATTCTCATGCACAATGTGCTATCAACGAAGTAGACAGTCAGAGAAATAAAAGTTTTGAAGTAGTCTAGCTGGCCACAAGCCCTTGTGAGCCCCTCCACTACACACATTCCCCTGTTGGTGAAATAGATAAAGGGGGGGGGGGGTTAAAGTCTTGAAGCAAGACTACTTTGAACTTGTATTCTAGCCAAAAGTCCTTGTGAGCCCCTCCGCTACACCTCCACCTGTTGGTGAAGTAGATAAAGGGGGGGGGGGGGGTTAAAGTCTTGAAGCAAGAATACTTTGAACTTGGAATCTAGCCAAAAGTCCTTGTGAGCCCCTCCGCTACACCTCCACCTGTTGGTGAAGTAGATAAAGGGGGGGGGGGGTGGTTAAAGTCTTGAAGCAAGAATACTTAGAACTTGGAATCTAGCCAAAAGTCCTTGTGAGCCCCTCCACTACACACATTCCCCTATTGGTGAAGTAGATAATGGGGGGGGGGGGGTGTTTAGTCTTGAAGCAAGAATACTTTGAACTTGGAATCTAGCCAAAAGTCCTTGTGAGCCCCTCCACTACAAACCCCAACCCATTGGGGAAGCAGATAAAGGGAGGGGAGTCCAGAGTTTTGAAGCAAGAATACATGTAGTTTCAAGTTGATCCTCACCTACACAATGTACAATAATTGCATCTTTCTTCCCTGTCTTCTCTGGATGTGTGACATCACCAGATATATAGCAAATGTCCCGTCTCTCTGTATTATCATCACCATCATCGATTGTCATGGTAACATCCTCATCATCATCATCATCAGCACATGTGAGGTTGCATGATGTGTAATCATTGGCTGCCCACATCTCAGCCCTAATGTGAAGAATAGTGAATCAAATTAAATAGCAATAACATACTGAATTTTACAATGTTCGGCTCAATCCTATGATGGAGTGTTAAAGGTGACAGTTAAGCATATATTTTACTTTGAAGGAACCTCTTTATTTGCTATATGTTGTTTTTGTACCTTCGTTTTCTTTTCTCCTGAGCCTTCCTGACTTCCTCCTCTTCCTGCTCTTTAGCCCTCTGAGCTGCCAGCTCAGCCCTCTGTAAAAAGCAAAATATCTTTATATGTTTAAAATAAATGTAAATTAAAACATGACACACTTGGTTTGTATGAAATCCAATCCTCTTTGGAAATACATAAAATTCAATATGAAAATTATGAGATGCACACACCCGTTTTCTCCTAGCCTCAAGCTCTTCAGGGGACAATTTCTTGCCCTGTTTCTTGGGTAGATCTGGTAATATTGGTACTAGGGTAGATGTCCCTTTACGCCTAGATACCCTACCACCTTCCCCAGAGTCTGTGGCACCTGCCACTCCCAGTATCAATCTTTCAGCTGGAAGGAAGGAACATTTAGTTAAATCATCATCTTTTGGGACATGACGTGAACCCCCCTGGCCAAAAATTCTTTCAAAATCATGCAGTTTTTCAACATTAGAGTATTTTTCAAGCATTCATTGTCATCTTTTGCTTTTGTCAAATTTACAAATTTGAACCCACCCTGGATTTTTTTTAAAGTGAACCTCCCTTGGGAAAAGGTGGTTATGGGCCTGGATATGATAGAGTTGCAAGAAATCACCCGGCCTAACCTCAAACAAGAGTGAAACTAAACAAGCAAACTGAACAAACCTGCTATTATTTCATCAAATGCCTTTCTGTCAGCAGTCGATGGCTCCTTTGAGTAATCTTTCCCTTCAAACACATACATATTCTCAGCTCCAGTACTTTCAGTTGAAGATTCTTCCTTTGCTTTTTCAGCAGGAATCACCTATGTTAAATACATCAAAATCTAACAAAAAAGTTCAAAAATAAAATACATTGACCTGCGATATTGAAAGTTTTTAACGCACCACATTCAATTTTTTGAGTGACTTTTACCATGACCGATGGAAAACCTTTAAAAGTTATGGCCAAAAATGCTATAATCAAAAAACAAGAACAGAATTTTACATTTTTGCTTGATTTTAGGTTCATGCATACTTCTTTCTCTGGATCTTGTTTTTCTTTATTTTCCTCTTCTACTGGCTGCCACTCCCCATTGACAGTAGGGCCTAGGATAGCATGGAAGTCAACATCCTCGCATGTCCCTTCGTCACTCTCGAATAGTTTGTCAACTCCAAACTTGAGAATATCCTGCAGCTGTAGAGAAATAAACTTGGATCGTTACTATTTTATGTTTTTTACTTTTCAATTTTGTAATGTTTGTAATACAGAAATTTTTTGCAATTTCTCCTTTGATTTTATGACTTTTTACTTTTTTAAAAATGTGTCGCTACGAAAATTCACAACAATATCTTGTGCATGAGTCAATTCCTAAATTACACATTATAATGAATTATTACCTGAACTTTTTCATCAGTAATAAGGGCATCTTTATTAGTCCCTAGTGAAAACTGGCCACCTTCAATGACGCTGTTTGTTAATTTAAATTTTTCTTCGGCTCTCTTTAGTATAATCTCTTCAACAGTACTGCGCCCTATTAGCCTGATAATCTTCACTGGCCTAGAAGCATAAAATCATGACTGAAATGATACAGTATATAGTCTGGTATATAGTCTGTGGTTTTTGATTGTGATGATGGTCCATAAGTGGACGGTTTGAGACGAGGTGTCTGTCTTGTAACAAACATAAATAAATCAATTTTAGGAGAGATGGTAAAGGCTGTAGAGATGCATGCAACACAGGGGCCTAGCCAGCTTTTAGTCAGGGGGGTGTGATTAGCAAAAAAATTGATTTTCAGTCAGGGGGGTGCGATTGTGGCATAAGCAATCCAAAAAAGTTGTTTTTAAGTTTGTTATGAATTTTACAAAAATTGATGCAACTTCCTTCAAAATATAGCTAGAAGCTTCCAATAAAAAGCATTTTAAAGCTCTTTTCTTCATCCATCTCATAGTTTTATTATCACCCCCGTTGTATTATCACCCCACTGGCTACGCCTATATTCTAACCTAGTTTGTCCTATCCTGTGTGCTCTAGCAGCGGCCTGTAGGTCATTTTGGGGGTTAAAGTCACTATCCACAAATATAACAGTGTCGGCTGCAACAAGGTTCAATCCTACACCACCTAGAATTAACAAAATACCAAAAACTGTACATGGTCATGTTTTAAATGCAAAATAAAGTGGAAATATAGCTTTTTGTTTTTTCATCAGATTTCATTCAGATTATATTGCAATTGCCATTGATTAATATAGGTGAAGATGTGACAAATGGCAATAGAGTTATATTCTAAATCGAGCATAAAATTTCATTCAAAATACTAGGAAATATGAGGAGGAGGTAAATGAAAAGTTACTAGAACATTGGATATATAAATTAAACTTACCAGCTTTAGTGCTTAGTAGGAAGACAAATGTATCATCCTTCTCGTTAAAGTTCCTAACGGCTAAAAACCTCTCCTCTCCTCTTACTGACCCATCAAGCCTCTCATACGTGTAGTCTAGAAAATTAAATATTCCTTAAAATATATCTTATGTTATCCCGTACAAAAACAATTCCGAAATATCTGTTGATACTGAAGAATTAATGTACTGCCTGCTATGGCAGTACGGCTCTTATCATACTATATAAGAAGGACAAGCAAAACTAGGGGTCCGGGCATGCCCCGCCCCACAAAATATTTGATTTTAGACCTTAAATGGTGTGTTCTGGGCGATATAAGACTGTGTAATGGGGCACTATTTATTGTATACATTATGTTTTGCTTTAATTTTTTCTAAATATGTTTATTCGTGTCATTACAACTTTTGGTCCTTTCCCTTTGGCACTTGTGCTTATATATTTATTTACCTCTGTAACCAAGGTAATCTTGAATGATGTCCAACATGCGTGTCATCTGTGAGAATATGAGGACTTTGTGTCCAAGAGGCTTCAAATGGGCAAGCAGTTGATCAACCAGTACAAGTTTGCCACTCGCTTCAACTAGATGCTCTCCCAGTTCAAAAGGCTCTGGTTCAATACCTGAAAAATTCAGAAAATTAATTTTTGCATTGCTTCAACCCCTGGTGGACTATTCACTTTCATAACTCACTCACAGAGTACATATGCATATGAATACATATGTTTCAATGTGGACCTCAAAAAAAATAATGCTGAAAATTTTTATGGAATATGAACAACTGTATGTGCAAATCATGTAAAATCCATTCTTAGGAATTTACTTAAAATTACATTTAACATTTAAGCCAGAATCAGAATTTGTGAAGATTAAATGCAATCCTATGAACACGGGGCTCCAAATCATGTAAAATCCATTCTTAGGGATTTATTCAAAATTACATTTAAAAGCCAGAATCAGAATTCGTGAAGATTAAATGCAATCCTATGAACACAGGGCTCCAAATCATGTAAAATCCATTCTTAGGGATTTATTCAAAATTACATTTAACATTTAAGCCAGAATCAGAATTCGTGAAGATTAAATTCAATCCTATGAACACAGGGCTCCTGACATCATCTACTCTGTTGAGACAGGAAGGATGGTGTCTGCCTGTCTGGTGTCCTGCATTTGGAGGATGACTAGATGCATATTTTCTTACCATCAAAGAGGTAAGGGTGGTCAACACACTTCCTTAGCTGCACCAGTATATTATTTAAACTAGTTTTCCTCTGGTTGTATGGATTGCCACTATCAAATACATCTGAAAAGTATATTTTTTAATGAAAAATACAACTGAAATATGAACACATAAAAACAGAGGACTTTGCAATCATTTTTGTAATCTTTTTAAGCAATCATGTGCACTTAAAGTGTCAATTCGGTAATTTCCATTTATTTTTCTTTACACAAATAGATTCAATTGGTATTGGTTAGTAGAAACAGTATACCAACAGACTCACATCTTCATCTTATTGTCTTTCAGTGCCAAAATAAGATTTCCCGGAAAAAACATGACGTCACGATCAGAACCGGTTATGGATTTTAATCTGCAATGCGTTATGCAACTCGAACGTAAATTCAAAAGTGTTCATGTTATACTGTGTTCTGATTGGCCAGAAAGGATTAACGCTTCTCAAATCACCTCATGGTTCAATGCCTTTTGGTTGTAAGATTTTAAACAGCACTGAGTTATGTAACAGGATCAACTCAACGTGTATAGTTTCTATACTGTATTCTGACTGGCCAACTTACCTAGGTCTTTGGTTAGGATGGCCTTGTAACATTTCTTCTGTACCGCAGACATACCATGGTAGAGTACTATCTCAGTTTTTTCAGCCAGGTCCTTTACAACCTCCGACTTGATACGGCGTAACAGGAATGGTTTCAGTAGGTCATGTAGATGGGTAATGGCTGAAAATACACAACGTTCCCACCTAATGCATGGAATAATTCTAATTTAAAGCACTGGAAGACATCAGAGGCAAGGGCTAGGGCTTCCTTTCCTGAGGTGGGCCAAAAACCAATTCTGGACCATTTGTGTCCAAATTTTGAAAATCGGTTACCAAATTTCGGGCATTTTTTCAAGAATTCCTTTTTGTACAACCCCTTAAATGGGTATACATTAAGGGATCTTCATATTTAGACTTTCTACATGCGAGTTAGTAAAATATCCACAAATGGATATAAAAAAAATAATTTTCAATCATCCACATACAGTTGTTTCATCATTTAATAAACCATATAATTTCATATTGTATACAAGGTGACCCAATAATATCTATTAATATGTAGCTACTTACTCTTTTTATTTGAGTCTGAAAATGTTTCCACAAATTCCTCAGAATACTTCAGCTTGAATATACTGGGTGACACAAATGATAGAAGAGAGTAGAGCTCAGTGAGGTTGTTTTGAACAGGAGTACCAGTCAGCAGAATTCTGTGGCTGATATCAATCTAAATAAAGATTTAAGTACAATGGATAAGCAAAATACCTCCATATTTACAATATTTTGAATTATTTAGCAGTTATGTCCCTATCATTGAATATATGCCTAAGGTCTGTCACCAATATAGCCCGAGCTTGCGAGTGAAAGTAGGAAGAAATGAAACATGACGTCCCGATGACGTCATAAGATTGTCATGGTAAAAGGTTTGGCGGCTATACAGGAATATATAGCCGACCTTCAGCTCCATTGACTTCAATACAAATGCTTCGCTGGGTATGTAATACTTAGCAGTTATGTCCCTATCAATGAATATATGCCTAAGGTCTGTCACCAATATAGCCCGAGCTTGCGAGGGTTATATTACGACAGACCGAAGGCATATATTCAATGATACGGACATAACTGTTGTATTACATACTTTTATATCATGGCTACGTTATATCAATGACGCCACGTGTCTGTGTGCGAGTGAAATTAGGAAGAAATGAAACATGACGTCCAGATGACGTCATAAGATTGTCATGGTAAAAGGTTTGGCGGCTGTACAGGAATATATAGCCGACCTTCAGCTCCATTGACTTCAATACAAATGCTTCGCTGGGTATGTTATACTTATTGGTAAAGCATCAGAACAATAAAAGCACTTATCAACTCTGGTGCTTTATCATTTGAATAGTTTCTAAATATCATCCTCCTAAGCAGGTATCCAGAATCCGTACCTCCTTCTTCCCCCTGCTATAACCAATTTGGAAGCGCCCGAATAAACTGAATCAAGTGATCTAATTATGTGCAATGACTTATACATGATTTCTGTCGCAGTATTGCGACAGCCAATCAGATTGCGAGTTCTTAATTGGGGAAATGCTAACTGCTTATAGCAGTGTAAAAAGAAAGAAGATATTCTGGATTTTGAAGCCCTGTGATCGGAGGATGCCAAATATGAACAAGGTGGAGATGGATTTTGAAATATTCTTGATAAAATGTTGTGTTCCCACTCTAAATACATACATGTAAGATGCTCCCATGCCTAATAAAGGGTTCTCACCTCTTTGAGTGCTTGATGCAGTTGAGATTGAGGGTTCTTCAGTCGATGAGCTTCATCTACAACAAGGCAACCCCAGTTCCAGCTGGCAAAGAAACCCTCGTCCTTTAGCAAAATCTTAAATAATGAAACAAAAAATAGAATTTACTGAATTTGCATAAACCTTACCAAAGTCTGAACTTTTTGAGAGCAAAATATATCTTATAAGAAGGCAGTAACATGCAAAATGTCACCACATGCCATTTGTTACAGATGCCGACCACCAACTGCCATTACAAACAAGGCACAGATGTGAACAATATCGTACCTAAAACACAGCATTGTGGTCTTGTTGACCAAGAAAGCAAGATGGCCGCAGAAAAGTTAATCAGCTCTAGAACTTATCACTGTGTAACATATGTAAAAATTTGAACGGTTTGGCTGGAAACCTGTAGACAAGCCTCGATAGACAAGATTTTAGGACGGAAAATTTAAAATGGCAGCCTTAACATTTACCCAGAATGCCCAAAAACTAATCAGTTCTTGACGTTGATATGTAGAAACATCCCTGAAAATTTCAGATGAATCCCTCAAATGGTTTGGCTGGAAACCTGTAGACAAGTCTTGAAAGTGAAGATTTTAGGATGGAAAATCTAAAATGGCCACCTTAAAATTTACCCAGAATGCCCAAAAACCAATCAGTTCTTGACGTTGATATGTAGAAACATCCCTGAAAATTTCAGATGAATCCCTCAAATGGTTTGGCTGAAAATCTGTAGACAAGTCTTGAAAGTGAAGATTTTAGGACAGAAAATTCAAAATGGCCACCTTAAAATTTAACCAGAATGCCCCAAAACTAATCAATTCTTGACGTTGATATGTAGAAACATCCCTGAAAATTTCAAATGAATCCCTCCAAAGGTTTGGCTGGAAACCTGTAGACAAGTCTTGAAAGTAAAGATTTTAGGACAGAAAATCCAAAATGGCCACCTTAAAATTTACCCAGAATGCCCAAAAACTAATCAGTTCTTGACGTTGATATGTAGAAACATCCCTGAAAATTTCAGATGAATCCCTCAAATGGTTTGGCTGAAAACCTGTAGACAAGTCTTGAAAGTGAAGATTTTAGGACGGAAAATCCAAAATGGCCACCTTAAAATTTACCCAGAATGCCCAAAAACTAATCAGTTCTTGACTTTGATACGTAGAAACATCCCTGAAAATTTCAGATGAATCCCTCAAATGGTTCGGCTGGAAACCTGTAGACAAGCTGAAAAGTGAGACGCCGCCCGCCGCCCGTCGAGCTGACTACAATATCGTACCTCTTGTTAGGTACGATAAAAAACAGAAACCATAACAATATGTAAACTGAGCAGCCAAAATAATTGTGATTGGTCATACATGTACATGTATATTGACTATTAATATTCAATACCTCGTAAGTTGTCAGAATGACATCAAAGGGCATCTCTCCGGTTTCTCTTTTTCTTTTCTTGATTTCATGCCTAAGGTCTTGTCTGGAATCCTTGTCCCCAAGGTAGGATTGTAGTCGCAGGCAAGGGGCAAATCTGTAATAACGTATACAAATGAGCAATTTCGTTGGAAGGCATCCCCCTAAGCAGGTGTCCAAAATCTGTACCTCCTTCCTCCCCCTGCTATAACCAATTTGGAACCGCCCGATTTAACTGAATCATATGATCTAATTATGCGCAATAATTTATACATGATTGCGAGTTCTGAATTGGGGAAATGGTAACTGCTTATCGCAGGGGGTAAAAGAAAGAATATATTCTGGATTTTGAAGCCCTGTAATCGGAGGATGGTTGGATAAGGCCCAATCCAGCCATTACATTTCATAGTCAAACAACCATAAAAATCTCAATACTTTGGACAATACTAGATGAAAAACATTGATTCTAAAAGAAATAAACTTAAACCTATCTAGGCGGATATGTCTTATAATAAGTTTACATGTATGTATTAAGAATGATTTCTCTTCAAATTGATGTGCAACAATCTTCAATTTTGAAAGGGCTTAAAATAGGGCCTTACTGACAACGTCTATTCTGAGAGAAATTATTTTACTCACCTTGCGATTTCAGTCTGCCAGTTATTGATGACTGAGAGAGGACAGAGAACAATATGAGGAGATGAGCATTTCTTCCTGCCATGCAAGTATACCAGGAATGATATTGTCTGTAAATATATTGTAAAGTTGTATATTGAGGGAAAATCCATGTTCATCCACAATTAATGTAAATACATTTAGATGTAACTGGGTGTCTCATAAAAGAGTTCAAGTCAGCGGTGTAACCAGAATTTTGATAGTAGGTACGTGAGGCCAAAGGCCAAGCAAAACTAGGGGGTCCTTGGCATGCCCCTCCCCCCGGAAATTTCGATTTTAGACCTTAAATGGTGTGTTCAGAGCGATATCAGACTGTGTAATGGGGCACTATTTATTGTATACATTATATTTTGCTTTACTTTTTTTTTTACAACAATTTATTTTTTGCTCCATCATTTGACTGACATCAGAATTTTGCTCCAGCATTTGACTGACATCTTTATATCAGCCTAAAAATGTGTTAATTATGTTTTGTACTTTAATTTCATTAAATAAAAATGGCAAATGCTGGTTGTAACGGGCTGGATTGACATAGAATCGTTAATCATATTTGTATACATTTAAAGTCCCCCCAACTTCCCTTCTCTTTCCTGCGATGGACAGGGAATGCAATGGAGGGGTATGTGTACACGTATGTATAAGTATAGGCATTGGCTTTCAAGATGGTAAAGATAAAGATCTTATTTAAAATGTCTTGCAAAGACTACCTGGCAAGTTTTCCCAAGTCCCATCTCATCTCCAAGGATACATCCATGTTTCCGTTTAAATCTTTGGCACAACCAGTTAATGCCTTCAATTTGATAAGGCCTCAGGGTAATATCTGAAAAATAGAGCATTGTGGCTAATGTTACTCTACCGAGCTGACTTTATGCTTCTTCCCAGGCTTTTGAGCCAGCTGTGTTCAGCAAGTATAATGGATAAGTGGATTTATAGGCAGGTCCTGTTAACGAGAGATTTTACAGAAGTAACATTCTGAGATTTTCATCAATTATCACTCAGGAAATGTGTCAAAAGAGATGAATGCCAAAATAGATCTAAGATGGGCGGCGAAATAAGATTACCTTACTAATGCCAGTAATGCATTCTGGGAGTCAATCCTCCTTGGATCACAAACATGGCAATTCATGAAAACAATGGTTCGATTTGGTAGGAATTCATTTATCATTTGCAGCAGGGACATACAAAAAAGTTTTATATGTCTCTGTTTGCAGGTATGAAGCTTTGGATTCATTACTGTGCTACTTACAGAGTGAACAGGAATTATTTTCCTACCACTTGGGAGAGTTTGAGACATGAAACTTAGAATTTAGCTCATTGTGACAACTTTTGATGGTTGAGGTTGTCTCCGACTTTATATGTCTCTGGAAGAAGTTGTCGAGATATTTTCGAATCTTTTGGACTGTTGATAATGAATTTATAGTCAGTTATAACGTCAGAAAATAACGACATCTTGACATTTTCATTGTTGGAAAGTATCGAGTTGTGTCCCTTGGAGACAATCCTCCTTGTTTTCAACTTCATAATCCAGAGGGGGGGGACACCAGGTTTCAAAGATGACATACGCTTATAATGTAAATCTGTATTGAGATGACATCGTCGCTGATTGGTCAAAAGTGGACAAACAAATGACGTCATCAAAGGTACAGTCTATATGCAGTTATGATTTGGGGCAAGCCCAAATCATTAGTCTATCTACATTCTCTTCTTGTAGAGAAGGTAGATAGACTAAAGATTTGGGCTTGCCCCAAATCATAACTGCATGTAGACTGTGATCAAAGGCGGTTTCAAAATTTTCGAAATACGCTTCGAATAATATTATGATCATTTCTGGCGTGTCAACCAATATCATAGCTTCTCATTTCACATCAAGATAAGCCGATGAAAATTCGAACGAACGAAGGTGGTAAGCAAGAGACGTAATTATGTCTGTCATCTTTAAACTCTTGGGCTTTCCCTCCTCTTTTCATAATCATTTTTGATTGTATGGCAGGTGGGCGATAATATGTGAATTCAAAATGTAAACAAACATAATAAATTAATTTCTCACCTTTAAGACCATAGTTGTTCAAATCCTCTTGCTTGATTATTTTCCATGTATCACTCTCTTCGTTAATTTCAGCGATTTTACGTCTAACACGCTCCATTTTGACTGTAATATGATTAGATGTAAAGAATTCTTTTCGAAATCGTATTCAGGAAGTTTGGGCATGTCGATGACGTCACTCGTACTCAAACAAACTAAATGGAATGTGTTCTTCTGTTTCCCGGGTGAATGTGTTCAACTTCTATGGCGCGAAATTCAAAAGTTTAAAACTTTTAATAATTCCAATGTGGCAATTCGTCCTGTGTTGTTTTTTATGTTATTTATGTTTGAACCTTTTCTTGTTCCTTTTTACAATAGTTTAGAAATTTATGACTTAAATGAATCTTTTAACAATAACATGGACATTCTTCAATGGTAATAATGACAAAGATCTGCTATGCTCTCATTCCATCTATACATCTCTTTTATAATCATATTGTTTAGTGAGTATCCAGGCATTGTGAGGCATTGGACAAAAGTACATATTTATTGATTATTTAGAGGAATTAGAAGAGCTAGTGGGATATCAAGTTTTAGATGCTGGAAGCAAAAAAATACAATAATGCCAATATTTTCCTTAAAACATAAATATATTTTCTGAAAAAATGTCAGGAAAGTCACACTCATAATGTGCATTTAGTTGAGCTAGTCATCTGAAACATCTTGGGGAGTTGTTGAGTCTAGTTTTAATGCTGGTCACGGTATGGCAAAGAATGATATGAACCAAAAATATTCTAATTTTTTTATTACTTTATTAAGACAATTAAACATGATCTAACATCTCACGAACAGACATTCTCCTAAGATCCACTCTCATTGTTCTAGAAGAGCTTATGTCGTCTGCTGTTTTACCAATTTCACTCAACTTCTCTTCTTAATTTGAATTAATTAATTACATATTTTACCTTTCTACACTTTATACTTTGCAGTGTAAACTACAGGTCTGTTCACTTTATTTCTCGGATTTTTCACCCTTTCCCACTCTATTTTGGAATTTAAAAAGTAGCCCTGATACATTTTCCTCTTGGGATAAGAGGATGATAACTTTCTGGGGAATCACATCATACTTTTCCTTTGACTCAGTTTATTGACTCTGAGAAATCTAGAAATCAATGAACCTTTTGGGCTATATAGTTTTCACAAGTTCACATTGCAATACACACGGCCATTGAACAGGTCTTGAATTTTCCAAGCAGTAGAAGAGGGGGTCTGGTAAATCAGGATAATTTCAGCTTGAAGAAACTGATTTAGATCCCATATACAGTTGTAGTTTTGTCTTCCTCGGGAAAAAAAGAGTCTGGTGAATCTCAAATTCCCCAAAAATAAATAATATTGTAACTTCTAGTACATAAATGCTCCAATATAGTCCCATGAATAAGCTTGTTATATTGCTGAACAATCTCCAGATATAGTGGGTCTTGTTTTTGGATGTAAAATCACATACAGTTTCACAAACTTTGATGAATTATCAGGGATGTTAAAAAGGCTATAAAAGGTCAATTTTTAGATCCAAATGAGTCTCAGTAATGCCTACCCCCAAAAACAACAAAGCATTAACATATGCAAAATGTCATCACCTGTCATTTGTTACAAATGCCAAACACCAAAAACAAAACAATCACTGACCACTTTCTACTAAAAAGTTGAAGACTTTAACAAAATGTCACCTCTTTTGGTGGTGACATAAAAATGTTTGATGAAACAACAGCTGTAGTTCATCTGATCTAATCTCTTTATTCTGTATTTACGACTTAAAATAACAATACAGATAAATACATGTACAAGAGATGGGCGTATCATGTCTATTGAAAGCTCTAACTTTATATATAAATTAACAAAAATATTTCAACAGTACACATACAAAATTAAGTCAACATATTACGAATGTAACATGGAATTTACACAAGCTTGTCTGTAACTATATCTATTCTAAACAAATAACAAGACATTAACATGATAAAATGTAACCCTCTGGTTTCAATTACAAAAGTGTAACCATTTGTTACAGATCCTGACACTGAATGCCAAATGCTGACGCTGAATGCCAGTCACAAAACAACGGTTATAACAACATGTCACCATGGCGATGGCACAATTATACAGAAAACCCTTCTATGTCTGAACACCATTGGAGATGGTGAATTGTGAATATTGAACTTATGTAAGGGTCTGTATGTACAATAACTGACCTTGATTTTCTAAGAATTAATTTGCTACCACAGATAATACATTTGTGTGAATTACCACAATACTAGTATCATAAATAAATAAAGTTTCTGGGAGCATGTCAAAATACTTGTAGAGTAACATTAGAAAATATCTATCCAAGTTAACGTTTTTTTGTGAAAGTTTCCCCCAATTGCAAAATTCAATAGATGATCACAAGTTCCATTTCAAACGAACACATGTTTTCAATTTTTCTTCCCTCAAAGTTTGAGGTACACATAAATGGGGTTGTACCATGCTTGGGCTACCTTAAGTATGTAGCTTTTCGGCCTTTGGTTATAATTCCATTTCATTAAAATTCAAATCTTCAAAGTACATGAAGTAAAAGATCTAAATCTAAAATGTCTTACTTGAGTAATTCAATCTCAATGTAAGATTCAATCTCATTTAATAATTCAATCTTGAATATTTTGGCATGGTCCCTTCAATAAATATACCTATGGCCCCAATAATAATAATAATCACAAATACATATTATGTACATTTGTAGTTGTTAGAATTTTGTAATTCAAGACATCTCCTTTAGGAGAATTTGGGAGATGTATGATGAGAATACACCATAAGTATTACATCGGAGATCATTAAAATCATATAAGTATCAAAAATGTAATTAAAAGTCAATGTTAAAGTCAGAGGGTAAAATTGTTAGTTGATATGGATAAAGGGTAACTCACATGGTACTCTGATGTAACATTCGTAAATAACTAAACACAAACAAGTTCCTCTCTCTATGATCCCAACATTAATATTGCAAGCAACATTAGCCTAATGTCACATTGGCTTAATCTCACATTGGCCTAATGTCACATTGGCTTAATGTCACTTTGGCCTAATGACTACATGTGTGATGTATGTTAAATTTCTTAATAAAAAGTTAAATGTCTGACTTGTTTTACATCTACCATTACATGCATTAGTCATATTAATTTTATTGCAAAATATTATAATATCCATAGCCTGTAATAAAACATTTAGTAGCCAGATATTTCAATAAACAAATACATTGTCATAACAACTTGTCACCATGGTAACATTTGAATCATAATTATTAAAAACAATAGACTTAATATTGGACATATTAAAATGTCTTTGCAAAATAATACTTATAATGGTTGCCATAGTATCATAAAATATTTAGTAGCAAGCTATTCTCGACTAAAAATTTAATTTATCCAATGTTGTAAAAACTTCCATGGAATAGAATCATAATTGATTTAAATAAAAATCAATAACCATTGTAACTATGGAATCATAAAAACAATTGATTTTGGAAATGTTTAGTCGCCAGACAAAACCAAATATTAATTGTTGCAGACACTTCTGAGGCAAGGAGGATTGGCTCCCAGGATCGAAACTCGATATTTTCCAACAATGAAAACGTCGAAATGTCGTTATTTTCTGAAATTAAAACCGACTATAAATTCAAAATAAACAGTTCAAAAGATTCGAACCAATATCTCGATCGTTTCTTGTGAGTTTTGGAATTTTTCGTTTGGAAATAAGACCAAAATTCACGATTTAAATGTTGAAGTGAACAAAATGGCGGCTGTTTGAATTCGAATTTTGTATTACGACATACCCATATATGGGACAGAATATCGGTGGTGCACTCTGGGAGCCAATCCTCCTTGCTTCTGAGGTAACCACTTCCATGGTAACCATAGAATCATTATTAACAACAAATGATGCAAGCTTACAAAAAAGGAATGTATGGAGATGTACTTTACTGCATATAATTAATACAGTGAAACCTATAAATGGAACACCGCAGACGTGCAACACCTTAAGATGTACCAAATGTGTTCCACATAGAATTTGGAGTCCATAACAAATATTTAAATTAAAACATAAATGTTCACATTTGGGAATTTCAACTGTTCAATGCATACAAAGCATACAATTTGAATTAAAAACTAGGTACAATACATAAGAACATCTTTTGCTCTGTTACCTTTTAGCTTAACAATTCATTCTGGAGCTATAGTTATTTGAGAATAAATAAAAACAAAAAGTAAAAATAGAGGAAATGATCAAAATTGCAGACATTGCAGAATTTCAGATTTTATTGATATGTATGAAAATGAAAATACAACCGCACTTTTTAAAGTCATTGAATTCAACCGTCATTATGCTTTCAAATAAGTTACCATGGAAACATTTCATTGATTGCACTGCATTGAAGTTATGCAGTAAAAACTCCAACATTATTAGCATTGCAGAGATATGTATATTCGATATTTATATATATCCATTAACTTGTGCTGTACTGTCACTCTATTCAATTATATTTTCATAAATCCATCATTCTGGTTTTATCCTGAAGAACTAGGCTGGCATACAATAAAAAAACATATCGTATGATCTGTGAAATCTCTGATTGGTTGGTTCTTGTGCTGTACCAATTTGTATTGCTACTGAGATTGTCCCCATTGATCATCTCCAGAGCAATACAGAAAATATTGGTACGGAGGGGACAATCTCAGTAGCAGTACAGAATATTTCCTAGGGATTATCTCCTTAGTAAAATGTATTGGCCTAAGATCACACGATAAAAACGTTTTGAATGGTTTGAAGTGCAATACAGGATATATTCTGCTCTCGATATCCTGTATTGGCACTCGACTTAGTCTCGTACAGAATTTCTCAAGCAGAATATATCCTGTATTGCACATCAAATCATTCAATAACATATATGCCAGTTCATGTTACTTACATTAATTAAGAAGTGTCTTATATTTCTCACTAAATACAGTAAAACCTGTATATCCAAACACTTTAATCAGAACACCTTTCTTAGTGAACACTCTTTGGTCCCATTTTTCATCTGCCATAGACTTCCATGTTAATAAACTTCATTATATAAACACCTGCCAATCTGAACACTTATGGCTGGTCCCTGTTGCATTTGGATTAGACAAGTTT